GGGCAGTGTAGTGAGACCCTACAGCAGAAAACCAAAACAGCTAATCATGTAAGAATTTTATTTCACAAAGTAAAAAGCCCTTCCCACAGTTCTCCAAGTGTAACATCCACTAGCTCTCAAGAGCTTACAGGTCAGGAACCTTGTGTTTTCTCAGGTCTTAGCCCATGCTCACAGCCATCTGAAGTCAGCAGAAGAACTTCCCGGGTTAGACACGAGAACACTCTAGGAAGACAAGTGGTTGGCTGATTGAAACGCTCAAGCTTGGCGCTAGACCTTATTTGTCTTGTTCTGAACACCACACTCTTTGGTCTAAGAAGATCAACCAACTAAAAAATCTGGAGTCCTGGGTTTGAATGCTGTTTCTGCCACCGATTCTGTGGTATTAGACAAGCCAATAGACATTTGTTAAAAGAAAATGTTACCTGAACATATGGTGCCTGACTATAATCCCAGTGTTTTGTCAGTCAGGAGAATTAAGGGTTTACAAGATATTGACTCAAAAAGAAAGAGTGGGCATGGGGGAAGAAAGCAAAATAACCCTCCACCTTGCCCTGGTTTAATTCATTGAACACAAAAAAAAGCACTGACTTCATTATCTTAAATCATTATAGAAACGTAAGTTTGTTTTTGTTTTTAATTGTATTGGGGCTAGAGAGATAACGCAGTTAAGAGCACTCCCTGCTCTTGTGGAAGACCAGAGTTCAGATCCCAGCATTCACTTTGGGTAGCTCACAGCCACCTGTAACTCCAGCTCCAGGGGATCTGATGCCCTCTTCTGGCACGACATGGACCTGCATTCCTATGTATACCCACACGCATCCAAAGTAATCTTCTTTAAAAGTAAAACTATCGATAAACCATAAACAAGTTGAGTAATGAACAGCTTTACTACCCTGTAGTCTTTCCAACAGTAATGGTATGCACTCAAGCAGAAGTGTTTAAGAGGTTCTCCCCTTAAGCCTTTCAGAGGTGCAAGGCAAGTAAGGACCCAATCCAAAATGAGAGTAGCTTCAAAAGCTGTAATAAATTCACAACTATATGACTGTGTTATCCAAGAGCATCTATTAAGGAATTATGCCCAGGATTTCAGGCCTTACCCAAGAGCAGCACTGGTATACTTGAAAAGGAAATGGATCCCAACAACTAAAGCTAGTTCTACCATACACTAGTTGGGTGACTTTTGATCAGGTACAAAATTCCCTTACCCATAGATGGGGGCGGGGATCTATTTTGTAGAGCTGTAAATAGACTAAACCAAATAACATAATAAAGTTGCAGTGACAATGCAAAACATTTTTAAAATTAAGTGATATCACTATTACCCATGAATACATTGGAATTTCTAAGTGAAATTTGAAAAACCAAATGATGGAAACTCAAGAAAATTTATAAACTTGGAATTCATAAAATTAGAATAAACAAATGTACATAAAGTTTAGTGAAAATGAGGCAAGAGAGCAGGATGTCACAGTAAACATTTCTAATCCCAGTACTAGAAAGCCAAAGAAAGAAGACTGCCTAGAATTTGAGCCAGCCTAAGAGACCCTGTTGCAAAAAAACAAAAACCAGTTGGGTGTGACAGTCAATGCTTGCAATCCCAGCACTTGGGGGGTGGGGGGAGGCAGATGCAGGAGAATCCTTCAAGTTCAAGATCAACCTGGTCCACATATAGTGAGTTCCAGGCCAGCCAGGACAACACAGTAAGACTGTGTGTCCCTCAAACCAAGGCAGGGAGGAAGTGGTAAGCAAAAAGCAAGTAGAAGGAGAAATAAAAATGGATGCTTTAAACTGACAGAAATGAGATTTGTCAAATCAGGAGTAAGAAAAATGAATCTGAGAGTGACAATATGCACAACTCAAGTTAAGTATAAGCAAGGTGATACCCATGAATCAAATCAATAGGTCTCTGTCTAGACACCTAATCATACTACCTAGAGCCCTACCAACTAACTTTTAAGTGCATCTTACTTAGTAGCAGGAATATTTGAGTCTTGGTTTTCACATTTACTTTAAAATAAAATAAAAAAAATTCCTCTGCCTTTGAGTCTACCTTACAGTGAAAACACAGACTTCTAGGACTCTCAGGTTCCTCAACCACAAGTCACAGTAGTAAAATGGAACAGTTTCTAAGTTTTCTTTCAGCTTTATGATTCTGAGAGGAAGAGTCTCTTTTTACTATTAGCATGAGACTTCTTAGAAAGCTTATGGACCAATATGGAAGAAGAAAAGGAAAATAACACTTGAGGACCACATACACATCTGCTCTTCTCTTCATAACACTATGACAACAAAGCATTTTTCTGCAGGTTTGGTGGCATACACCTGTAATCTTAATACATAGGTGGTCAAGGCAGGATGATCAATTCCAGACCAACCTGGGCTTCAAGCAAGACCCATATCAAACAAACAAACAAACAAACAAACAGCATCTTTCTAAAGCATTATCTTATTTTCTGGAATAAGCAATGACCTAAATCAATAAAACCAAAGCACTGATTTAAAAAGGATAAAGTACCAGCACCTATAAAAATCTTTTAATGAACAGATTTTCTCTTGGTATTGTCCCCCAATTCTTCATTTTCAGAAAACTTACTTTGATAAAGTGAGGTGCTGAGGTCTACTTAAACTTACCCCAAGCATATAGAATTGTTTTTAAAAACTAGCATTTAGATATATTTGTACAGATGAGTACCAGTATACTGAAAGTTGGAATTGTAGTTAGGAAAAACAAAAAACAGCTACTAAGCCAGGTGTGGCAGGAGGATCAAGAATTCAAAGTTAGGCTTGGCTATATAGTGAGGCCATGCCCCCCCCACCAAAAAATAACTAAAAATAAAACAAGAATAATCATTAATTTTATATTAATTTTAAGGATATTTTCCAAAATAATGGTATAAGTCAGCTTCCATATTCTCTTTATTCATGTTAAAAGCTTAAAAGCTCAATCTTTATGTCTTTTCATGACCAATCTTTATCTTATAACAAGCCTTCCATTTCCCCTTCTATTATGCATCCATCAATCTATCTCCAGTCAAAATATTTCCATTTTTCTACTTATAGACCATAGGTCTCTTGGATTCTGACCTTTCCAACCATATCACCACCCTCCACCCCCACCTCCCGTTTTACTTTGCAGGATTCTCTTTCTCTTCATTCCATTGTTAATCTTCACAGTACGACATTTGTTATCTTTTGGACATACTGCTTCTTTGGAACTGAATGAATCTCTTTGGCAATCCTTTCCCTAAGAATATCTACCAGTTTATCTCTTGAATCCCAAATCCAACACATCCCTCTTTTTGCTTTATAATCAGCAGTCCTCTAAACCCAATGACTATTCAATTCTCTCTACCTTCTAGCAACTCTCTTTAGTGTGTTCAACTATCATGCTTTCTCCAGCAACCAAGTATGCTGTAACTCGGCACAAGTCTGGCAAGGACCTAAACTTCCAAAGCTTCTCTCAGGAACTCAGCTGGTAAGCTGGGAGTGTAGCTCAGTGATGTGGCATTTGTCTAGTTCTGGGTTCCATTCTCAAAACCACGAATATGAATAAATGTTTTTAAACACATCACACACACACACACACACACACACACACACACACACACACACACACACACCTCCCTTTCCAACAAACTGCTTGCCCCCATTCTATGGCTACTCTCAGTGCTTCACTAATTCTAAATCTCTAGACCAGCACATAGTTTCCCTCAGGCTCCATTTGCTTGGAAAAACCAACAACAAACAATTGCCCAAATCTTTCTCTTTTAGCTTCCCAGATTTTACCTCCCCAGTGCTTCCATTTAACAAACCTAATCCTAGTTATTTCTCAGTCTCTGGAGATCAATGGTCACTGTTCCAAATTCAGCTGTCTTCCTCATCACATCCCACCTATTTCCCTAGCCTCTTGGCTCACTCCCTTTAACAGTCTCCTAGCCATGTTCTCTACCTTTCTTTAGGCCTGTTCTCCAAGCTTTTTAGTTCACTCTCTCATTCTCTGAACCCAACTCTTACATTTCTGGAAACTTTTTTCTATACCCCTCAGGTGAAAGTCTTCTTACTCCTGAACAACTTACTTGATCCACCAATTCCCCTCAACTTTTTTCTCAGTCATTCCCTATTCCCCTCAACTATGGCCGATTTCTCATCTCACTGTCTCACTCTATCTCCAATCTCATCACTTCTGGAGTTGCTTCCCATCATCTCTTTAAATTATCCTTTCATCTTTCTCAATCTTGTCCTTATTCCTCTCTCTCTCTCTCTCTCCAACAATGTTTTCCGTCCTCCAATTTCTATTCCCTTAGCGCCTCATCTAGTCCCCGAATCTACCTTCTACTCCATCTAAGCATCTCCAGGCCAACGCCAGCATTTCCTCCAATTCACAGCGTCCCTTCCCATGGTACTCTGAACGCCCAGACACCATTCTCCAATGGCCTGGGCCTGGCCTCCTGGGAGAGAGGTACAAGTCACGTACCCCATCCGCATCTTGGCTCCGCTCTGACTGCCCCCGCTGCCGGGCAGAGGAGGGCGAGAGGGTAGACGGCCGAGGTGCATGCTTTTTTCGAGGGCCGACATCAAGGAGAGGCCGCACGTCGACAACAGTGGCCGAAGCTCTGTCCCACGATACGTGCAGTACAATCGGTCACAGCTCACTCCTCTAACGACGCCCAGTCGCCTTTGGACAGCACCCAGACACCGGCAGCGCCGCCTACCGCCCACTGGCTCAGTAAACCCCGCCCCCTCGACTCGGCGCTTCCACCGGAAGTGCGCAACAGCTTCGCACAAAGGAAACTGGGTAACGGAGTCTGCGGATCCCTCAGACTCTTAACAGAGAACTCGACAACCCTCGACGGAAGAAGGAGTCCTCCTGAAGGCAATGCATGCTGGACAATGGAGTCCTCAAATGGTGTACCATTTTGCGCTTGCGCAGCTGCAGGTGCCCTGCCGCAACGTCGCAAAGGTAGGGAGGCAAAGCATTCTGGGTGTTGTAGTCTACTCGCCGGAAAACATATTGGCGCCTTCCCTTGGCACCTCTTTCCGGGAACTGTTGGAGAGAGTTGCTTCTTCCTGCGTCCCAGGCTTCCCAGCGGCGCCCGTTGCCGGGGAACGCAGGCGCCGTGGGAAGGGATGGCGGGAGCACACAGCTTAGGAGCTGGCACCTGTGTTGAGTTGGTCACGAAGGGCCCGGACTCGGCATGAAACAACGGAAAGGCCAAGGGCCTGGGGGCGGCCGTGGGCGCAAGAAGAGAGGTAACCTATCTGTCGAAAAGTTGAGGAAAGCATAAAAGGGCGAAAGGAATTCTGAGACCTCCATCTGCTCCGGTTAAACAAAACAAAAGAGGACGGAACAGAGAATATCCAGGCGACTAGAAAGTTAAAAGACAATACTTTTATTTTAAAGAATAGAAAAGAAATAGTGCCTGTGGGTCGATAAATGAGGCAGTGAGGATTAATAGGTATGGATAGGAGAACAACAAAATTAAGAGTGTCTTTTACGACAAGGATAAATGTATGTGTGGTAGTAGGATTTGGAGTAGGGGGAAATGGTATAAGTATCTCCCGAAGAGCCTGAGATGATGAAAGCGTGTGTGGTATAGGACTTCTTCAAATCAGTAACCCAAACTGACCAGAAGAATAGGGATTGTTGGCCGTAATGACAGCAGTTACTGTAGGAACTCAGAGCAGATCATGAAACCGAAAATTAAATATGTGACCATCTTCATTGTGTCACATTGGGTGACCCTGACTCTTGAGATTATAATTGTCTCTTTAGTGAGGAGAGCGCTATTGAGAACAGTGATGGTACATTAGATCATCGGGTTAGGGACTGAACTGAAGCCACAGTCTGGGAAAGAACCTTGTGCAAGCTATCTAAAAATCAATAAGGCAATTTTAAGGTAATGCCTTTCCTGCCAGCAATGATGGAGCTTCTGAGAAGAAAGATGTCCAGTGCTGGTGTTCCCAGTGTCAAACCAGTCAAGCATTGGTTGATAAGAAGAAAGTCAAAGTAGAAATGCAGTGGAAGTATAGAATAGAGTGACCTTGCTATGGCATATGCATATACAGGTACACTTATTATATGCATGTATATGCACATACTTTTATATCTCAGCAGATTATCCCTGCACTTTGTGGTGGATTTTTTTCTCCACTATACAGAGCACAAATTATTTGTTTTAGTTGAAAGAACTATTCTTATTTATTACTAATCCGCTAGATTTCAGTATATTTTCTTCTTATGATATATGATCACTCCCCAAAGAAAAAGAGAGATAGAAAGACGTATACATAAATGTTTTAATTTGTTGAGACAGGATCTCCCTCTGGACCCCAGGCTCGCCTTGAACTTGAGATCCTTCTGCCATAGCCTTGCAAGTATTTTTTTCTTTAAAGTCTTCTCTAAATCTTTCAGGAAAGGTACTGATTGAAAGGAAGACCAGGGTTGCAATTATTGTTTCATTTGCATTTTTTTTTTTTTTTTGGTTTTTTCAAGACAGGGTTTCTCTGTGTAGCTTTGTGCCTTTCCTGGGACTCACTTGGTAGCCCAGGCTGACCTCGAACTCACAGAGATCCGCCTGGCTCTGCCTTCTGAGTGCTGGGATTAAAGGCATGCGCCATCACCACCCGGCTTCATTTGCATTTTGATTCATCATCTTTTTGAAATCTACTAAGATTTGAAGTTAATAAATGTTATAAACCCGGAACTAAAAAATTAGCAGCAAATCTAAAGATGTTAGTCTCCATCCTTCTTGATTGCGTGATCTTGGCAGCAAAGATAATTTAAGATGGTCTTTGCTGAAATTCTAAGTTATGTTGATTCACACTAAATTGTGTGTCAGGGGAGCTACTGTTTCATGTTTAATGTTGGTTTTAAAATAAGAATGAGATAAAGATAATGTATCTTAACTGTGGATTTGCAGCAGTATTTAACAAAACTTCCAACTACTGTCCACTTGAATAATTATGTTTGTGTTTTTCTTTTCTTTTTTTGTTTTTGTTTTTCGAGACAGGGTTTCTCTATGTAGCTCTGGTGCCTTTTCCTGGAACTCGCTTTGGAGACCAGGCTGGCCTCGAACTCAGAGATCTGCCTGCCTCTGCCTCCCGAGTGCTGGGATTAAAGGTGTGCGCCACCACCGCCCGGCTGTTTGTGTTTTTCAAGTAATATCTTTCAATTAAAGCAAAGTTTGGATTAATATGCCTTACATGGACAGTTCCTTACGTAAAATGATCTGAATGCAACCTAAATACTTAGTATCCAACTCCTATAAATGACCAGGTAGGCTGGTCTATGTCCTGTTTTTCTAGTTACGTCTCAGTATTCGAACAGGTAGGAAAAGCCTTCTCTGTAGACACTAAGTAGTTTTGTTTATTTTTCATTCAAAGAGCATGTGTGGTGGTACACACCTTTATCCCAGCTCTCAGGAGGCAGAAGTAGGTGGATTTCTGTGAATTTGAGGCTAGCCTGGTCTACATAAGTGAGTTCCAGATAGGTTAAGTCTACCTAGTGAGATCCTGTCTCAAAAAAAAAAAAAAAATTCCATAGTTAGTCTAGATTTTAACTCAGTTGTGTTGCATTCCTCCGTAGGTTTGAGTGACGTTTCACCATCCACAAGCCTGCCACCTCTGGTTGAAGGGCAGTTACGCTGCTTTCTCAAACTTACTATTAATAAAGTCGTCTGGAAGATTGCGAAGCCTCCCACTTGTGTACTTGTCCGAGTAAGATGGTGGGGAGAAACATCAGATGGCACCCTCTTTTGTCCCAGGGATGCATTGCAGACTGAACCAAAAGCTGTGAGAACGACTACCCGTTATGCTATCCGTTGTGGTCCAAAGCAGTTCACCTCGTATCTAACAGGTATGCTCTTGTTTTGTTGTCTTAACTGCAAACCTGATAGGAAACCTGCTTGCAGTCAGCAGTCTATTATTTCAACAAAGACTAACTTTAAACTGTCTTTCCTGCCAAGATCATACAGTCAAGGACAGAGACTAATGTCTTTAGATTTTGCCACTATTTTTTAGTGCTGGGTTCATAAGAATAACTTTGAATCTCATCAGATTTCAGAAAGATGATAAATCTAAATGTAAATCGTATTTATTTGTAAAACTTAAATCTTCAAATGAGAAAGGTTAACAGGTCAGTAAGAAAAAAGGTGTCTTTTAATGTCGGAATCAACGGTCATACATTCATTTGTACATCTTGTGAGATAACTATGCTTCATCTAAACATTAAGTTGGTGTTAGGAACTATAGGATTTGGGGAACATACTTTCACATTTCTGACCCTCTTTCCTCTGCTATAAAGTGACATCAAATAGCTACCTGCCTTTGACCATCTGGGTATTTTCATGAAGAAGCAAACTGGCTGAGGAGAAAGAACACAGATTTGAAGTCCAGACGGTTAAGTTTGAACTCTAGATTCAGACCTGGATTGTTGTGTGATGCTAGGAGGTTTTTGTTTGGGTTTGTTGTTGTTGTTTGTTTGTTTTTCAAGACAAGATTTCTCTGCGTAGCCCTGGCTGTCCTGAAACTCACTCTGTAGACCAGGCTGGCCTCAAACTCAGAAATCCACCTGCCTCTGCCTACTGAGTGCTGGGATTAAAGGTGTGAGCCAGTCGGCCAGGCTAGGAGGTTTCTTAAGAATGTAGAGTCTCAGTTTCCTGTTGTGGGGAGGATAGTATGTTCCTATTAGGAATTATCATGGAACTTGATTGAAAAAATATGAAGTGACCAGTCCAGTACCTGCTACACTGTAGGTGTAAGGTCTACACAGATAGTATTCGAGGAACTGGGGGAGAAAGTTTTAAAGTATTGTCTCTCTCAAGAAGAACTCACATAAGGCGTTAATGAGTGATGCCAGGCCGTGTGTGGCAGTATGTATGCAATTACCCCATACATAGAGAAATGTGACTCTTGTAGGTTGTCAAAAAAGGGCAAGCATGTAAATTATTAGGAAACCAGAATCCTACTTCTGCTTTTTGCTCTTTCTACTTTATATTGAATGAGCCATTTCATCTTTCTGGACTTTAATCTTCCTACCAGTAATTTGAAGGAGCCTAACACAAAATAATATGTCCATGCCCAAACTTCATTTTCTAGTTGGAAAAGAGATCATGGGAAAGGTAGTGTTTGAATAGGACACAGATGGGGTGAACCCTGTAAGAGTGAGCCGGCTGTCAACATAACCATGGCAGGTTTTCTAGAAAAGAGAGCTACGGTGGGCTGGGGAACTGGCTCACAGGGCACAGACACTTGCCACGGAGCCTGAGCACCAGAATTTGAGGCATAGGTCCCACATGGTAGAGGAAGAAAACTGACTCCTACAGAGGTCCTCTGACTGCCACTTGTGCACGGTGGCAGTGTCCCCTCCAACAATAAATAAATGAAATAGATGAAAAGAAGAGCAGGAGCCAAGCGGTCTATACTTCCTTCATAGGAATGCCCACTGTAACTGAAAACTTGGGGAATGTGACTGTTTCTGAATGGGGCGGGGGGGGGGGGGTCTGTGCTATTGTTGTTCTCTGTACCCCTCTCTCCTGTACCCTCCTCTCCTGTACCCCCCTCTCCTGTACCCTCCTCTCCTGTACCCCCCTCTCCTGTACCCTCCTCTCCTGTACCCCCCTCTCCTGTACCCTCCTCTCCTGTACCCCCCTCTCCTGTACCCCCCTCTACTCTGTACCCTCCTCTCCTGTACCCCCCTCTCTCCTGTACCCCCCTCTACTCTGTACCCCCCTCTCTCGTACCCTCCTCTCCTGTACCCTCCTCTCCTGTACCCTCCTCTCCTGTACCCTCCTCTCCTGTACCCTCCTCTCCTGTACCCTCCTCTCCTGTACCCTCCTCTCCTGTACCCCCCTCTCCTGTACCCTCCTCTCCTGTACCCCCTCTCTCCTGTACCCTCCTCTCCTGTACCCCCCTCTCTCCTGTACCCCCCTCTCTCCTGTACCCTCCTCTCCTGTACCCTCCTCTCCTGTACCCCCCTCTCCTGTACCCCCCTCTACTCTGTACCCTCCTCTCCTGTACCCCCCCTCTCTCCTGTACCCCCCTCTACTCTGTACCCCCCTCTCTCGTACCCTCCTCTCCTGTACCCTCCTCTCCTGTACCCTCCTCTCCTGTACCCCCCTCTCTCCTGTACCCCCTCTCCTGTACCCCCCTCTCCTGTACCCCCCCTCCTGTACCCCTCTCTCCTGTACCCCCCCCTCTCCTGTCCCCTCCTCTCCTGTCCCCTCCTCTCCTGTACCCCCCCCTCTCCTGTACCCCTTTCCTGCATGTCACACTTGAGACGCAAAGGTAAGCTAATGAGTAGTTTCTAGATTGGCATGAGACCGAGAGTCCACGGGGAGAGGAAATAGCAAACCAGTGAGTTCAGGGAAACAGCACACAGGGAGCCATCGCATGTCTTACAGTTTATGAAATGCTTTCAAGTCTGTCAGCTCAGGAAAGCCTCCTGTGACGCAGTGAGGTGGTTGCTTGTTCACTCCTTCAATCCTGTTTTATCTTACTCTGAAAAGAGGTTAATACAGTTGCTAAACACTCTAGATAGAGTGTTTTAAAAGCCATTTTGTTGAAGGAAAGTGGAAATACAGGTGAAGGATTAAGCTGAAACCTCTGAGGAGTCCTAGAACACTTGTTGTGAAGCCCTGCCTATTTGCTAGGGTATTAGATGCATTTTCTAGATGGTGGGTTTAATTTTTGTTGTTGTTGTTGTTGTTTTGTTTTGTTTGTTGTTTTTCAAGACAAGGTTTCTCTGTGTAGCTTTGGAGCCTGTCCTGGAACTCGCTCTGTAGACCAGGCTGGCCTCAAATTCACAGAGATCTGCCTCCCGAGTACTGGGATTAAAGGCATGTGCCACCACGGCCCAGTGACATATAATTTTTTTAAAAAAGTTTAACCCAAGGTCACCATAACCCTCGCCCTAGTTTCAGGAAGACTCTTGGCTCCAGGATCACTAATATTTCTATTCTTTTATGCTGCCTCAAAAGGTAGAGAGCTTGGAGCTGGAGAGATGTCTCTGAGGTTAAGAGTACTGTCTGCTCTTGCAGAAGATCTGGCTTGGGTTCCCAGCACTCATATGGCAGCTGTCAACTGGCTGTACCTCCAGTTCTAGGGGATCCTTCCGGCCTCCAAGGGGTACCAGGCACAAAAGTGGTGCATAGACATGCATGCTGGCAAACTCCCATACACGTAATTTTTTTTAAGGATAGAAGGCTTGATAACACCTCATTGTTTCCTTTATGTCTTTTTCCTTTGCCCTTTTACTCTTTTGCCAGAAATAGTGTCCATAAACATTCCGAAATATACTTCAGTGGCCCTCAACCATCCATCTTCATCACTGTTTAATCAGAGAAGATTCGGTTGGAATGAGTGACATGGGAATGTGAATATACTGAGTGATAGCAGAGCAAGAATAAGGATAAAGATCACAAATCTGTTAAGAACGAAGCATCTTCTCCTTTAAGCAGTGTATAGTAAAGTAACATAGTATAGTCAACTTTAGAATTGCAGAGAACTAAGTTTTAGCCCATTTTGATGACTTTAATACTTACTGAACCTAGCACTGTTATGTGACCTCTCTGATCATGTTTAACCCCCAACCTAGAGTTAGAACACCTCTACCAGAGTATTGTAAAGAAAGGGCCAAGGGTTGGGGGCTTAGCTCAGTGGTGGAGTGCTTGGTGGAAGGCCTTGTGTTTGGTCCTCTGCTCTGGGGAAAAAAAAAGAAAGGCCAGTGAAGTGACTCAGTGCATAAAGGCACCTGCCACCAAGCCTGATGACCTGAGTTTGATCCCCAGACTCCACATGGTGGGAGGAGAGAACCAACTCCTGCAAGTTGCCTGTGGCCTCTACCTGTGTGCTGTGATATGCTCACACACACAACACAAAAATAAGTCAAGAGAAAGGTGATTTTAAAAACAAATTCTGAAGAGAATACTGAGGCATGAAAGAATCTAGTCATTAGTAAGTAACGGATAGATGTTGGTCCACTTCCCCTATTCCACATCTGGATAGCATTTGCAGCCTCCAGAGTACTTTTGATATATTTATATAATTTTCTGAGATAAGCACCAGGAAAAGGACTGTGGTATGTTAAGTAATTTGTTTAAAGTCATGTAATAGTCATTCAGTAACTGCTATGTGGGAAGACAGTGTCCTGTGTAATCTATATGCAGTATCCTCAGTTCCCCCACACAGATGTTAAGATGCCTATTTTATAGATGGTTCCACCAAAACAGCTCATGACTTAGAGCCAAGAAAATCCCACATGGATCTTCTCATTATAAGTCCTACATACTTTTCATTTAAGGGTTGAACAAATAGTAATAATGAACCATTTCTCAGCTTCGATAAGAAAATATTCAGAATTTGTACTGTCTTGACATATTAGATTCCATTTGTGTACACTTTATTCTCTTTCTATGAATTAAGATCCTGAAGGGATGAGAGATAAATTGTAGAATGTAGTTAATGTGTTTCTGTTTGTCTTGGTTTCAAGTGTTTTTTGGTACCTCAGTATTCCAAACATAACTTAGGAACAAGCAATTAGCTTCTGGGAGGTCAAGGCCAACCCTACAGTCCCGCAGGAGCAGCCCTTTCTCCAAGTCAAAGCTGAAAGAATGGGAGGGAAGTAACTAGGAGTTGTTATTAGCATTTATAGTCAGTATTTTAGGACCAGTGCTGGAGTTCTTGGCAAATACATTTACTAGTGTTTTTTGTTTGTTTGTTGTTTTTTAATGAGACAAGGTCTCGCTATGTGACTTCCGACTCATAGAAGTCGATCACTCTGTCTCTACCTCCACAGTGCTGGGATTAAGGGTTTATGTACCTGGCAGATACATTTACTAGTACTCTTAAAGGGGTGTGTGTGTGTGTGTGTGTGTGTGTGTGTGTGTGTGTGTGTGTGTGTGTGTGTGTAGGACAACCACAGACATTGTTTCTCAGGCTCTGTCACTTTTATGTGTGTGTAGGACCCAGGGCTCACTGTGTGGCACTTGCTAGGTTGACTGGATGGCAAACTCCAGGTATCTATCTACCTGTCTCTACCTCCCCCGTGCTGGGATTGCAAGCGCACACCACCTTGCCTGACTTTTTTATGTGGATTCTGGGGATTGGACTCAGATCCTTGAGCTTGCAAGACAAGCACTTACCCACAAAACCATCCTCGCTAGCCCATGAAAGTTGTTTTTCTTACCACATACTTAATATGCTAACTATTCAGTATTTATACTATATATAATATCCTGTACCTGTTCTTCCTCTCTAAAGCTCTGTTCTTTTGGTGTTGGGCTCACCTCTCTTTTTATGGTATTGTAAGTAAGCGCCTGGTTTACCTCAATTTAAAGTTTATACCATGTACCCTATGGCCTACTTCCAAAAACCAAAATAGTGGAAGCTATCTGAATATGTTGTAATTGTTTCTGATTAGATATGGCCGTGCTGGTGTTGGAAGTCATCACCAAACTTGACCACCTTCCAGTTGGCAGAGTTCAGATCAATGGACTCGCCCAGCTGTCTCCCACCCATCAAATCAATGGATTCTTTACCATTGTTTCACCGGCATCTAAGAAACTTGGAGACCTTCAGGTAAAAATGTAATTCTTCACTGCCGTGTTATCCCTTTTCTCATTACTGGAGCCAAATTCCTGATCAGAAGCAACCTGAGGGTCTATTCTGATTCCCGGTTTGAGGGTAGTCACTTGTGGGAAAGGCTCGGCAGCAGGAGCTTGAGGCTGCTGCTCACATTGGGGAAGATCAGAAAGCAAAGATGGGACGGGAGCCGATAAACCTCAGGTCCACCTCATGCCTCACTTCTGTTGGCGAGGCCCCACCTCCTAAAGGTTCCACAACTTTCCAGAACAACCTCACCAGCTGGGACCAAGTGTTCAAATACAGGAGCCTCTGGGGGACATTTCCTGTCTGACCACCCAGTGACAACTGCAAAGACTAGAGTCTGGGGGCAGAAGTCAATCTTCTAGAATGGATAGGGCTGTGGTTCCCATGTCTCTGCGAAGTCCTACCATGTGCCTTACTCACTCTGCCCCTGGCTTTGTTTCCCCTTTCTCTAAGTCCACCACCATCAGGAGGCTTTCACACTACCTGCACTGTATCGAATTCACAGGAGCGTTGATTGTGTCATCACTGGTCTAGTGCAGTATCCAGAACTGTTTATTGATGGGATCCCCATGTGGAGTCTAGACTCTAGAAGATGAGACTCTGTTTTCTTCCTTTGCTCCCCCCAGTTCCTAGTATAGTGCCAAGAAGCCGTGGTTTGACTCCTGTACATGCCATCTTTAATATTGTCACTCATTGACCCACTTTTATGTACCACTAATACAGAGATAAGACACGGCTCTCATAGAGTTTTCTAGAACACAGTATGACACATACTGTACTGTAGTTATGAGAGGGTGCTGTGAAGAACATAGGATTCCTTTTCTGAGGGGACTCTGGGAGAGCTTCAGGGTAAACACTTAACATCACATTTTACAAATTTCAAGCAATGAATGAATTCTCCCAGGAGCCCCCATGCTTCTTCCTGTAAGCGGCCTGAGGTGAACTGTGAAGATGGTTCGCTACTCTCTTGACCCAGAAAGCCCTAAAAAAACATGCAAATCATGAGATTCAAATCTTCGTGTTCACTTTAAGAACACTGAAACTGTCCAGACCATCAAGAGTATGCATGTCCAAAAAGCCACGAAGTATCTGGAAGATATCACTTTGAAGAAGCCCTGTGTGCTGTTGCCACATTATAATGGTGGAGTCGGTAGGTGCACCCAGGCCGTGTCCAGTGGGGCTGGACACAGGGTCGGTGGCCCAAACAAGTACTGAATTTTTGCTGCACATGCTTACGAATGGATAGAGTGATGTTGAACTTAAGAGTTTAGATGTGGATTCTTGTCATTGAACAAAGTGCACAAAGCTCCTGAGACGTGCCATTGAGTTGACAGAGCTCATGGCTGGATTAACCCACACATGAGCTCACTGCCACAGTGAGATGATCCTCGCTGGAAAAGAACAAATTGTTCCAAAGCCAGAAGAGGAGGTTGAGCAGAAGAAAAAGGTTTCCCAGAAGAAACTGAAAAAACTAAAACTTAAAGCATGGGAATAAATGCAGCATGAAATAAATGCAAATAAAAGTTTAAAATTTTCAATTGGTTTTACACCTTGCTAAATTTGCCCTAAAGTTAATACAGAAAATGAAATAAATTGGAGAGGAAACCAAGCAAAAGTAGAGGAAGAACACTAACGTTGCCAGATACAGAATGACCACAGAGGCACACATGTCACTCTGTCAGTGCTACAGAATAGCAACTCCGAAATGCCTGCAGCCAAGTGGAGGAACTCAAGGACTTGTCACTGGATGTGTGTCACTTTTATTCCGTTGATGACTACGGTGAAGTTGTTTACTCATGTGTTTCTGCTGCTGTAGGGTTTGCATCAGGCCTACAAGATGCTGAACTTTATGTTTCAAAGCCATAAAGACAATCCGCTTCATTTACCTCAGTCTTACAGAAATACCCCCCAAAGAAGAGAATGCTCTGCATCCTTGGGGTTAGTTAGGGCGATGTCTTTTCAGTACTAGAGAAATTATATCTTGTTCAACAGAATTAATTGTAGTTTGATGATGACCAAAGAAAATTAAAATGGTACTACAGGTACGCATGTGCTTTGATGCCTAGGGAAAAATAAGGAACGAAAATAGTGGTAGGAATGTAGGATTCAATGTGGCCTTTTATGGTGGTATGTTTTTTATGATCATGATATAATTTGAAAATATGAAATCCACCCTTTTAAAGTGTACAGTTCAGTTTTTGTGTTCCAAGTATAGTCAGCAGAGTATGCAAGCTTTACTATTTTCTGATTCCAGGACATTTCTTTCATTCCAAAACCCAATGCTGTACTCAGTATCAGCCACTCTTCAATGATCTCCCCTGGCATATCATTCTACTTTCTGTCCTTATGTATTTTCTACTCCTGACGTTTCAGATATATAGAATATCGTGTGTGCTTTTGAAACTGGCTTCTTTCACTTAGCATAATGTTTTTAAGATTATATATGACATAGCATATCTTCTTTTTTGTGGGTGAAACATTCGATTGTATAGAATTGTATAGACCTCATTTTATCTGTTTTCCAGTTAGTGGACATTGGGTTTTTCAGCTTTCCTGAACATCTCTGTTTAAGTCCTTTTGTGAACATGTGCTTTCAGTTCCCTTGGGCACACACGTAGGAGTAGAATTGGTGGGTGATATGGCACTCTGTTTAACTTTTTGAGGAACTACCAGAGTTTTCCAAAGTAGCTATCCTATTTTTTGACCATATTTAAATGTAATTTATGTAATAAGATTTGTATTTTTAAATTTAAAAGTCACTGGATTTGAAATGTTTTTAATGGAAGATTGAGACAAAAGTCAGATTCTAAAAGATAAGGAGTTTGGAAATAAGGAGCAATTACAGTGAAGTAGAAGTAACAGTTAAAATTTCCCTTTTTCCAGGGCTGGAAACATAGTTTAGTGGTTAAAAGTACTTGCTGTTTTTCCACAGGACCAGAATTCAGTTCCCAGCACGCATGTTGGGCAGCTCATAACTGCCTATAACTCTAGCTCCAGGGGATCCAACACCTCTAACATCTACAGGCGCCTGCATTCACAATCACATAACCACACACACAATTTTAAATAAAACAAATCTTTTTTAAAAAAATATATATAGCTTTTTTTAAAAGTATTTTTAAAAATTCCTTTTTCCCAGAGAAGCGACAGTGAAGGAGGGATGTAGGATGACATAATGGACAATGTACAGCTGGAGAGAGAGCTCAGAAAGGGTTTGCTGTGCACGCACGAGGACTTGAGTTTGGAGTCCCAGAGCCCTTGTAAAAGCCAGACATGGCTGCATACACCTGTAAGCCCAGGGCTGGGAGGAGAGTCAGGCAGATCCCAGCCAGTCTAGCTGAATGGAAAGCACCAGGTTCAGGGACTGGCCCTCAAAAGAATATGGTTTTTTAAACAAATGTGCTTGAGGAAGACATCCCTAGGTCAGTCTTAGCCTCCACATTGCTGCCACACAGACAAGGTGTGCCTGGACACACATGTACACACATGCTCAACACAAGCAACTAGAAGTGGACAAAGAGAACTTGGTTACCAAAATAATTTTATGTTTACTAGCTGTCATTTATAATTGCTGAGCTTCAGTGCTCCATTTGTAAATGGCTCTAAAGCACCGTTGCCAGCATTAAATGAGAAGAAGCTACAGAAACACTCTGTGTTGGGCTAGCCTGCAGTAGCAGCACAGTAAACTGCATGCATTCGAGAGGAGCTAAGCACAGTGAGTAACAGGATTGAGAAATTTAGATATGGCAGAAAACGGCTAGCATAATGCCCAGTGGTTCCCATCTAGTGTTTGAGCTACAAAGGCTTCTTGTATCTTTAAATGTAAAAGAAAAATATGGAATTTAGCCTAAAATATTGTAGGGGACCTAGTGCATTCAAAGAAGAAAGCCATGGGAGATGGAAAATAAGATCATTGAGCCAGTAAGATTCTGAAGAGAATTTGATGGGGATAGTCTTATCATGGGCATGTGCAACATTACCACTGGCTATACTTACGTATGTAAGTAGTGTTTGCTACACACAAATCCAGGTGCCTTTGGTGGGAATCCTTTTAAAAATTTATCATTCTCAGTAGGCTTTGGTTCTTTCTCGCTTATCTGTCTATATGACTTCTTGTGATAGAACTGCCTTTACGTTTCAGTTTTTTAAAATCTCCTTAAATTCCAGCACTCCTCTATTTATCCCATTTTATCATGCATCTTTTCTACAGAATGGCTATAGTTTGTTTCATAATGGTATTGACAAAATGGTTTTGACATCACATTTTGTCCATATATTACCCATTAAAAATATTTTCTTTTCCATAATGAAGCATACCTGTTTCCATTCATTTTAAATTTCCTAAGTCTCTTTTTCTTCCTTCATGGACACAGAAATATTCCACTTTCTTTGCATACACACACTTACATATGGTATAAAAATGGAATCAAGGCTGTTTTAGAAGAAGAAGAAGGGGTCTAGGAGGAGGAGGGAGGAGAACAGGAGACTATGGGGGGAATATTGTCCTAAAGTACATGATATATTTGAATTCAAATGTTGTTATGAGGGCTATGAGGACGGCTCAATGGGCAAAGTGCATGCTGTGCAAGTATGAGAACCTGAGTTCAAATCCAAAGAACCCATGTAAAGTTAGGCCTGGTAGTGCATATCTCTAATCAGTGTTCCTACAGCAAGATGGGAGGCCGAAACAGGAGAATCCCTAGAAGCTCGTGGACCAGCTAGCCTGTCTGCAAACTGGTGAACAAGAGGTTCTCCCAAACAAGGTGGAAGGCAAAGACCAGACCCAAGATTGTCCTCTGACTTCAATGTAATACCAGGCACACCCATGCCTGCTCTCACACACAAACACACAAGGCACACAAAGTTTATTTAAGATGTCATTATGAAAACCATGAGTATATACTCATTTGAAAAAGAAACATTCCACTTTCCTGTTATCTCTACTATAAGAAAGACAGCAGATTACAGAACCCACAGACACTAAAGAAATGTCACAAGTAAACCTACATGTTGAAATTTGATGACTTAATGAAATGGCCTGATTCTTCCCAAACTGAACTACAAGAACTCCCTGAAGTAGAAGAAGAAATAGCCTGAGTAGACCTAGGACTATTTGTAAAAATTGAATTTGTAGTTTCAGACCTGCCCAAAAAAGAGAAATCTCTAGGCCTGGATCACTTCATTAGCAAATTCTTCCAAACATTTAAGGGAAGAAAAAAATACCACCAATCTTACTGTCTCCTCCAGAAAAATTGAAAAGAAAAAAACACTATTCTGAGGCATGTCACACTTTGATGCCAAAACTAGAGAAGAAAAATATAAGAAAACTTACAGAGCAGTATCCCTCATGAACCTAGACCTCAAAATCCCCAAGAAAATACCGGCAAACTGGGGCCAGCACTCCAGGAAGAATAGTCCTGTCCCCAAGAGCTTACCTCAGGAATGCAAAGCTGCTTCGGTATTTACAAAGTAATTAATGTGATAAGACACCAGTCATGGTGTGCTAGCCACTAAAAAACAGAAACACTTGCAGCACCACAGCGGAATACTCTCCAAAGCTTATACACTAGATGATGGCATTTATAGGAGAGTCTTAAAAACCACCATGAGTAGATGGTAGAGGTTCACAGTAAGGAGGGCATAACTACAAAAGGATAACACAAGACAGTTATTGGGATAGTGGATCTGTTCCCTTTCTTGATATGGTAGTTACAGTTACATGTGTATGTATATATATAGGAAAAGTCATGAAATTACAGTTATAAAATTGTTGTTTTACTATAAGGAAATTAAAAAAAAAAACTAACTGCTGTGGGATGTCTTTCTGTATGCCGTGAATATGTGTGGCTCCCATTGGATAATAAATAAAGCTGTTTTGGCCTATGGCAAGAAAGCTTACAGCCAGGTGGGAAGTCCAAGCAGAGGTACAGAGAGAAGAAAGGTAGAGTCAGGAGAGACTCGAGCCCACTGCCAAAGGAGCAACAAGATGCCAGCAGACCGGTAATGCCATGGCCGTGTAGCAACATATAGATTAATAGGAATGGGTTAATTTAAGATGAAAGAGCTAGCTAGCCAGAAGTTCAAGCCATAGGCCATACAGTTTATAATTAATTAAGCCTCTGAGTGATTATTTTATAAGCGGCTGCAGGATCATGGGGCCGGGTAGGACCAAAGAAACTTAACATTACATTTGGCGCCCAACATGGGGCGCCAAACTATAGCCAGAAGTTTCTCTGGTCCTGCCCAGCCTACAGGTGGAAGAGATTCATCCCAGCCATGGGGCTGGGCAGTACGGGAGAAACTTCTGGCTGCAACTCACTAATAGCCCCGGGTGTAACAACAGAGAGTAGTTATCACTCTGCTTCACATTAGGATGTGCTAGGAACTTCACAACTGGATATGTATCCTGGCCAAGTCATTGGTCTATTCTAGTTCATTTTTGCCACATTAGAATAGGGATTCAATATTGCTGGATCTTCTTATTTTTCAAGAGAAGCCAGAGATACAAATTTGTATAAGAAATGTAATTTTTAAAGCATTGCTTAATCATTGTTTAAATGCTGTGTTATGTAGCATAATTCTGAAAATTGTACGTTAGATGCCACAGATATAAGTAGAAAACTGTAGGCAACTTAGTACCAAAGAGACCCTGAGTCATTGCTAGAAGTCAGATATATCCTTAACATTGCTCTGTTATAGATGGGAGATGCATATGGTATATTTATGGTATATGTGGATAGTGTGGGCTTCAGGAGAGGGTGATATATTTAGATGGCAAAATGTGGTCTGGAGACAGAAGAACAACAGTAACAAATACTGTTAGTTCCTTATCCTGACAAATGAAAGTTGTTTTCATTGGAGAAAACTTGGGGACATGAAGACATTTTAAGGGAGATATCTCCAGTTTAAAAAGTAAAATAGTTTACATAACATAGAAAATCTGGTTGGAATATAGCATATGTTTAGCATGCATGAGGACTCAGATTCAGCTCTCAGCATGGGAGACAGGCAAGCAGACAGAGACAGACACTGACTCATTAGTGACACTGGCAGAGCCATGAACACAGAGAGAACATAGTTGGGGAGGGGCATAGAGATGGGAGGAGTGAAAGTATAGATGAATGCAGGACTGTGTTAAGAACACTGAGAAGCAGAGGGCTTAGGAGGCAAGCCCAGGGGGTAACCAGTTGGTTAATCTGTTTTATGCATCCAAAGTTAAATGTTTTTCCTTAGTCTGCAATGTTTTATTTACCTCAGCTTCATCTGGCTTCATGCCTAGTATTTTCTGCTTAGTCATTTCTGTCCCACTCCTGGAAATAGTCCCTGCACTCCTTCCTCACCTCTGCCCTGAGCTCAGCTCTCTCCCTAGGGTCCCCACATCACCCGTACACATTCTTACCTGAGCAATTGTGTTTAATTTCTAGATTATTTAAGTTGTGTAAGATCCATGATCTTCCGGGACTGTGTTGTAGTCATCGCTCTGCCCCAGGCGGTTAGCACAGAGCTGGTATCAACAAAGATTAGCAGAGTTAGGCCAGCCCTAAGACTGAGGGTAAGGTGGCTGCAGAAAATGCGAGGCCTTTCACTGAGCCTTTCTCTGCTATTGAAAGTCACAGCAGGCTTCTAAGCTAGACATTACTGGTTCAAATGTGCTTAGGGCAAAGAAAGCCTCACTGGCCAATCAGCAAGTCCAAATTAAGCGCAGGGGTACTTTTATTCCAGTGCCTCCTATGCTTCTAAAATGCAGTGGCAGTCTTTGGCAAGTGATAACCAGAGCAGCCAGGATTATAGGTGACACTATTCCAGTGATCAATGCACATAGTATTCATCTTGCTACACTCTTGGTGTATGTCTTGTAAGAAAGTCTTGATGATGAGCGGATGTGAAGGGTTTATAATTCTTGGTTCATGGTCAGAATTCTCAGTAAGGTTTGGATTTTTGAGTTTATAGATTGGCAGTTTCTCTACACAAAATATTCACTGACCAAATTTTCAAAGATATCTGAAAAAGTATTTTCATTTCTTGTGTTGGTCATTCATCATTATTTGATTGTTTAAGCAGTTTCTCCTCCTCTTTCTGTCATTGAAACTAAACTTTTCAATGAATAAACTTTAATTTTATTTCATTCCCCCATTAGGTTTTTCTCAGTTAGGCTCTTCAGAGGGCTGGATAATTTTTTTTAATTTTAGGAGAAAAACATAGGGACAGACAGGTGTGCGTGTGTGCGTGTGCGTGTGTGTGCCTGTGTGTGCGCGCGTGTGCATGTGTGTGTGTGCGTGCGTGTGTGTGTGTGTGTGTGCGTGAGTGCGTGCGTGCGTGCGCGCGCGTGCGCGTGTGTGTGTGTGTGTGTGTGTGTGTGTGAGATCAGAAGACAACTGTTGAGAGCTGTTGAGTCACCTCTCTCCTTCTGCCTCTACCTGGGTTCCAGGGATTGAACTCTGCTCTCCAGGCTTGCTCAGCAAGTGCCTTTCCCCACTGAGCCATTTCACTGGTACTGAAGAATGTTTTAATAGTATACTTCAGCTCACAGCAATGAAATGATAGGGAACTTTGTCTTTTCTTTTGAGACCAGGTCTTGCTGTGTAAGTCCCCCAAGTCCAAGGCTCCAAGGGTCCCCCTGCCTTGGCCCCCCACGGAGCTGGACTGCAAGCAAGAACTCATCTCAACCAGCAGAGACATAGTTTCTCCTCTTAGTGTTTTTCACATTTTATGTCCAGCGTGACAGTAGGGACTTTTCTTGTGCCAAGCAGCAAACAGTAAGAATATGAGCAGATGCCATGTCATTCCTTTATCAGAACCTGAGACATGTCAGATATCAGAACCATGCATGTGGTTTGTGCTAATCAGTCTATAGAAAACTAAAGACTGTGGTTCGTGCCTTCAAGGGATTCATAATATATTAGTGTGATAAGTAAATAATACAAATACGTTCTCTAAACCTTGGCTTTGTTTGGAGCTAGGCTCTCACCAGGTAGCCTAGACTGGCTTGAAAATCGTAATTCTCCTGCCTTTGCCCCCTCAGTGCTGGCATTACTAGGCATGCACCACCACATCTGGCCTCAGCTATTTTTCTTTCCTTAATCTTACAATTACAATAATATAAATTCCTGACAGAATTGTGTCATCACTGAAATAGTCTCAGTGGGGAACACAGCACATTCCTGGCCTATAGTGAAGTATTCAGAAAGTGGTGATGATATTGGTGGGTGGACAGAGTCAGGAGAATGAGCAAGAAGGCCATGACCTTGACATCTTTACCCAGATATAGAGAATAGGATGGAATAAACAGAGGTGCAAAGCCATGAATGTAGGACACTTAGAGGGAACACTAGGTGATTGGTCTGTCTCAGACAGAGGGATGAAGGAGTCCTAGGAGCATAGTGAGAGCGGTTTTTGAAGTAGGCAGAAAGCTAGACCTACTCTTGTGAGGAAAGGGTAGACATTAACTTCTGTCAGGCAGGGATTTCTTACAATTAGTTACTGAAGGCTGAAGAAAATCTGTTCTGTTTCATGCTCTTTCAGGTCTCACTGGCCCTGGAGCCTCTGTCAGAAACTTACGACAGCTACAAGCCTCTTCCTACCACTGACATGACAGAAAATGTGCTTTTATCTGAGCGAGGACTCAGAGAGAATACTGAATCCAGCAACACTCAGTCCATGATTCCATCAAGGCCTTGTGGAACACCCACCATCAAAACTGATGGAAAAGAGTTAGCAGGCAACAGCAGTAGGTCCACCACACCAAGGTAATGATCACGTCTCCAGGTCTGCATCTGCTAGCCTCACTGTTCTCAGGATGTTTGTGTCATCTGTGGTAGACTGAAAACCTGAACAGAGAAGCACAGTCATGCATTCAGCAGGTAGCTCTTAAGCACCCACTGCTGGCCTAGTTGGATCCCAGACACTGGCACAGAAATAAACAAGACAGTTCCTGGGGCTGAAGATGTAGCCCAGTGGTAGAATGCATGCTTAGTGTGCTCCAAAGCAATTACGGCAGTCACAGAAGTCCTGTCTTTAAGGACTGCTCTCGGTCCAGTAGAGAAGCCAGTGTACACACATGACTACAAACATTACAGATGCCATGATACATGTCTGTGAGGGGAAAGGGCATTATTTTTTGAAATAGAATGGAGGATGAGAAACAGATTTTTGTCGTAATTGCTTGTGAAGTAATCTGCATTGTATGAGACTGTGTAGACACCCACACTCCCTTTCCCTGTGTGCTGATCTCTGTTTTGTGTCACTTAAGGTATAACCCACAGCTGTGGTAAAGATCTATCATTCCTTTAATTGAGGAGATTAAAAGCAGATATACAAAGTCACACCACAAAAAAAAAAAAAAGCCACCTCTTTCAAGGCCCCAGCTACAGGGCCCTCGCTGACCCTCCGAGCTCTGACAAGGTGGAATATTCCCCAGACAGGGTATGAGCTGCTGGCATTCTTTCTCTCTAACAGGGGGAAAGACCACTTGTACTTTGCAGAGAACCCCGATGCAGTGAAGAGTTCTTTGTGTGGACTACAGCATCACGTTAATTCAGGGCCAGGTTTAGAGACTGTGTTGCAGAGAGGCACAGCCCCACAGAAGCAGATGTCCCTCCTCAACAGTTCCAAGTTTCAGCCACAAATAAGTGCAGTCGCTAAGAGTCACAGTGACTCATGCATCCTGTCTTCAAACAACCGTCCTACAAAAGACCTTCTTTCAGGTACGTCTCTGTCTATAACCTAAGACTATACTGCATTTATTGGGATTGTTGTGCCCACAGAGGGGAACTATTGACTTCTCTATGAACTAGATAGCCAAATGGAAGTGTGAGACTTGCTTTCATCCAGAATCTCGTGTAAAGGCAGCTCTACTAAACTGCTAGGTGACTACTATTTAGATGTTTTTCTTTTAAATTAGTTGTAGCCGTTGTGTTTGTGGGTGTAGTGTGATGTTTCAGTACACATATACAGTAGGTAATGACCATATTAGGTGACATCTATCATCTCAGACATCTATCATTTGTGTTAGAAACATTTAAAATGCCCTTTATGGAGTTGGTAAGATGGCTCAGCTTCTGCCAAGCCTTGCTGAACTGAGTTTGATCCCTGCGACCCACATGGCGAAAGAGAGAATTGACTCTTGCAAGTGGTCCTCTGACTTCCACACATGTACAGGTGGCATGTACCCACCTCCCACCCCACTGCACGCACGCACGCGCGCGCGCACACACACACACACACACACACACACACACACACACACACACACACACCAGTGATATAATTTTAAAAACACAGAGTGTCCTTTACTAGCTATTTCACGACATTCAATTACTTGTCAGTCATAGTTATGCTGATGCTACAGAATGCTAGAAGTTGTCTCTTCTTCTCCACTGCACCCCTGTCCCCACTGGCCTTTCCCTTCCTACCTGCCCACCTGCCCTTCCCCATTTTTGGTAACCTCTCTTGTATTGTCTGTTTAGGGATCAGCTTTCAAGCTTCCACAAATAAATGAGACAATAGGATATTTGTCTTTCTGGGCTTTACTTTTTTTCTCTTAATGATGTCCTCCAGGGACATATTATTCATTCATGTGTACCTGAGAACTTGTAAATCAGATTCTTACATTGCAAGTTTGGATATAAGGGTAAAGCTTTTCTTACAGAAATGTATTAGTCCTTGTCTGGCCCTAAATAACATAAGGCAGCTAGAGTAGTACCAAATTCATTTCACATTCTAAAAACTGTTATTTTTCATGGGGACATTTAGTGTGCAGGTGATCCTTATTGCTTAAGACTGGGAGTTCAGTTCTGTTGCAGTATTTACAGTACTACAGAATACACAGATGTAGAAGGGAGACAGTTTGCTCATTTGTATGTTACTTTTCTCAGTGCTGTGATCGAGTGCACTTGGTAAGGCTGGTCTTGGATTATGGCTTAATAAGGAATATTGTCCACCCTGGTAGTAGGAGCATGAGGCAGCAGACTGCATTGGGCCCTGCAGCAGGAAGTGGGGCCAAGGCTATAGAAGTTCAAGTCCTGCCCTTAGTGGTCCACTTTGTCCAGCAAGGCCCCATTTCCAAGTTCCACAACCTTCCAAAACAGTGCCACCAGCTGGTGACCAAGTGTTCAAGCACATGAGCAAGCATACGAAAGATATTCACGTTCAAACCCAATAAAAAGTGAAGGGGAGCAGCGTGTATTACCTCCGATCAGGGAGCAGTATGCTGTTAACTATTATTTCTGTGACATCAGGAGCATGACAGGAATGTGTATTCACTCCCATAATAACATTTCCAAAGTAGTTATCTGTACCATTTGTAAAAATGTCTTATAAATAACTACTTAGATACATATTTTATATTATTAGGGACATGTGGTCTTATATATTCGCGATGATTAGAATCAGACCCCGGGCCTTCTGCATGCATAACATACACTATACTATTGAACTATTTTGTTCAAATCTTTTATCTTTTATCAAATGTCTTATGAATCCCTGTTTTTAAATATATACTGTAGGGCTAGGTGGTGGTGGCACATGCCTTTAATCCCAGCACTCAGGAGGCAGAGGCAGGCAGACTCTGTGAGTTCGAGACCAGCGCCTGGTCTATAGGGCGAGATCCAGGACAGGCACCAAAACTATACAGAGAAACCCTGTCTACAAACAAACAAACAAACAAACAAACAAACAAAAAATATATATTTTTTTCTATATAATATTCCAGGGCTAGGGCTTAATAGTTAAAAGCACTTGCCATCAAAGGAGACCTGAGTTCAATCCCTGAAACTCACGTAAAGGTAGAAGGAGAGAACTAACTACTGAGGGTTGCCCTCTGACCTCCACATGCACACCATGGCACACGTGGTCTGCACTCACACACATACACCACATGTATACATACAATAATAATAAATACATTATAATAGTAAATACATTATACACATACACTCTCATGTGCACACATGCTCTAAGTCATTAATTTTAGTCTTTTAATTTAAAGAGTTCATTTACAAGGAAGAAAACTCTCCACTACACTTAGCACTTAATCAGCCTCTACCTGGACTGTTGTATGGACTTATACCCCAGACTCTGAGGAAGGCATTTGTTCATTAAATAGGCATTTACCCAACACCTACCAAATGCCTGTGGCTCTTCTATGTGTCAGGGATGTAGCAGTTTAAGTTTTTCTTTAAAAAGAGCCTGTCTTAGGAATCTGCTATTCTAGATGGGAAGACAAACTGGATAAATAAATACTGTATGGCAGTGCAGGTAAATTAAGCAAGGAAGATGAGAGGGGAGGATGCTAATTTTGCATAAATTGGCAAAGTAAGACCTCATTAAGAAAGTAACAAATGGTGCTGGAGAGATGGTTCAGAGGCTAAGAGCACTGGCTGCTCTTCCAGAGGACCTGGGTTCAATTCCCAGCACCCACATGGTGGCTCCAACCATCTGTAATAAGATCTGGCGCCCTCTCTGTCATTCAGGCATACATGCAGGCAGAATACTATATACATGAAGGAAGGAAGGAAGGAAGGAAGGAAGGAAGTGTTCTAAAGGGGACTAGAAGCGTAGCTCGGTGGTAGGACAGTTGCCTGGCATATGTGAGTCCCTGCCGTCACCACAAGGAAGAAAAGGAAAGAGTCCCAGGTAAAAGAAACACTGAAAGAAGTTTAGCCTGAAGAAGCAGCTGCCCCTCTGTGAGCATCGCTGAGTTACATACTCGCTTCTTGCCACGTGTTTTGCATACAGAATTTTATCATACGAGGTAGAGATGGTTAATCTCACTTAAAGTTTTTTACATTTATGTTATTTATATTTGTGAGTGTGATGTGTAAGTGTAGGTACATGTATGCGATGGCGCATGTGTGAAGGTCAGAAAACAACTTGTAAGAGTTGGTTCTGGGGATAAACTCAGATGATTAGGTAGTGCAGCAAGCACCTCTCCACTGGGCCATCTCACTGGTCCTGCTAACCGCATTTTAAAATGGAGACATGAACTAGTAGTTAAGGAGAGCTCCTACCCTGTCAAAAATGGCAGCCTCCTCTCTTAGACTTTAAGGCTAAGGCCCTCTGCTTCATCTTACTGTAGGTTATTATCTATGTAGGCCTACCTGTGCTTTTTAAAGTTAAGACTATGCTGAACAACTATTCAAGCCAAGCAAATATACCAGGCACAATTTGTTCCTTTCCATAAGAATTACTAGGGTAAGTGGATTTAAAGATGAAATAAAGCCAGGTGGTGGTGGTCCACACCTTTATCACAGCACTTGGGAGGCAGAGGCAGGCTGACTTCTTTGAGTTTGAGGCCAGCCTGATCTACATAGTGAGTTCCAGGACAGCCAGGGCTACATAATGAGACCCTGTCTGGGAGAAGAAAAAGAGGAGGAGAGCAGGAAAGTAGAAGAAGTAAGACAAAGGGTGGCTCGGTGTGATAGTCCAGTGGACAGTGACAGAAGAGGAACCCTTCAGCAGCTAGTGAATTCACGGCTGCAACTGTAAATGGCAGGAGTGCACTGGACGGCCTCTGAGAGTCTTACCTATTGGATTCAGTCATCTAATATACAGTTGGATATGATTTTTGTAATAGGGCTTCATAGCCCAGGCTGGCCTCAGACTTAACTGTGCAGCTCAGAATGAATCGTAATGGAAGTATCTGTGTTTTCTGATGGTCTTAGGCAACCCCTGTGAAAGGGTCGTTTGACCCCTAAAGGTGAAGGTCACACGGGTTGAGAACTGCTGCTGTAACAGGTCTATGCCCATTGGCACCTGGGAAATGAGTGTAGGAAACATTGTCCTGCACACACATGAGTGCCATTTCAGTGTGGGAAAGAGTCCTCAAGTTGTTGTGACCAGCTTCTTGAGAACCTGAGACATTCCTATTGTCAAGCCTGAAGCTTGGAGACCATTTTTCAAGGATGGCTTTCTCCACAGTGAAACCAGTTGGAGGCCAATGTGTGAAGAACTTGAGGTCTGGTTCCTCTTCCTTGTTTTCCTTACTGTTTATTCCCTTTTACAACCTGCCTCGGAAGAGTATGTAGGTGACAACTGCCCTCCAGGTACCCGTGGCTGAGTAAACTACTCTTGAAATGTTGGCATTCAAAGAGAAATTTTTATTCTCACAGAAGAAAAAGAAGCTCAATTCAAGTATCAGAAAGCAAAAATAAGGGGAATCGGGGAAAAAATCAGAAGCTATATAGGTACAGTAAGATATTAATAATAACTAATGAAATAATTATGATATGGTATATTAAAGTTGTCAGTACCACTGTTCTTGTGTGTGCGGGCCTTTATTAGGTAAAGTAAGGGTTACTTGTAACACAAAGCTTGAACTATCACAGTGGTAATTCTGAGTAATAAAATAGCAATTGTGAGACTCAAAAGCAGGTAGAATATTCAGTGTGGCCAACAGTAGACAGAGGGGTGATTTATGTCCAGGACACAGTAGAGTGGATTAGGATTTCATCTCACTAGTCAGAAGAGCAACAAAACTTAGGGAGTATACATTCTCGACTTAATTGTTTGACTGGAATTGCAGAAAGTGAAACAATAGATAGTGGGGTGCTTACAGTATAGTGGGGTGCTTACAGTACGATACAGGTGTCATATGTGTGTCTGGGCAGGTTCCTTACCATCTCAGGGGAGTGTTGAGAGAATCCAGTGAGCTGATACATAAGATACTGAGAGTGATGCCTGGCACATGGTTAGGGCCTAATAAATGTCCATTGCTATTGTTAGTGCTGTTATTACCTAAGGGATGGGGTGACTTTTACTTATCAAAAATTGGAAGCCTTGGGTTTCATCTCAGTTTTTCCATTATCCTGCTGTGGGACCTTAGATGAGTCATGGACTTCATTTTGGCATTCTTTGTTCATAAAAGTATAAATTTAGAATAGATTGTTATAGTTATGACTGGTTTCCAGAAGTTTAGCTGGAATAGTTGCCAGTGTTTTTTTTGGGTAAGAGTATTAAAACTCTTATAAATAAGAGAGTCAGAATAAGGTATCTGGTTATGAAAATAAGTCATAGGCACCATTAACCTCATGTGTAGACAGCAGCTGGGAGAGTTGGGTGGCTGGGACATAACAGCTCCCACAATAAGATCAGTCTCTCTGGGATAGAGCGTTCACTCATTGATGTAGCAGCATCTTCTAAACACAAGGTAGAAGCCAAGTAAACAACAGTTGTTAAGCGAACATCCTCTAGGAATTCTCGGGCTGTTGGGAGAACAGACGTAGAAGCCGCTACAGAACCTTGTAGCAAGTCATGCATAGAAGAACAAGTTCTGTGACTATTGGAACCCTTCCTGCTGGATTTCAGGTGCTTTCGTTTTCTGTTTTTACTGCCTTCAGCTCTATTAGAACAGGGCAATAAACTGAGAAATGCCATGTTGATTTCTGCAATGAACTCGAGCCCAGATACTAGCATGCTGCTGGACAAAGTTCCTCCTCCTCTGATGGAAGATGCTTTCCAGTCATCAGTGCCGTAAGTTAGGGGCAAAAGCGCACCCCTGCAGCTCGTTTCTTGAGTTGTTGACTTACCTACTTTTTTGTTGTTATGAATGGAATAATTGGAAATGTTCATCAAATAATTCTTTATATATATATATATATATATATATATATATATATATATATATATATACCCAGAGGGGGGTGGTGGCACCCACTTTTAATCCCTGCACTGGAGAGGCAGAGGCAGGAGTTTGAGGCCAGTGAATTCCAGGACAGCTAGGGCTACACGGAGAAACCCTGTCTCAAACAACAACAACAATAATAATATGCTTTTTTAAATTTATTTTTATTTCATGTGCATTGGTGTTTTGCCTGCATGTATGTCTGTGTGAGGGTATCGGATCCCCTGGAACAGGGGTTAGACAGTTGTGAGCTGCCATGTGGGTGCTGGGACCAGAACCTGGGTCCTCTGGAAGAACAGCCAGTGCTCTTAACTACTGAGTCATCTCTCCAGCCCTCAGCAAATAATTCTTAATGTGGTGAACCTACAGCAGAAGGTACTCAGAATCTGTCACCTAGCATTGGGGTTTGCTAAATGTATAAATGGATACATTCTTTGCTCTCTAATCTGGAATGCTTATATATAAAATGAAGATTTTTTTTTCCCTCTCCCTTCAGAAGTGAAATGGGATTCTGATATTGGGAAGAACTTTGCAAAGTGTAAAGTTTTATATACATTTAAGACAGATAAGCCTAAAAATGTTAAATTTTCTATGTCAGACTCGTGCTTTCTACTCTTTCTTAGCTTGGTTAGGATTTAAATTTTTCCCATCTGTCAGCCATTCATGACAGAGTTTTTTTCACACCTTGGAACCAGGAACTTGTCTAAGAATCAATTTAAAGACCACAGTGATGACCACCTCCTCCCCCTGACTGAGAATTTGTTTTGTAAAGATGATCCAAAAGCTGACGCCAGAGCCATACAGCTGCTGTTAGGCAGGTAAGTGCTCTTAGCTGGCTCTCCTCCATTGAAAACTTCTTCCAGTCACTGAGTACGTTGTTAGTAATACTTCCTTGGCTGAGTCCTTTCCTGGTCCTTAAACTAGGACTGTTTGCCTACTGAACAAGAAGCCTTTCCTTTCGGCTTTATTCACACACTGGCCGCAGCCCTCCTCTCTGTCCTGTCTCCCCACTCTTCACCACCCCTGGCAGCTGCTGTGATGAAGGGAGCAGGAACCTTAACTGGAGTCAGGTGGAAAGCTGCTTAGCACTGTGGCCTTGGGCAGTTATCTCAACTACAGAGGCCCCAAAAGAATTTGCTAGTTTTGCAAAATTTCAGTGAAGTTGAGAAATTCTGTATATAAAGGAGTTAGCATGGTGTTAGCACATACATGTGCACTAAAACCAGACTCATCATGTATTGTCTCTTGAGGAACTACTATAAACATTACTGTCTTGGAGAGGTTAAAAGCAATATGTTATGCATACACAAGAAACATGTTTTTAAGAATGCACACTTGTTTAAGGTTTATTACTTTGGGGCGGGGTTTTGTTTTTTTTGTTTTGTTTTGTTTTGTTTTGTTTTGTTTTAAGAGAGGGTTCATGTAGCTCAGGGTAGCCTTGAACTTGCTGTGTGCTATGTGACTGAGAATGACATTGAACTCTGATCCTCCTACCACTGCCTCCCAAGTGTTGGCATTATAGGCATGCACCACAATGCCTGGCTTTTCCACTTAGTTTAATTTGGTTAAAATTTAAGCTTATAGGAAAGTGGCAAGACATATGACCTTTGGTCTGTTGACAGAGGACTTTGACTATTACATTAAAGAACTTGAACTTCATACTAAAAATGGGGTGGATACCAAAATATTCTGAGTGGAAGAGTAGGAAGATCCCAGTGGAGATGGGAAGAGAAGAAATGAAAGTTAAAATCCCAGGCTTCTATGATAGCAACTGTAGAAGAAGGCAGGGAGTAAAGCACAGCCAGCCCCTGGGAGTTCTGCTCTGTCTGTGTGTCCTAATGACTGAAGTTAAATCCTCACTTGAATGTGAGACAAGGCTCTGAAGGTGGTTCGCGTTTGAGACTGTAAGTCTGTACAGGCCCTAGATCCGTGGGTGCCAAGCACAGCTGAGGGTGGAGGTGAGGGCCACGCTGAGGGAGAGGAGACTGAGCTAAAATGAGTCCGTGGCATGATGGCTGCCCGCCAGCCTCAAGCCCCCTTTTCCTTCTTGACTCCTAAGCACACTGGCAGCCACACTCCCTCCCAGGCCAGGTGGAAGTCGTTCTGGTCAAGATAAAAGAGGTTGAAACACACAAACTGGCCCTTACTCAACAAAATGATCCAGCTCTGTCCAGGTGTTTGGTGATGAAGCCACAGTTATCAAGGGCCTCCTGACTCAGCCTGTGGATTGAGCTTCTAGTCGGCATTGAAGGCCTAGATTTGAAGACATGAGGAATGCTTCCAGCATGTACACAGAGAACAGGAACAGTAGAACATTGAGAAGAGAAAGGGAAGGAAAAAAGTCCCAAAAGATTTAACAAAAAGAATGAAATGGGAAAATATGAAAATAAAGTTTAAAATTGAAAATTAACATTTTTAGAATATTCAACATCTAGATAATTGAAATTCCAGAAATTATGTTTAAGAAAAATAAAGGAATCGTGCTGAGAGTGGGCTTGTCTTGAGGCTAACAAACACAGATAAAATTCAACACTACAATAAGTCATAAACAGGTAAATTAATTCAAAGAAATCATAATTGTAAAAAAGGAAAAATCATCATCTGCAGATGATTATTTTCCCTCTGAGAGACATTTCTTGGCCTGCTATTGCCTTAGTGGAACTGAACATGGTAACTAAGTTACCATGAGATCTGGGCTGCCCATCAGGAACTGGGTGTTATCTGACCCAGTTCAGACCCAAGGTATCAGAGGACTGCATACTGAGCAGCAGAGATCTCTGTAAATTTGTATGCAGAGTAGGTGGCAGGCAGCAAAGAGCTATGGTGGACAGCAGAAACCCGAAATAAAGTTCTCGAGAGGGCTGGAGTGACAGCTAAGCTGTTAGCAGTACTTGTTACTGATGCAACCTGTGTTGCTTCCTAGCACCGACATGGTAGCTCATAACCAGCTGTTAAGGAAGGTTCCAGAGGCTATGGTGCCCTCTTCTGACTGCCACAGGAACATACTAGGTGCTCTCTTAGGGTTTTATTGCTGTGAAGAGACATCATGACCATGGCAACTCTTATAAAAGAAAACATTTATTTGGGGGTGGCTTACAGTTTCTGAGGTTTAATCCATTATTGTCACAGCAAGAAGCATGGTGGCATGCAGGCAGACATGGTGCTGGAGAGGTAGCTGAGACTTCTGCATCTAGATCCACGGACAGAAGGAAAAGCACGTCACACTTCCTCCGACAAGGCCACACTTCCTAATAGTGCCATTCCTTATGAGCCTATGGGGGCCATTTTTATTCAAACCACCACAGGTGCAAATACATACGTACAGGTAAACAGAGACATAAAATAAAAAATTATTTTTTAAGAAGATGTTATATAAATGAATACCAGAAATACTTTCAAAAAGAGAGCAGTTTTAGTTGCTAAGAGGCCAGCAGATGAAGAAAGGCACTTGCCGCCAAGCCTGACGCCTGGAGCTGTCCCTGGAGGCCACGTGGTAAGAGAAGTTGTCCCGTGTGTGTGTGTGCACATGCGCTCCCTCCCTCCCTCCCCTCTACTTAAATGTAATAAAAGTAAAAAAATCTGAAGTAATGTGCAAACATTGTAGAAATTTTAAAAAATGGTAGCTAGCTTAAAAAGGAAGCAGAGAAATAATAAATACATGAGTCGGTGATGAGCATGCACTGTTTAATAATATTGCTGCTTTATTATTAATGGATGTTCATTAAAATATTGTTCAGTTCACCAACATTAAGTATTAGTTACTATAAGAAAGAAAAATGAAAAAAGATAAATTGTTCCTTAAAATATGAGTTTATAGTTATTTACATACTTACTTCCTCAGTTTATAAACTCCTCGTAGTGTTTTATTCATTTTTGTTTGTTTGCTTTGTTTCTTAAGACAGTTTCTCTGTGTAGCCTTGGCTGTTCTGGAACTCAGTCTGTAGACCAGGCTGGCCTAGAACTCACAGAGTTTATTCAATTTTATATCCAATGTGAAATTAATCATGTCATAATAATTCCAAAATACATGTGTTTGCTTAATTGAAGAAGGTATTTTTGTGAATTAGCCATCTTTTTCTCCCAGCTAGACCGCAGACATGACAGGAGCACAGCTGGACCTAGATTAGCCATCTCCATGGCAACCATAGCACATAATAGCCAGCAGATAATTGCTGAGAACACAATGTGTGTCAGGGTTTTGAGTACTAGTTGACGTCATCCCAAGAGAGGAGATAGAGCTGGAAAATGTCACCCAGTAGTCTGTGGAGAGTGAGTCCTTAGCATACTGTCTTTCACATGTTAGGAAGTTTTACCAGCGAGAGAGAATAGTTCCACTGAACGTTCTGTTAAAATCTTTGCCTTTGTTTTTCTTATCTCCAGTGCTGAATTATCCCAAGGTCACTTTTGGAATGGATTAGGCTCTCCTCCAGATTCCCCATCTCCTGGGAGTGATGTGTATTGCAGCAGTGACCCGAATGACCCTCAGTATGACCAGAGTCTCCTGGAGAACTTGTTTTACACAGCGCCTGTAAGTCATTGAATCTGAATGAAGTTCTACAAATCGGGGTCACAGCATTTAGTAGCCACAGTCAGGATATTTGCAGGAAGCTATTCATTTTACGTATACCTTATTTAATAATAATGATAGCCGGAGGAAGAAAGTGTTTTCATTTTACGGAAAAGAGACAGGCCGTGACACTTGAGTCTGTCCCAAGGATACGTAGCAAGTATCATTGCCAGAATCAGATTCAGATTCACCCAAGTCCAGAGCCTGTGTTGCAGTATGTCATATGGCTTCATTAGCGCTCTTCTAAGAAACAGCTAATACAGACATGCCTCTGAACCCACTCAGTATCTGTTCAGAAAGGTCCAGAAACATTTCTACTCACAGGTGACAAAACTCTCTTTTGACGTGTAAAATAGGGAGTTCTTTTCAGGTAGTTCTGCTTTATTCCAACCTTTTTTATGTCAAGCTGCATGATCTGGTTTAGCATCTTCTAGACCGATGGTTCTCAACCTGTGGGTTGTAACCTCTTTGGAGTCATATGTCAGATATTTACATTATGATTTAAAACAGTAGCAAAATTACAGTTATGCAGTAGCAACAAAAATAATTTTATGGGGGGGTGGTCACCACAACATGAAGAACTGTATTAAAGTGTCGTGGCATTTGGAACCGCTGTTCTAGATGCTATGCACAATGAGCCTAATCGCTTTCCACAAGTTATCCTGGAGGTTGCTGTCATGCTCCTCATATAAGTCCGTCGTTTGTTACTATAACAATACTGAGAAAGGCTGACTTTATAAAGAAGAGAGATTTATGTAGCTCGTGGTTTAAAAGGCTGAAAGTCTAAACAGCACTGGCAAAGCTCTGGTAAAGATCCCTCTGGCTACACCGTCTCAAGGTGTATATGAGAGAGGGATCATCACATCACCAAACAGGAAGCCATGGGGGCAGTGGCTGGGGTCCCATCATCCTCCCTTCTTAAGGACTTGTTCTAACAGAACTAAGGATCTCCTCCCATGAAGCCTGACATCTTAATGGTCACCGAGGGCCAAGCTTTCAACATAAAAAGCTTTTAGGGACATACTCTAACCATGTCCAGACCATCACACTTGTGATTTTCCCTTTTTCTATGTCAGGAAAAAAACAAAAATGACTGAAACACAAGGTAGTTTATTCTGGCCTGATAGTACGTTGGGGAGAGCTGCCCAAGTTGAGACAAAATGGGGGAAAATTATCTGATATTGCCAAGCAGGAGCATAGGCAGGCAGAAAAGGTTTTAACAGACTTGAGAGTTTTGAAAGGCAGAGAAATGGGCTGTCTTAAAGCAACTTGAGGAGGAAAAGATTTATTTCGGCTTACAGCTCATGGCTTACATCTTCTCTCACTGAGGGAAGTCCGGGCAGGAACTCAAGCAGGGACAGTGGAGGAACACCACTTCCTGACTTGTTTCTCATGTCTCTTTCAGCCTGCCATATTATACAACCTAGAACCACCTGCCAGGGGTGGCCTGGGCCCTCCCACTTCAATCATTAATCAAGAAAATGCCCTGTAGACTTGTCTGTAGGCCAATCACACACACACACACACATACACCCCACAAAAAAAACAAAAAAACAGCACATGGGTATAGAAAGAAGGATCTATATTAAAAAAAATTAAAAAGGATGTTGGGGATATACTTTTTCTGTGTGGTGCTGGTGATTAAAACCTATGGCTTTGTGTGTGTGTTAGGCAAGTACTCTACCACTTGACTATATCCCAAGTCCAAGTATAAGTGTTTATGTACTGCAAGAAATCCAATTAACTAAATGAGAATTTGCAAGAGAATAGGGAAGTTAGCACTGGCCTAATGTAGACAAGGCCTTGAGTTTGAGCCCCGACACTGGGAAGAGAATTGTGTGGAAAATTAGTTCATAGAATAGACGGGCACACTGTGACCAGAGTGAGGAGCTTTTCATGGCAGGTGAGGTAGAAATGACAGGATTTAACCAGATGAGGAGCAGATTAGAGGGCAAGTAATCCAAAGCAGATAAAAAGCTTTTGGGGTCTTGGAAAGGGAAAGAGAAACAGAGTAAAAGGTGGAATTCGCATCGAGAAAAAAAGAGTTTGAATTTGAAAGACACTAACTGCTAGGATCCCAGGACTTCCTGCCTCAGCAGTCATCTCTGGTAACTGTGTTATGTGTGGGATAAAGAAGAAAGGGTCTCTTTGCTACACACTTATTTAACTAGTGTTCTGTGTGTGAAGGCCTTTACATGTTGTCTGCCATTAATTATGAACTGTACCAAATGTTTTTAATTTACCACTTCATTTACTTCTTTTACTAGAACCATGAAACAGTATTCTCTGTCATATACCATGAAAAACAGCTTAGATAGTTAAATACAAGGAATTTAAATACTTAGAAGTGAAATACAAGGAATCTGGCCTGTGGTGATATACACCTGTAATCCAAGCACTAAGGGGTCTGCGGCAGGACCCAAGGTTCTAGGCCTGCCCTTACAAAGCAAATTCAAGGCTGCATAGTCAGACTCAGTTTTAAAAATAAAAACATTGTAAGCTGTTAAGAAGCAGAACAGGAATCCTTGCCCAGACATTCTGGCAGGACACCTGTGTTCTTTTGCTGGCCCACACTCTCTTAAGTTTTAAACATGGCTTTAGAACTCTACCCTGACTTCCCTGCCTGACCTCATCTCTCACTTTGGCCTTTACTCACTGGTGTCTCCAGTCTGGCATCCCATCCCACTCCTCAAACACACCAGCTGCTCCTGTACTTCCCTACTTTCTCCTCCTTCTGGTCCTTCTACTGAGAATATGGAAATGTTCTTAGCCATCTAGTAAACTGCATTCTTCAAAAGGCACTCTATGAGGAAACCATCCTGACTCTCCCAAGCAGAGTTTAATGCCCACAAGTTCACAGTGTCTTGTACATAACTTTTATTGTACATCTCTGATGCAGTTCTTCATAAACAGGAACATATCCTATCTTTATTAGCTGTACAGCAAAGACAATTAATAAATGAATAGTTTAAGGGCACTAAATAATCCCCCCATGCTACGTAAGCAAAGTAACTTTAGAAAAATGTTTGTTGATGGAGACAGTGAACAAGTTGATCATGCAGCATCAGGAAGACCAGGGGTTTAACATGTTCTGCTCCAAAGGCAATGTTTGACATTCTAGTATTGAGTAATAGTCACAGCTTAGAAATGCAGCATTACTGCTCTATGATTTTGGTTCCTGGAATTCCAAGCTTTTTAACAGCCCAATTTGTATTTGCCCTAATTTATTTTAACCTATGAACCTACTTAGATTTTGATTGTCTTGCATCTATTTTATTTTTAGGATCCCATTATGTAGCCCTGGCTGGCCTGGACCTCACTATATAGACCAGGCTGGCCTTAAATGATCGGCCTGCCTTTGCCTCCCAAGTGCTGGAATTAAAGGCGTGTGTCACTATGCCAGGCATCTGTACTCATTTTGAAAAGCAGCCATCCAAGGAAAACCTATGAGCACAAAGCTTTCTACTTTGATCTTTGAGTTAATTCGTCCTCCTTATCATGGGTCAATAAACTATGCACCCCAAAATACTGAAAGATGGGAATTGGAAAAGACAGGCTTGAGTAGTGGGCCTTCCTAAGCACACTGCGTGTTAGATACTGCGTGTCTTCCTGAGCACACTGTGTGTTAGATACTGTGTGCCTTCCTTCCCGAGCACACTGTGTGTTAGATACTGTGTGTCTTCCTGAGCACACTGTGTGTTAGATACTGTGTGCCTTCCCGAGCACACTGCGTGTTAGATACTGTGTGCCTTCCTTCCCGAGCAAACTGTGTGTTAGATACTGTGTGTCTTCCTGAGCACACTGGGTGTTAGATACTGTGTGTCTTCCCGAGCACACTGTGTGTTAGATACTGTGTGTCTTCCTTCCCGAGCACACTGTGTGTTAGATACTGTGTGACTTCCTTCCCCGAGCACACTGTGTGTTAGATTCTGTGTTTCTTCCTGAGCACACTGCGTGTTAGATACTGTGTGTCTTCCTGAGCACACTGCGTGTTAGATACTATATGTCTTCCTGAGCACACTGCATGTTAGATACTGTGTGTCTTCCTGAGCACACTGCGTGTTAGATACTGTGGGCCTTCCTCTCCAAGCACACTGCATGTTAGATACTGTGTATCTTCCTGAGCACACTGCATGTTAGATACTGTGTGCCCTTTTGAATCTGAAGCCAAATAATCATGATTCCACCTTCTCTGTTTGTTTTGCATTTTGTAATTCAAGAGGCTAATTTAGTCTATTACAGTAGATGAGTTTTCTCAAAAATGAAATTAAAAGGGGGTTTTTCAACTGATTTCTTTCATGAAGGCAATTTGTGAAATAGAGTCATTAATTTTTTTAAGCAAAATTAAAAACAGAACGAATTACTTAGAGCATGGATAGTGTGGGGGAGGGGGAGACAATCTTTGCACCCAGTTAGGTGACATTGTAACAGCCATTCTGCCTCAAACTATGATAGAAAGACAGACTTCAAAATCATGGAGATCAAAATGTGGATTTCCTCCGTATAGCTAGGAATCACAAACAAGCTGCCTGGCTTTTTCCACTTGTAAAGACATGAACTCACTGCGTACTTGGCTACACATGCTGCTGCTAGCACAACACAGCGGACAGTCAGGACAGTGGTCTCCCTGAGCACTCTTGTGTCTTCTTGTTTACTCTGAATGGACTTAGAGCTTATCTGTGTGACCTGCAGATTATTTTTGTATACCCGGGAACAATGTGGAGTATATCCCTGCTCTCAGTTATCTCTTTAAGAGGATGGTGTTTTCAAAAAGAGTGGCTGCTTGCTTTTGGAGAGCTGATTGTAACTGCTTTCCCTGAAGCGAGCGTCTTTCAATGCCTGCCTTCTGTTTATCTTCCCCAGAAATCTGAAGTCAGCGCCAGTGAGTGCCTCAGTGAAGATGATAGCATGGAACCTTCTAAAACAATGAACCAGTCGAAAGCCTCTGGCAGATCTAAGGTTGTAGGGTCAGGCGAGCACAAGCTGAGGAAGAGGGCAGCTGACAAGAAAAGCAGGTGAGCCTCTGTGAATGCTCAATGCAGGCGGAAGCAGAGCAGGGGCATTGCCGCAAGGGAAACGGCCTGGAGTTGGCCAAGACTGCCTACGTGCTTAAGTTATGTCAGCTCACTGAAGGATTTCAGTCCTTAAAAAGGTAATGCACCACTCAGCAGGCAGAGGTAGGTGGAGCTCTGTGAGTTCAAGGAAACCAGGTCTATGTCTTGAGTTCCAGGACACCCAGAGCTACATAGAGAAACCCTGTCTCAAAAAGTCAAAAAAAAAGGACGGTGCATGAGAAGAGGGGTTATGAAGGAATCAGAATAGTGTGGGTTGTGGTGTGTGCGTGGACCGTGGTCATACCTATATGGGAAATGTGAAGAGGAATACACAAAGTGACATGGCAACAAGATTAGGAGAGTGGGTAACTAGTTAGACTTCCCTCCCAGGATAATCTAATTCTGTAACATTCATTCCTATACTTGTATGGATATCAATCTTACAGTTAAAGAATAGTTGACATACTTTTAGATGAGAACCAGATTCTGATCATAAACACTGTTTCCTAGCCCGGCACGGGAGTAGAAGCAGAATGGGGGTTTCAGACCAGCCTGGGCTACATAGTGAGACAGTCTCAGAGAAAACAGAGCTGTTCCTACACTTGCCTTTGCAAAGAAATACTTGCTGCTCGACCTCTTTCCTCCTGTGCAGCTTGATTGCTCCCTGCTGGGCCTCTAACTCATGCCTACCTGTCTGTGAACTTGCAGAAGTGTGGTTGACGAACAAGTGCTCTCAAGAATTCCAGTACATACCCCGGCGACATCACTAAGTGTGGACAGACTGGCGCTTCTGGGTAGAGTACATTCAGTCAGAATCATCGTTGAAACCATGGGAGTCCCTCCAGATAGTCCACATATGACACCAAGCAGAAAAAGCTTTGCCGGGAAACCACCAAAGCCAGCAGCAGCAACAGCAGCAGCAAAAAAGCGGTATATCTAAATAAGAAAGCGAAATGGCTTTGGGGGAAAGCGTGGCTGACAATAGGAAGGGTGTAACTTTACAATTTGTTTTCATGTACATTTTCAATCAATAAAAGTGATTTGGAGTTCCCAAAAATGAGGGTAAATTTAGAATAAAGAAAGGTGGGTTGGAAACCATTCTTACAGCCCTTACAGTTTTATAGATGCCTGTCTGTAGCATAGCACCTCAGGGGCCGATAGATCAACCTCAGGGGCTGATAGATTGTTCATGTTGAACGTATGGTGGGTGTTCTAAGTGACCTCTGAGGCCATGCAATCCTGGAAATGGGAACTTCAAAGAGAGAGAGGCAGAAAATACATCTACTTTTTGTTTAGTTTAGTTTTAGATTTTTATATATCTGGGTGTTTTACCTGTTTGTGTACCATGTGTGTGTGGTGCCCAAGGAGGTCAGAAGAGGGCATTGGATTCCCTGGCGCTGGACTCATGTGGGTGCTAGAAACCTTACTTGGGTTCTTTGCAAGAGCAACAAGTTCCCTGAATTGCTGAGCCATCTCTCTAGCACCCACCCACCCCACCCGACCCCTTTTCTGTTTTTTCTTACAGCACTTTCTTTGTGGAGTATCACTTTCCTGTGGGCTTTTCTAAAAGTGGACTGGCAAAGACAGCTTTGATCACTGAGGTCGTGCGACTTGCCTCCAGTAAAATCACAGATGGAGGTAAAAAGCGTGCTGGTGTTCTGCTGATCACTGCCCCTGACCAAAGTGCTAGAATTAGAAGTGTGTGCCACCACCCATGGCCTTTTGTTTGCTTTTTAAAATGGTCTCACTATGTAGACTAGGCTGACCTCAAGCTTTCAGTAATCCTACCTTGGCTTCCCAAGTACTGGGATTTCAGGAATGTGCCACATGCCTATCTGTAGATGGTACTGTTTATAGTAATGTTTTAGGGTTACTGTTGCTATGGGAAGAAAGCGTTTATTTGGCTTATATGTCCACATCTTAGCCATCATCAAAGGAAGTCAGGACAGGGACTTAAACAAGGCAGGATACTAGAGGCAGGAGCTGACACAGAGGTGGTGGAGGGGTGCTGCTTACTGGTTTGCTCCCCACGGCTTGCTCAACCTGCTTTCTTATAGAACTCAGGACCACCAGCCCAGGAGTGATTCCACCCACAATGGGCTGGGCCCTCCCCATCAATCACTAATTAAGAAAATGCCCTACAGCCCTATCTTACTGGTCATTTTCTCAGTTGAGGGTCCCACCTCTCCAGTGACTCTAGCTTGTATCAAGTTGACATAAAACTAGCCAGCACAAGTATAAAAGTTTTTTGTTTTTATGTAGTTGATTTTATCTAATGTAGTTGATTTTGTCTGTTTTTTCTTTTGACCCTTATGCTTTGATAATGTCTTTTATTTTATTCTTTCTTGTTGTAAACAAAGACACCAAAAAAATATATTCCTGTAACCTAGTATTACAGTTGCTCTTATTTTTTTAATCACTTTTTTTTTTAATTTAATTTTGCTGTGAAGGTAGATGTGAAGGGCATTAGCAGGTGTGGAAGTTCAGCACACCTTTCAAGAGTCAATTCTCTCCTTCTGGTGTGGGCTCCAGGAATGGAACTCAAGTTATCAGCCTTGGCAACACATGGTTTACCTCTGAGCCGTCTCCTCGCCCTACAGCTGCTTTCCTAATACAGTGTGCTTTGAAGACTGGGTCCTCACTTGGACCATACCAAACACTAACTGTGTGATCTTAGCAGTCACTTTTTGTCTTTAGGCCACTCTTAATATAAATTAGACTATGTATTTCATGATCTCTTTCACCTCTACAAAACTTTCTCTAAGACATGGTTAGCAACTTATACAGATTTCTTCCATTGCCACAGTCATTCAGTACTAAAAAAGACTTTAAGAAACAGAATTATATGAGTGACATAGTAATTTTTTTCTTTTTTTTTTTAAGATTTATTTATTTATTATGTATACAGTGTTCACTTGCATGTGTCCCTTCAGGCTAGAAGAGGGCACCAGATCTCATTACAGATAGTTGTGAGCCACCATGTGGTTGCTGGGAATTGAATTCAGGAAGCTCTGGAAACATAGCCAGTGCTCTTAACCTCTGAGCCATCTCTCCAGCCCGATTGATATAGTAATTATGAGGACATGTGCCCAGGTAGGAAGGAGCAGTCTTAACACCAGACTGCAATAGAATTCAGTTTGTTCACTAAGAACTACTACTGTACCCATAGTCTTTCTATTTGTCCCCTCAGTTGACCTTCCTGGTGCCCAAAAGAGGTATAAGTGTTACCATCCTTTTCCTGGGTTAGCAGCCAAAGAAATTGATCTCATGGTGACTGTTAGTTCCTGGGCACAGGCCTTTTGACCTGTGTGTGGATGAAGACCCATATTCTGCCTAAGAGTAATGAGAAGGTGAGAGTCAAGAATTAAGATTGCCACAAATGAACAGAGAAGAGTAGGTCAAAACTGGCAATTTGAATGAATGAGTACTCAGTGCCAGAATCTCTACATAACTGGGCTGTTGATGAGAGTTCTGCAGACCTATTAAAGATGCCCAGAAGTGAATGGACAGGAAGGAATCTTACAGGTGACAAATGTACCCCAAGTAATAGACCTGAAGCTTGAGCACATCTCCTTTGATTTTATTCTCAGATTTCTTATTTCCTCGATGAAGCTGCATATCAGTGAAGACAAACTAAATACCACTGTCACTTCATCCTGTTTACAGCAGAAAGCCCTGGCTATTCAGAGAAGGCCTCTACTCCACCTGACACAGCTAACTAGCATGAGTAGTTGATACTCCATCTGCATGACAGCCTGAGTGTCTTGTCAGTTAGCAAGAAAATTAGCTTACTTTTATTACTGGAATTTTTAATTTTATTCTTCTATGAATTCATTTCTCTCTCGTCTTCCCCCTAGTTAATCACCTTTTTCTGTTGAGCCACTTATCTACCTGATTTTCAAAAACAGTCATGTTTGCTAGGTCAAAGTAGTGCACACCTTAATCCCAGAATTGGGAGGCAGAGGCAGGCAGATCCCCGTGAGTTCCAAGCCAGCCAGGGCTACATAGTGAGACCTGATCTCAAAATAAATAAACATTTAAAAAAACACAATGTCTGGCCGGGCAGCAGTAGCACATGCCTTTAATCCTAGCACTCGGGAGACAGAGGCAGGTGGATCTCTGAGATCGAGGCCAGCCTGGTCTACAGAGCGAGATCCAGGACAGGCACCAAAACTACATGGAGAAACCCTGTCTTGAAAAACAAAAACAAAAACAAAAAAAAACAATGTCCTGGCCACAGTGAGTTATATGGATAAGTCTCCTTTTATATCCTGGTTCCCGTTTCATGAGCATTTCTCATAGCAAAGCTGAACAATATAACTCCTACAGCCTTTGATTTTATGAAGTCACACTGAATTCCTGAAAGAACTTGAAAAGGGCGGGTGGAGTCAAAGCATGGATTAATGATGGCTGTGGTTGGGTTGTGTGACCTGTGCCTTTTTATCTGTTCTCCTTCACAGTGGTGAAATTCCAGCAGCGATTTGTGTGTCCAATAGAGTTTGGTGGCCCAATGATTGAGCACTGGTGGAATTCTAACCTCACCTTCCAAATTTATGCAAAGAAAGCCCCACAGAAAAAGGTAAGTCATTTGAGCCTTGCCGTTCACACCAGGCATTTTGCTAGATAAACGAGATTTCTGGGCTCAAGTAACACAAATGTTACTATGCTGAATACTATCTTCCAGCACACTGTCAAACCCAATAATGGCAACAGCTCTGTGAATTAAGTACCTTATCGCCTTCATTTCCTAGAAGAAGAAACTGAGACTTGCGTTCAGTGACTTGTCTTAGATTCCCACTCTAACAAAAGCAGAGCCATAGCATCATGCAAGTTCTTGGTCTAGTCTGGTCTGATCTGGGTGTGTTTTGTTTTTTATTTTTGAGATAGGATCTCATTTATGGAACCCAGGCTGGTCTTGAACTTGCAGTCCTCCCTCCTCAGCCTTCTAAGGACTGGGATTGCAGGGGTGTGCCAACCACAGCTGCCAGAGCCCATGTCCTTGACCTCCTGCTATGCCTGTTCACTGCAGGGCAGTGACAGTATCGGTGCAGGCTGTTTCATGTGGGCCTTAGTCCCTAGAGTACCCAGCCCCACCCAAAATAGTAAAACTGTAGGTAGCGATTGGTCAAATAGCTTCCGTTTAGAAAGTTCACTTTGCAAGTGTCCCCTCCTTCAGTGAGAGAGCAACCCAGGTGAAGAGACTCCGTCTCTGGTGTGGATAGGTGAATGCACCCCAGAATATAACAGGACAGACTCAGAAAAATGGCAAAGCAGGAAGAAGAGGGAGTGAAAATCACAGACTTGTTCAGTCGTGAGGAAACCTCAAGACAACCTCAGTTAACATTTTAATATATTTACATTGCATTTCCCTAGACCTAGTTCATGGCTTTTTTCTAATTACAAAAGAATTTCACATTATTTTTTATAACTTGAAAAATGTTTTTCCATTTGAATACCACCCACCAAGAAGGCAAACTTTTCCTATAACCTGGCATGGTGGCACATGCCTTTAATCCCAATACTCCCAAGGTAGAAGCAGACCGAATTCTGGAAGTTTAGAGCCAGCCTGCCTATGTAGCAAGTTCCAGGCCAGCCATGGCTACACAGTGAGACCGTATTTCAAAAACAGAAAACAAAACAAAACAAAAAAAACCTCTGTCACTAAGAAATAGCTATTGTTAACATTGGGATTTTTTACATTTAATATTTGTGTTTAACTTATTTATTTACTTTTATTTAGTGTGTGTGTATGTATGTATGTATGTATGTTACTAGGGATTGAACCTAGGACCTCAAAAGTTGCCAAGTTCTCTATTACTGAACCCCAGACATCTTTTTACTTTTTATCTTGATCAAGCATTCAGTAAGTTCCCAGGCTGGCCTTGAACTCACTTTCGTCCAGGAAGATACCAAACTTTCTATTCTTCCTTAGCCTCCTAAGTAGCTGAGATTACATACCCGTAGGTCTAGACCCTGCTAACGTGTCTTTCAACTGAGCACAATATGTTACATAATTTTGTATGTATTTTTGGGTATTTTTTATTTAACATTGTATCATGGGTTTTTTATTTCATTTTTCTTTTAATAAAATAGTTTTCCACATAATTTTATGTTTGAGGAATTGTATATTTGTATTTATATAAGCCTCCTTGGGGCTATCTTATTGGTATCTGATCTTGTCCTCCAAATCATCTTATATTCCTGATTTTCTGACAGAATGGAGGGTTGGGTTTGGGCGGTGGTCTTGCCCAGCGACTGCCTAAAAGAGGCCACCTTTTAGGTGAGTTTTTCCATGGTGCTGGTTTGGTTCCATTCTGTAATTAGACTGGATGGATACTGTCTTATTTGTCTCCGGTTCTCTAGTCCGTTAGAGGAAGTTAATAGCTTTTCCAGCAGCTTGGCAGTTGGCTGGAATTGGTGTCAATGGCATTCTCAGATGTGGGGGGAGCAGTGGAGACACCTGTGGCGGTGAACTGTTGGGTAAATTAAGTCCACCTAACTTTCTAGCCAGTTGAATTGCTTCTTTCATATTTCCCATTGCCCTTCCACTTTATATTGAGTTAGATCAAGTGTGGGGAAAGCCTGCCTCCATGCAGCTGCTGTCCAGTCTAGTAAAGGGAGGGTTTCCCTCTGGCTACATCTAAAATTGGTTCCAGACCTTCAAATTTATTATTCAACTCTTATCAAAGGTAACAAGTGTTGCTCATATTACTGTAACCCTTTAGTGCCCGGCAGTGGTGGAGCATGCCTGTAATCCTAGCAAATGGGAAGCAGAGGCAGGAGGGGGCTCTCCTGGTGCATAGCAAGTCCAGGACAGACAACGCTACAGAGTAAGACCCGATCGAAAAACAACAAAATCAACGCTTTTGTGAACTGGTTGCTTTGGTGGCTGCCTGTCATACAACTATATGAATATGCTAAAATTGGCTTAATTGTTATATATTATTAGACCAGTGGTTCTCAACCTTCCTAATGCTGCAGCCCTTTATTTAATACAGTGTTGTGGTGACCCCCTGCCATAAAATTATTTCATTGCTACTTCACAACTGTAATTTTGCTACTGTTATGAATTGTAATGTGAATATCTGCTATGTGACCCCCCGGTGGGTCAAGACCCACAGTTGAGAACCACTGCATAGACATTTAGTTGTTTTTGGTTATTAACTACTTTTAACATATGCAATTTATGCATAGCTTTTATTCTAGCTTGTTCATATGACAGCCTTTTGCTCCTTTGTAGCCTCAGTAGCATCAGGCATATCGTGTGATTTTCTTAGTCTTAAGACATTATTAGTTAATGAAGCTTACTGAAGAAATCAGTATGCAAGAAGAACTAAGTTTTAATAGAGAAAGGTGCTTTTTGTAGCTTATGAAGTCCTCTGTAATCTGTGTTTTCTAGGGGAAAACAGTCAAACCCAGAAGGGAAAGCGAAAGCTTTTATGGATATGGTAGCATTGTTGGCCGTGTATTCTCTCACAAGCCATCACAGGCTATCACTTCAGTTAAAGTCCCCCATGGCTCTCCTTAAGCTTTTCTTTCCTTGTTCTGTCAGCCAGAAGTCATTGGATCTGCATCCCTCCCTTTGCGTGCTGTCATTCAGTCAGAGCTGCTTTCTTTCAGTAACCAGCTTCCAGTGCGACAGGAAGATGGCTCGTCTTCACTTGGCCCCCTTAAGGTATGTGGGGATACATCCAGAAAGTCACAGATATTTCCTGAGCATGAACCTGAGCTAGCACTGAGAATGTAGCTGGGAACAGGAAAAGCAGGTCTCTGCAGTGGGAAGGCTTCTGCTGAAGAGCAGTAGAGTGCCTTGAAGGCAACAGACATGTACAGTATTGCCAGGGAGGAAGCAGGAGACGGGCAGACAAGCCCTCTCTAAGGAGCTACTGTCCAAGGTGATAGTTGAAGAAAAAGAGAAGAAAAGTCAAAGCACATATAAAACCCTAAGGATTGTTACCACCGGATAGCAAGCAAGAGTCAAATGATAGAAAATAGAGTTGCACACATAGGAGGTAAGAGTGAAATTCACGTCTTTTTAGGTCAAGGCAGTATTTAAATTTTGGCCTGTGAGCCAAAGAAAAGACACCAGAGCATTGGCGTGACATCTTATTGTCAATTTAAAGTATTTCTATGTAGACGGTACATTATAGGGAGTAAAGGGAAAATGGAAATGCTGAAGCGTTCGTTCTGGAAAGATGCTGGATGATGCTTAGACCAGATTTGCGGCAGGGAAGGAACAAAGAGAGAAGCAGCAGTGTGCACCTGCTGGAGTGAGTGCTGAGGTGCTTAGAGAAAGGCTCCTCCCTGTGTTCGCAGCCTCGGGATGTCTCAGATAGCAGGATTTCAATACGGGGATTAGGTACAGCTTTGTTTGGTATCACATTAAGTTTTCTGGTTTGGTTTTTAAGACAAAAGTCTCACTATGTAGCCCAAGCTGGCCTGGAACTCACTATGTAGTACAAGCTTCCTTTCAAACCTGCAATCCTCCTGCCTCTTAGCCTCCTGAGCACTGGCCACCATGCCCAACTCTAGTTTTTCAGTTTTGGGAATTTCCATACTCATGCCCTAAAACAGTCTCCTCACTCCTAATCACCCAAAGGATAAAGTACAAGGCTTCAGTGTATTACCCACTTCTACTTCACCTTCCGTACCAATAGCCAAGTCAGACAAATCCAGTGCAGGCATGTCTAACCCATAGCCCAACAGGCACATGTCCCAACACAAAACGATAAACTTACTTAAAACATGGGGGGCTCTGTTTGTTTGCTTGTATAGCTCCACTGCCTGATGCTCACTCGTGGATTTTATACATGACAACAAGTGGTGATGTTGAAAGGTTGGATCACTGAAGTGCCATGCTTGTTCATGCTGCTGTTCCCCAAGCCCACCTTGTTTATTGAAACAGGGTCTCCCTTTGTAGCCCAGGTTGGCCTGAAACTAATCATCCTCATCCAAGTGTTAGTTCTCACCTGTTTGGTCCATTCTTGACTACAAAGTTGAAGCCTTAGAAGGGCAATAAATTGGACTGATGAACTGGAAATTGTTTCTGTTCTTGCCCGACAGCAACAGTTCTTAACCTGTGGGTCGCAACCCCTTTGGAGGTTGAGTGACCCCTTCACAGGAGTTGCATATCAGATACTTACATTATAGTTCATAACAGTAGCAAAATGACAGTTATGAAGTAGCAATGAAAATAATGTTATGGTTGGGGTCAGCACACCATGAGGAACTGTATTAAAGTGAAGGTTGAGAACCACTGATCTACATGGTAGGAACTGAGAAGTACTAAACAAGATTGCAACTTGACAGAGAGAGAGCTTGGCTATGGAGACAAGGGTTTCAGAGGAAAACAGTATGCACTCTGTCCTCTAACTCCTTCTTGTAATAACGAGTGACACCTCTGTCCTTCAGATTCATTTCTGTCCTGCTTCTGCTTGCTTTGTTTGATTTTGTTTTTGAGGAAGGGTCTCATCGTAGCTGGCCTGGGACTCACTCCCCCTTCCCTCTCTCTCACTTTCTCTTCTCCCTCCATAGCTGCATAAATAGGTAGTGTAAATGTACACACTTGAACATTTTCTCATAATAAATTACATCAAGCTGGTTCCTAAGTCCCTTCATGTGAATTCCATACATTTCCTGAAAACAACTTTCTATCATACATAGTACTTCAGTTTAAAAATTCAACTTAACATGAGTGATATATTCTATCTACAACCTATACTAATTTCACCAATTGTGTCAATACTTTTTTCCTTTATTGCAGTTTTTTTTTCTAATGCAGAATTTTCCAATTCCCTTTAAATTGAAAGGGTTTCATAGTCTTTCTTATTTCAGTATTTTAGTAATTTGTTTTGTTTTGTTTTGTTTTTCAAGACAGGGTTTCTCTGTGTAGTAGTTTTGGTGCCTGTCCTGGATCTCGCTCTGTAGACCAGGCTGGCCTCCAACTCACAGAGATCCTCCTGGCTCTGCCTCCTGAGTGCTGGGATTAAAGGTGTGTGCCACCACCGCCTGGCTGTATTTTAGTAATTTTTAAGGTAAGCCAGTTATTTATTCTGTACACTGTCCCTCTACTGGTTTACCTAAATTAATTTTTTATTTTACTTTGTTTTTTGAAACAAGGCTTTATTATATAGTCTCAAACTCTTGATCCCCCTACTTTAGCCTTCCCAAGTCCAGGAATGACAGGGGTGCTCTAGCTAACTCAGCCTCCATCATGTTATTAAGATCATTATAAAATGGTAGTTTCTTTCTTGTTGTTTTTGAGATAGGGTCTCACTATGTAGTCCTGGCTGTCCTGAAACTCATTCTGTAGACCAAGCTGACCTCGAACTCACAGAGATCTGCCTGACTCTGCCTCCCAAGTGCTAGGGTAAAAAGCATGCCCCACAACACTTAGCTTAAAGTGGTGATTTCTAACTTCATGTTTCTAGTGCTTTTGTTTTTATTTTTTTCTCCAGTGCTGGAGAAAAAAGTGTGGACTTGGAGCTTTGTACCCATATGTACTTGCTCTACCATAGAGCTACCTCCAGCTCTCTGAGCATTTACTGATTGACATTATTCTGCACAATGATAAGGAGGAGTTACTGTCCCTTTAATTTTGTGTTAGTGTGAACTGACAAATTCTTACATTATTCAATAGGTTATATAATCTGTTGCTATTACTAATTCTGACTTGGCCAGTAGGAGCTTCTTCAGCAGGAGTCTGTCAATTATACATGTCTTCATCATTTTCTTAGCATTTCCTTATTTTTCTGGTACAAGATGATTTTCTGGGTCATCATATGCTGGTAAGTAATCTGTCTGGCTCCTGTTAGTCTGGCAAATTGACATATATATATGTCTGTTAGTATTTGAGGATGGGTGGATGAGTTCATTCTTGTTTGCTATCAGCTCCAAAATTCTGATTCCAGTTCTATGAGACATTCTTACTGCTGCTTCTCCTTTTGTGTTTCTAGGTCACCATGGAGCTTGTCTTAGGCAACAAGGATTTCACTGGTGTCAGTGCTAAGTTAAGCAGCAGCACCCAACATATTCCACTTTCTGCTGCTCCAGGTCTAGATACGATACTACCAGAAACACTCCAGGATACAACCTGTACCAAAAATCCACAGAACTCAAATCAAATTCATGAGGAAACTGCAAAGAAAACACAGAATTTAGTGCTCCCCAACCCAAAGTCCACAAACCCTATAGCCTCAGATTCCTCAGGCTTCATGACTGTGCCGAATCACAGTTTAGTCCATCAAACAAATGGGTCAAGCAAAGACAATGCTTTACTATTACATGTACTGTTGATGGTGCCAGATGGGAAAGGTTTTGTTTCTGGAGAGTCAGAGAAACCACCACCCTGCAACGTTTATATAAAGTGCAAGCTCTTCAGCACAGAGGAAGCCACAACGTCTGCCATCTCGTGGGGCACAGCACAGCCTGTCTTTAATTTTTCTCAGGTAACTTTGTGTGTTTCCTGTCCGTTTGTGGTTTATAGGGCAGGAGACAAATGTCTCCTAATCATGATTCTGACTTAAGTGTAGAGTGTTCATACTGAAGAAACTTTGGGAGCTGTCAGTGTGCTGTGTTGATGGGAAGAACTGATACTGCCCAAAGTTTGGATCTCTGTTTGTTTCTGTCTGTCTACCATTGTTCTGTTTGCCTAAGTTCTAGCGTCTATTCCTTCTGCTTCTTTTAGAACTATCAGTTAAACTCCCCACCTTTCTCTTATCTCTAAGCTCTTCGGTTTTTTAGTTATCTGTTTTCTCTCATTTATTCTCTGTTTTAATATCCATCTCTTGATTCTTCTGTAGAATTTAGTGCTGGTGCCTTTTTTTTAATGACACTGATGATTGAACCTAAGGCCTTGCATGTGTTAGGCAAGCACTCTACCACTGAGCTCCATCCACAGCAAGCCACTCTGGTTTTCTTCCTGACTCGTAGCTGATCACATTCAGTCTTCAGGCCAAGAGAAAACCTGGCTCATTTTCCTTGGGAAGGTTTGGGTATGTTTGGCAGACACCCTTCCATTAGGAAAAGGGTGGAGGCCCAGCACATTCTCCTTCCTCTCTAGCTTTAACTGTTAGGCCCCCACTTGCTGCTCTTGCTGAATTCTGATCTCCCTATTCTCCAATGGACACACGCTTCAGCTTCATTCTGTGAAGGTAACTTCCAAATCTGCACTTCTGTGTCGGTCAGACGTTTCCCTCCAGGGTCGGCTATGATTGTCGGCTGAACAGCAGCACCTGGGTTCTCTAAAGCACCGTCACACTACCATTGCCTAGCATGTCCCAGATAGTAAGTAAGGATGTGCAAATGAAAGAATTCAAAGATGGCCTACCACTTGCAGTCCTTCAAATAGGTGGCCTCTTGCCACTACTATTAATTGGATGGAGCTCCTCTTAGCTGTAGATCCCTAGTTCATCTACTAGCTAGCTTATTCTAGAATAATTTTAAATGAAAAATCCAGATGAACAGCTGGCTTTGTTACTTGCTATGACACATGTTAAACAGGAGGTGTTTGTTTGTTTGTTTGTTGCATTTGATTTATTTTATTAAATGTTGTCTAGACACTGAATTAGCAACCCTTTGATAAAGGGTTCAAAACTCTTTCTCCAGGTTGGAGAGATGACTCTTGCTAAGAATATGCAGTACTCTTGCAGAGGACCTGAGTTTGGTTCCCAGCACCCACATCAGGCAGCTCACAATGGCCTATAACTCCCAGGCCTCCAGCCTGCTTGCAGATACCCACACAGACAATACACACATACACTTACTGAAAATAATTGTTTATTTTAAAGCACACATACCATACAGCATGATTTAAAAGTGGATCACTTTACCTTAAAGAGAAGGTTGGGTGAGTTTGGTTGGCACCATATTTGACATGCCTGACAACCTTCTCTGTGTCCCGACACGAACCCTGTCGTCAGCTACAGTTGATAGCTGTCTTTGTGTGTGTTAGTCTCTTATAGCAGACCGTGTTTCTATGAGGATATAGGCTGGATTTTACTTTAATATCTTCAGCATAGTACTGTGCATGCACATAGTGGGCTTTCAGTAAACACTTGTTGAATAAAAGAATAAATTAATTGTTTTAATGGTGGAAATTCTTTTTCCTGATTATTCTCCCCAGGTGATTCCTGTCTCTCTGTCTTCCAAACACCTGGAAAGACTTAAGAACAATGTGATGATCATTGAAACTTGGAACAAGGTGCGGAGCCCAGGACAGGACAAGCTGCTCGGACTGGTGAAACTCCCCCTCCATCAGTTTTACATGTCATTCAAGTAAATAGGACCTTTTGGTGTATTCTGTATTCTTCTTTTTTCCCTTTATATAGACTGAAGGGGAATTCTTTGGGTTTGCAAGCATGAATAGACTCCCCTGAAGGGCCTTTCCGAGTTTCACTCACTTCTTGCTCTTTCTCCTGTGGGAAGCTGCCACCCAGACCCACATCCCTGAGTGTCAGGAGTTTGATAAGAACCTTAGGACTTCAAAGCATTTAACTTCATAGCAGCCTGTGATTTAGGTGGAGAAGAGTGAATAGAGTCAAAGGAGTTACACTATCTGTTGCATAAGCAGTCAGAGCAGAACCCGGGTTAAAAGGAGTTACACTATCTGTTGCATAAGCAGTCAGAGCAGAACCCGGGTTAAAAGGAGTTACACTATCTGTTGCATAAGCAGTGAGAGCAGAACCCGGGTTAAAAGGAGTTACACTATCTGTTGCATAAGCAGTCAGAGCAGAACCCGGGTTAAAAGGAGTTACATTATCTGTTGCATAAGCAGTGAGAGCAGAACCCTGGTTAAAAGGAGTTACACTATCTGTTGCATAAGCAGTCAGAGCAGAACCCGGGTTAAAAGGAGTTACACTATCTGTTGCATAAGCAGTGAGAGCAGAACCCGGGTTAAAAGGAGTTACACTATCTGTTGCATAAGCAGTGAGAGCAGAACCCGGGTTAAAAGGAGTTACACTATCTGTTGCATAAGCAGTGAGAGCAGAACCCGGGTTAAAAGGAGTTACATTATCTGTTGCATAAGCAGTGAGAGCAGAACCCGGGTTAAAAGGAGTTACACTATCTGTTGCATAAGCAGTGAGAGCAGAACCTGGGTTAGAACCAGATAGCCTGGCTTCTTCCAGCTAATGGTTGACTTCTCCATCATCAAGTGGCAGTATGGTTCATAGCAGCTGTTCTCCAGATTTCTGGAACAAGTTGAGATTTGCTAACTATTTGTACATCTCTTTAATAACTAGTAAAACACTGGTTAACTGGAAAGTTACTTCTACTCATACAGACTTCCTTTCTGTTTGATTCAGAGTGCAGGTTTTTAAGTGCTTTAGCACTAAGCAAGGCTCTGTTGTAAATTTACAGACAACACTTTGGTGTGCATTATCTCACTAGAGCTTCACTATAACCTCGTGAGGGATCATCATGGTTCTTACTGTACAAATGAGGAAAGTTGTCCTGTAGCTTTGGGAATTCAGTGTCTCTGCCTTCTTTTTCCTCATCTCTAAAATGAGGGTGGTGCTGGGTCACTGTCTCACTTGTGGAGCAATCATGAGGCTCTAGTGAGAAAATGCATGGGTTTGCCTTGCAGGAATAGGTAAGACCTTATGATGGTAACATTGAACATAACCAGGCTGAGGAGTACTGCAGAAACCACAGCTGTCAATATCTGTTCTAGCCTTTCAGCTCACCACCACCACCACCACCACCACCACCACCACCACCACCACCGCTAACACACACACACATCACACACACACACACACACCACATCACACACACACCACATCACACACACGTACACACCCACCACACATCACACACACACACACACATACACACACACACACACACACACACATATACACATCACACACACCACACATACACACACCACAAATCACACACACCCCACCTCTTTTTAGTGGTGTAATTCATCTGACTTGTTATCCTTCCTTCACTTCCCTTCATATCCTATTAGCTCCCATCCTTTGTTGATCGAGGACAAAACAACAGTAGCACCAATTACTGAGCATTTCCTGTGAACCAAGTACCTCGGTTGGCATTTTACATGAGCTGTCTCAGTTCAGTCCTCACAACTCCTTTGTAGAAGTTTCAGAACCTGTATTTCACAAATAAGGAATCGGGCTGTGAAAAGTTCAGTTGGTGATTCAAGCCATATAGCGTGTACATGGCAGCACCAAGAGCCAGCCTGGTAAAAGAAAATGATTCGGGTTTAGAGTCAAATAGTTCAGGACTGGAGGTGTAGCCCAGTGGTAGAAGAGTGCAGAGAGAAGTCAGCTGGTACAGTGCTTGCTGCAAAGCATGAGGACCTGAGTCCCAGCACCAGTGCATGCATCTGTAAACCCAGCACCGTGTGGATGGAAGCAGGAGGATCCAGGAGCTTCCTGGCTAGCCAGTCTTGCTGAATTGATGCTTCAGGTTCAGTAAGAGACCTTATCTCAAAAAATAATATGGAAAACAATCAAGGAAAAAGTTGACATCAGCCTCCAGGTTCTGTGTGCACGTGCATGCACATGCATGTGCTCCAAACTGCACATGCACGTATATACATTAGTTAAGAGTAAAAAATAGGGCTGGAGAGATGGCTCAGCGGTTAAGAGCACTGGCTGTTCTTCCAGAGGTCCTGAGTTCAATTCCCAGCAACCACATGGTGGCTCACAACCATCTGTAATGAGATCTGGTGCCCTCTTCTGGCCTGCAAACAGAACACTTATACATAATAAATATTTAAAAAAAAAAAAAAAAAAAAAAAGAGTAAAAAATAATCAGAAGAGTCAGTACCTGAATCCCAGATCAACTTGAGTCCCTGTTGGCTATGTAACCTTAGCTAAGCTACTTAACCTTTTGAATAAGATTTCCTCATCTGTTAATAATGGATAATACTAACTTTTGCAGTGTAAATGGGTTAAAAACACTATGAAAATGATTAGTGCTTCTGTGTAGTTAATGCTTAGTAGATGGTAGATATCATTGGTACTGTTCTCCGATTTTATCTTCCAGACTGTGGGATCTATACTTTTCCTAGTTGACCACATTGACTGTATAAAGTAATGCCATTCAACAAGCCCCCTCTGAAGTACTGTTCCATTGCAGACACTGGACTTGGTGCCATCATGCTACAAAGATAAACTAGACTCACTCCCAGCCCTGTACTTATGCAGTCTGAATTTACCTGCCTTATAATTTTAGTTTGGTTACTAACAGAATCTTAGTTTTTAAAACCACTAATTTATTTTTCTGGTTATCAATCCATTTCTAACAAGCTGAGAAAATGAACCAAGTAAGCAGCTCTGACATGACTGATGGCTGTTATCTGCTCATTCACAATGTCCTCCTCCCTAGAGACCCCAAGATTTCTCGCCTGCTGCTTGATGCCAGGTATCCAGTTGTTGCTGTCGACAGCTATATGCCTGTGATTGATGTGTTCTCAGGCCACCAAAATGGGAGTCTTCGAGTCTTTTTAGCCATGGGTTCTTCAGATCAGATAATGATGCTGCAAAGATTAAAGAATGAAGAAGGAATACTCCCTCCCTTCAGCCCTAGGCCAGCTCATTTCCTGGACCAGCCACCTGTGGCATCTGTTGCTTTGGTAATGACCCAACATTATGGTTCACAGAAACTATCTCATTTTCTCTTACACATTTTAGTGAAACCATTACCCAGTGAAAGGCTCCAGCAAACAGTATAACTTACACTCTAGTACTTGCTTTATTTTGTGTGGGGGAAGGTATGTGTGTGCATGTGCACTTTATTTGTATAAGGGCATGTGTGTGCACATGCATATAGCAGCAAGTACTTAAACTCAGATGTCATTCTTCAGGAGCCCTCCACCTTTCAGGCGTGTGTGTGTGTGTGTGTGTGTGTGTGTGTGTGTGTGTGTGTGTGTGTGTGTGTGTGGTGTATATGTAGTTGGGTTTGTGCACATCTGTGTGCAGGTGGAGGCCAGAGGTCAGCACTGGCTGTTGTTCTCTATTGCTCTCTACCCTAATTTTGTAATAATGTTTTCATCTTATATGTATGGGTGTCTCACTCACAAATACATCTGTGCACCATGTTTGTACCTGGTGCCAGAAAAGGGCATCAGACTTGAACTGGAGTTACAGACGTTGTGAGCTGTTGTGTGGGTGCTAGGAATCAACCCTGGCCCTCTGGAAGAGCATCCAGTGCTCTTAACTACTGAACCATCGTTCCAGCCCTCTCTACTTTATCTTTTAAGACAGGCTTTTTCAGTGGGACCTGGAACTCACCAATTGTGCTAGGCTGACTAGCCAGTGAACCCAGGCATCCACCTGTCTCTGCCTCTTGAGCACTTGGATTACAACCACAGCCTACCACACTAAGCTATCTCCTCAGCCCCACAAATGCTTGTTTTAAATCAGAAGAGTCACTGGTATTCTTCTCTTACATTTTAAATGGTCTTTATATCCCTCTTAGCTCATTGAATTTATAAACAAAACCTAGGATTAGAAGTATAGTTCATTGATAAAGAACTAACCTGGTATGCTGAGTGTGTGGCTCAGTTGGTAGAGTGCTTGCTAGCATTCATGACCCTCTGTTTTATTGCCAGGACTGCACAAAACCAAGTGTGGCAGCACACATCCATCATCCCAGCACTTGGAAGGTAGAGGCAGGAGACTGAAACACTCAAAGCTATCCTTGGCTATGTAGTAAGTTCAAGGCCAACTTGGGCTACGTGAAAGTTTGTCTCAAAACACACACAGACACACACACACTGAAGACTTTTGGAGCTGGAGAGATTGCTCAGTGGTTAAGAGCACTTGCTGCTCTTGCAGAAGTCCCAGGTTCAGTTCCCAGCATGCACTTCAGACAGCTCATAACTCCCATAGCTCCACTTCTAAGGGATCCAACACCCTGCACACATGTGATGCACATACATATACTTAGATACACACACATACACATAAAATATAAACAAATAAATCTTTAATAACTTACCTAGTGTGTAAAAGGTTTTGATCCCAGTACCACAAAAAGAAGAAAATCTGTTTGGACAACCAGGTATTAATCCTCCAGTGTACTAAATTGTCTTATGAGAGACAGAGCCCCAAATATAGGACTGTAAAATCTTACTGTGTGTGTTGACAAAGTCGGTGTGGTAAGTAACAGTGAAATGCCTTGTTTTTCACTACTAACCAAGAAGTAATTTATTTTATACATTGCTGTACAGTTGAGAAGGTATATTGGCCTACATTTCCATGTTTAGTTTCATAGCTGCATACGGTGGGTTTTGACATTTTTTTAATAGGTGGTAAAACAGAACCAAAGTCACTATTAATTGCCTGGAGTTATAAGTTGCTAATTGAAAATTGCATAAAAGACACAGAAAAAGAATAATCCTTTAATATTCTCAACTCTTTTTAGGTGGTATATGGACCTCAGCTTGCAATATAGACTCATAAATCTATTAAATTCATATTGAAAGAACGTGGTTCTTAGGGTACATCCACCAAGGAAATCCTTGGGAGATATGCCTGTGTGGTTGGATATGGTCTACATATATGACGGTGGCCTCTTACACTGTCTTTCATCCAGTTCACCATCTGCAGGATCCATTGTTAAGATGTGCCTGTGTGGTTGGATATGGTCTACATATATGACGGTGGCCTCTTACACTGTCTTTCATCCAGTCCACTATCTGCAGGATCCATTGTTAAGATGTGCCTGTGTGGTTGGATATGGTCTACATATATGACGGTGGCCTCTTACACTGTCTTTCATCCAGTTCACCATCTGCAGGATCCATTGTTAAGTTGCTCTAGTGTCATATGGCAAATTTAACAGCTGTTACGACTCTTACGAGGGCTCCACTCTGCCATTTGTTTTCTTCCAGGGATTAAATTCTAAGCTTTCTATTTCCCAAAGGGAACTTTTGAACCAGTATTGCTTACATATGTTTTTGGATTTCAAAACAAATACTTAATGCAGTCTTCTCTAAGTTTATTAGATTCATAGTTAGGGTGTTATTTAAAGACTGTAGTCCCACTCTGAGCTGAACCCTGAATTCGTCCTCTGAACATTTCTGTTAACTGGTTGCTAGTGTCAGCTGAGGCTGTGTAAGGTAGAGCTAAAGAACACTGGCTGCAAGGTCAGGCAGCTTGTGAGCCTGGACTGTAGTTAACAGTCATGCACGTTAACCTCTAATACAAGGGAAATGTGGATACAGTGCCTAGCTCATGGTAAACACTCAGTAAGCACACAAGGAGTGGTTATGAAGTAATATAATACTCTCAACAGCTATGTTCACTACCTCCCCAAGTCAGCATTATCCTCAACTTATTTAGAAGTAATAGTTAATGTCTGCTTGCTTCAAATATGTATTCCTTTTCCTACTAAGGAAGTATTGTCCTATTCTGCATTCTAAGTGCTTTTATCAACAACAGATGTTGAACTTTATCACCTTCGTTTTTAGCATTTGTTGAAACTGAGACCATCTTCCTGTGTTCCGCTCATGCGCTGAATCATATTTGTGGACTTCCTGACACTGACTCAGTCTTATGGTCTAGGGTAAATCCTGCTTGTTCTGGTTACACTGAGCAGTCGTGAGAGTTATTCGTAGATTTCTGCTAGGTTTCTTCATAGACAAGCAAGGGTATTCTAAACAGGTTCATCTTTAAAGCTCGCCAATCTCTGTTTCATTTCACAGCCAGAAAACCAAGGAAACCGACTGATGGAGCACCACTTTGAGTTCCATGTGGTGATGGTTAAAGGGCTTATGCCCCTCCAGGCAACAGTCTGGGGAGAAGCAGATTGTTACGTCCAGTACTACTTTCCATTCCAAGACTCCCAACCCAGTGTGCTCCAAGGACCTGACTTCCTTGAAAATGGTAGGCTGGGAGACCACATCCTCTACTCATGCTTGGTTCTTTTATTGGACATACTTAGGAACTGTGTTTTTCCTGAGTGGATTTTATCTTGTTTGTTGTTCCCAATCTTACCTACGGATAAGATAGTTATGTGGACACGTAACATAAAAGATGGCCTAAATTTGCAATTTCCTTTTTAACTAACTACCTTTTTGGTATGGTCATAGAATTCATAGTATGTTTTCATGTATACTAGTAACATGAAGCAACACACTCATACACTGTACTTTTTCTTGTTGCACTTGGCTGTTTGTGTTGAGTTAGAGAATATGCCAGGATTTCTCTAATCTCTGGTTTTGGAAGGTTTCGACAAGGTTTCTCAAGCAAAGTGTCTTCCAGGTGTCTTCTGACCATTGCTTCAGCACTTCAGTTGTAGAAACAACAAATAACAAAATATGGATTCATATAATCTTTTTATTTTGATATGATTGAGATTTAAAGAATGCTTATAAAAATAGTACAAAGAATTTCTGTGTACCCTTTGCCTAAATCTACCAGTTAGTTATATATTAGTCCTTATTTACATACGTACGTGTGTGTGTGTGTGTGTGTGTGTGTGTGTGTGTGTGTGTGTGTGTGTGTGTGTGTATGTTTTACTGATATTTTGTGGCGGTCATGCTTTGTAAAGTCATTGAATACTTTAGAGAATTGAAGATGCTGGACAATTGTGCCTGAGGAACAAATGTCCACACAACTGTCTCATATAGATCATAGTCTTAAATCCTACAAACTACTTTTCTAGGTAGATTCTGTTCTGTTCTTCTGCAAAAGAGAAAACAAAGTTCAGAAGCATTAAGCAACTTGCCTGGAGCTGCCTCATTAACAAGTGCCAAGTTTAGGATTCCAACCCTGGTTGAGCATGGTGGTACACACCTGTTAATTCCAGCACTTGGGAGGCTGAGTCAAGAGGATTGGGAGTTCAAGGCCAGCCTGGGATACCTTATGAGATCCCAGTCTCAAGAAAATAAAAGACCTAGACCTAGACCCAGAGCCAGTTTCTTTCACAGTACTGCCCTACCCTTTCCATCTCCGTCTTCTGATCATCTCCAAGAACCAACACAAGAAGGCAGGGTTTTGCCTTGTGTGATCTTACCTGATAGGAAGCAGTGTTCATCATTCTGCATGTCGGCTAGCAGGTTCAATATTACTTTAGAGATCAAAGAAGGAACTTTTAGCCAGAATATATTACAAATTCTTAAAAAGGTCTTTTTAAAAAAACAGCTAGGGATGTGGCTCACTTGGTGGAGTGCCTGCCTGGCATGCACAGAGCCCTGGGTTTGGTCCTCAGCGCCACACCACATGAATCAGACATGGGGATGCTCACCGGTGATCCCAGCATTTGGGAGGTGGAAGCAGGGGGATCAGAAGATCAAAGGCATCCTTGGCTGCATAGCAAGCTTGAGGTTAGCCTGTGCTACCTGAGCCCCATTTCAAAAAATAAAATAAGTGAGTAATGTTCCACTCCTTGGGAAACTGAAATAAGAGGATCGTGTTAATGGCCAGTCTGGGCAACTTTGTGTGAAACTGTCTCAAAATAAAAAGTCTGCTGTTATAGCTCAGCAGTTGAACCAGACCTAGCATATATAAGGTCCTGGGTTTAACTCCTTATACCACAAAAAAAAAAAGAAGACCAAAAATGGGCTAAGAGCTGAATAGAAATGTCTTCAGAGATATATAAATAACTAATAAGCACTTAGAAAAATACTATATTAGTTTGTTTTGGTGATATAGCAAAATGTCTGAGGCTGGGACTTCCAGAAAATAAACAAGGTTAATTTCACTCCATTTTGGAGGTGTCATGTCCTCCATTGCTTTGGCCTCTACTAAAGACCCACTTGGCTGTGTCAGAATGATGAATAAGCCAAATGAGGTCAGAAGGGCCAAGCTTATGGGATAGCATTACTTTGTACCAACTTATTCTTGGAAGAACTAACTTAGTCCAAAAGACTGGCACTAATCTCTTGAGAGGAACACCATCAATCGACTAAACACTCCCCTCCAGATCCCACCTCCTGAACGTTCCACCACCTTACCACACAGCCACACTAGGGACTGAGTCTTCAGCACTTGAAGCTCTGGGGGACAAATTGTAACCAGACACTTAGTTAGCGTCATCAGTCTTTTAAAGAAGGTAAATCAAAACCTTCATGAAAACTCTTACCCACAGAGGCAGGTTTAAGAGACTAGTAAGTGTTTGAAAGGACATGGAACTTGTATACTGTCCACCAGAAAAGGGATCTGCTCAGTATTGTCATAGTACTCACTGGACCAAAACCACAGAAATGTCAGGAGTAACTCAGTTGGAAGATGTGGGGGGATGTAGCAGATCTGGGACCTACTATCTTTACTACCTTCAAGGTGTCCATATTCTCATTTGTGCTCTCACAGAAATAGCATGCAGATAGAATTGACTGCTGTGTATGTAAGTCAGTGTGCTGCAAACACAGCACCTGTCTGTGTGTTAGATGTTCTCAACTGCTTTTCTTTCCCAAAGGAATTACTCTGAAGCCCTTTAGAACTTCGACCACACTATGTGTCCCAGATCCCATCTTTAATAGCGAGCACCACCACTCCCTGCTGTTGCCAACGGACGTACCAGTGCAAAGGCTCCTGCTAAGTGCCTTCTCCTCCCAGGGGCTTGTGCCTGGAGGGGGAGTCCAGTTTGAAATCTGGTGCAGGTACAGTATGGACACCCCATTCCCCTGCTTAGGAAGGAAGTGCCCGGTCATAACGAATCCTGGCCTTGGTCAGGTGGGACTGTTGGAAGACGCTAAGCAGGACCCTCCCTCCCTTGCTTTGTAGTCTTTGTGTTTGACAGCAGCTTTTGTCTGCGGTTTCTGTGTTGGGCTCTTCTGAGCAGCTGGGTCTACACTCGTACCTACGGTAGGAGTAAAATCCCGTTAGTGTTACCTGCTACTGGCCTTCAGGCATCGCACTCACCATTTCGGGTGCTCTCTTACCGTAACTCGGGTTACTTCAGGTCTTTATTTTATGATGCTTAACTGCTGTGACAGCCTCCCACCTGTTCTCCCCACTTCTAAACTAACTTCTTCCCACCATCAGAAAATAGTCTTCACAGAACATGAAGCCACCTAATGTTCCAATCACTGGATGGTTCTTTCCCAGAAAGAATGCTGGCCTGATTGTAGATGTCATCCCCGCCCCAGCATCTACACCTCCAGGAAACCTACTACAATGATAAAGAGAATACAAAGAAATGTAAAGGAAGAGAAATGGGATCACAAACAGCACTGTCACATGACAAAAATACTTTCTACAGTCAGGTGGAAACCAAGCACAAAATGGATTTTTACACCCACCAGCTCTGATGCACAGCTTATGATCTAGGAACAGATCAGTTTGACATGAAAAGAAAATAGCCTGGGTACTAAGGGAGTCTCATCCTAGTGCACATTAGAATGTCATAGGCCTAGAAACAAAGAAGAGCTGTGGAGAAGAGGGAGAGACGGCCCCCCCAGAGCCACTTATGCTGCTCTTGGGTGGACGTTTTGAGGAAGGCCAAGGCACAAGCAGATCCTCAGACAGAAAGTTGTAGGAAACAGCTTTGTCACCCTGACCTGAGGGTGTGCTGTATGAGGTTCTTTCCATGTAATAGGCAGCATATCCTGCCGGTCCAGCCACCACTGTATATCACCAGTCCAAAACAGCTGGGTCCATAGATAACTAGCTACTGAAAACTGATCACCGGGGCAGATTGCACTGTTCATCTACCTAATTATTCCAGCTGGCATTTTGTGCTTTTGTGGTTTTCAGATACTATTATCCTAATGTAAGGGACCAGATGGTTGCCAAAGGAACCTTGCCATTATCAAGGGTCTGTGCCATGGTAGCCATGCAGCACCGTGAAGATACAGGAATGCAGAACTTTAATCTCCCATTAACCCCCAGACTTGAGAACAGTAGAGAATTGAAGAACCAGTCATCAGGTAACTGAAGACTTAATATGTCTTTCCTTTTCAAAGTCAGTGTATATAAATATCCCTTTTCTTCCTGAATTAATTATTCTTTACTTGGGGTATTTACCCTTTTGAGTCTCTCACAAGAACTATGAGTCTCACCCTCTCTTAGATGAATGTAGCCAGGCGGCAGTGGCGCACGCCTTTAGTCCCAGCACTCGGGAGGCAGAGCCAGGCAGATCTCTGTGAGTTTGAGATCAGCCTGGGCTACAGAGCAAGATCCAGGACAGGCACCAAAACTACACAGATAAACCCTGTCTTGAAAAACCAAAAAAGAAAGAAAGAGAATGTAGAACATATATTGCAAATTTTGCACATGATTTTAGAAAACTCACAGTTCCATGGACTCTGTATAAATGCTGCTTGTCTCATTTTACCTTGAACTCTTAAGCATTTAAAAAGCCCTCATAGCATAAATGCTAAGTACTTTTTAGATACACTTGAAAATTATTATTCTAAGCCAACGTGAGCAGAGGTGGGCCTGATGAGATTAATTAGCTGGGATTGGAAATTAAGGGAGAAGGTTAAAAAACTTTTTTTGACTCATGTGTGCTTACACATGTGCAGAGAGCACACCTCCCATGGAACATATGTGAGAGTTACGATGATTTGATTTTATGTGTAAGAGTATTTGCCTATCCATGTGTGTGTGAACCTCATGCATGCAGTGCCCTCATAGGTCAGAAGAGGGCATCAGATCCCTTGAAACTAGAATTACAGGCAGTTTGTAGCCTCCAGGTGGGTCTAAGACTTGAACATGGGTCCTCTGCAAGTGCAACAAATGCTCTTACTGCTGAGCCATCTCTCCAGCTGCAAGAGAAGTTTAAAATTAAATTAAGGTTAGCAAGATGGCTCAGCACCAGCTGCCAACTCTGATAACCTGAGTCAGTCCCCAGGACCTAATTGGTGGAAGGAGAAAAAGCAACTCCCACAAGTTGTCCTCTGAGTGCCACCACAGATAGACAGACAGACAGATTGAACATGAAAGAGCTTAACAAGAATTTGGCACTTTAAATGGTTTCCAGAAAGGCAATCCAAACTGCAAAATGATCAGAATTGACTTCCTAAGTCAAGTTACTGTGATACTTTTTGAAAAGTATCACAAAAACCAAAGGTTTTATCTTGCCTTAGTTAAGATTGAGTTGTTCCTCCTGAGCCCCCGTGATTAAACTTGTTGAGTTCTTCCTTAAAGCTGTCTCTGGACTGAGGCTGTGTGGAAGACTTTTAGAAAAGATGGCATGTGATTGATTGCCTGAAGTACATATCCAACATGGGCAGATCTCTCCCCACTCACTGTGATAGCTGCCATCCTCCTCCCTCCTCCCTCCTCCCTGGCTAGGAGCTGATGGTTAGAACAACAGAGATCCTTCCAGCCAACCTGGTAGTCTTTTTCTTCCTGTTCTCCTTTGTCAGGTTTTCTGGATGTGGGTTTGAGGTACCGGAGAAGCCCAAGAACAACAGAGGGAGTTCTTGCTGCCCGAGCTGTCTCCATCTCAGTCCAGATTATCAGAGCCTGTGGTCTGCAGGCAGCAGCCAAGTAAGTCCACCTTAGAAAAGTGCTTCTTAAACCTTCCTGTGGTGCAGTCTGTGCAGTGTGATGTTCCTGTGTGGATGACTGACTGAGACCTTCCTGTGGTGCAGTCTGTGCAGTGTGATGCTCCTGTGTGACTGACTGAGACCTTCCTGTGGTGCAGTCTGTGCAGTGTGATGTTTCCATGTGGATGACTGACTGAGACCTTCCTGTGGTGCAGTCTGTGCAGTGTGATGTTTCCATGTGGATGACTGACTGAGACCTTCCTGTGGTGCAGTCTGTGCAGTGTGATGTTTCCATGTGGATGACTGACTGAGACCTTCCTGTGGTGCAGTCTGTGCAGTGTGATGTTTCCATGTGGATGACTGACTGAGACCTTCCTGTGGTGCAGTCTGTGCAGTGTGATGTTTCCATGTGGATGACTGACTGAGACCTTCCTGTGGTGCAGTCTGTGCAGTGTGATGGTCCCATGTAGGTGAAGGTCTTGTGAAAAATTTCCATTTCACTAACCATGACTTTCTGTTAAGAAAGCATTTCAGAATTTCAGGAAGTCACTTGCAGACTCTTGGTACTGTTATTGCAACAACTTCGTGTTCTACTCTCCTTAGCCCCTCCCACCATGGTTAGGCTCTGCACCCTCAAGCCATGCCGTGCACTTGCTGCATGTCCTTTATAAACCCAAGATCACATATGCCTGTCCCTGAGTATCATCTGTTTTCCATCTCATACCCCTGCAACTGTTCTCAGCATAGTGACTGACGACCTGTTAAAACTAACTCCAACCGTGATCATATGTGTTAAAAGAAAGCCACAGTCCTTGCAGTTTTATAAGGGCCCACATCATTTGACCTCCTGTTATCTTTGGAACCTCTGCTTCCTCTAAGGCTCCAGTCGCTGGTCCATTTGTTGCTTCTGAACACATTAAGAGCATTTCCCCTACTCATGTCCATTCTCTTTCTGTCTATTCTGCCTTGTCTCTCTCTGTAAGGGAACAGCATGCTGTCTCCTTCAGGTCTTTGTTGTTATTTCTCTTGGCCTTAAGTATTGTTCCTCTTGCCTGTTTAAACTCTGCTTTCCTAATGATTTTGTAGCATCTTCGCAGCCCTCCTTTACCGTTAGCACCTAGGTTGTAGCACACTGTTCTGTTTCTGCTAGGGCATGCATTTTCCCACACTAGACCATCAGTTCCTCTAGTTAAAGACACTTTCTGAAATCCTCTCTGCACCCCACAAGCCACATGGATGAGCTCTAGCAGCAATGGGCACTGACAGAAGTGGATCAGGCGCCTGCCTCAAACTAGCTCACTTGAGAATGACTTCCAGAGAAGGCCTGTTCCCTGACTTCTCCTTGTGTGACTCTGTCAGGTTGTTCACCTTGAACTTTCCTGGTGTCTAAGTATGTAACTGGCTTACTGCCATGTGAGGGTGATGCCGAAGCAGCGGAGAACAGTTCCGTCTAGTAAGCCACTCCTTACTAACTCTCCAAGTGACTTTGGTAGTGAGCACCCAGCAACATCCTAGTGCCATCAAATACTTGCAGGGGGCGGCAAAATGGCTCAGTGGTTTAAGGCACCTGTTGCCAAGCCTGATGATCTGAGTTCAGTCCCTGGGATGCACTGTATGGAAGGAGAAAACCAGCTCCTAAAGTTGTCCTCTGACCTCCATGATGCACATACAAAATTAAATAGTGAAAATGGACTAAAAAGTATAAGTTCTTTCAGGGAATAGTTTTTAATTTTATTTTATTTGATCTGTTTGTGTGTATGCCTTCAGAGTGTGTGTGTGTGTGTGTGTGTATACGTGTGTACCACGTGCATACAAGTACCCTTAGAGTCTAGAAGAAAGCATCTGAACTAAAGTTATAGGCAGTTGTAGGCCACTCAGTGTGGGTGTCGGGAACAGAACCAGGGTTCTCTATAAGAGGAACAAGTATAGCCAGGCAGTGGTGGTGCATGCCTTTAATCCCAGCACTGGGGGGGGGGGGGGGGGGGGGGGGGGGCAGAGCCAGGCAGATCTCTGTGAGTTCGAGGCCACCCTGGTCTACAGAACAAGCTCCAGGACAGGCACCAAAACTACACAGAGAAACCCTGTCTTGGAAAAAAAAAAAAAGAGGAGCAAGTACTCTGAATTCCTGAGCCTTCTCTGACCCCAAATACCCGAGCTGACAAAACTGGTAATAGTCATCTGCCAATAGTGAGTGGCACTACGGGCATTGTACTGTCTAAGAGCACAGCGATCAGTTTCGTTGAACAAGTTGGGTTTTCTGCTCATCGAGGTCAGAAAGTAAGCACCATGGGGAAGCAGAGGCCGTCTTAGCTGAGAAGGCACCACTAAGGATGCCTAGCATCCAGCTGGGATTTGCTGATCTAGGAAAGGCTCAAAGGAGCAAGCCTTTGCTCCATTGATTTTCTTGGTAAGTTTCTCTAGAAGGAGGGGAGGCAAGACTAGAGTCAAAGGTGAACTTGTTACAGAGTGATCTTGCTTTGGTGTGTTCTTAGAGAAGGTTGTGAAGATCCACTTTTTGTCTCACTCTATGGTGGTGACAGAGTAACCTGGTCCCCAGACTCTCAGGTAGCTTTTAATCAGGTTACTTCCTACATTAAAACTTTCGAGTTTCCTACTGTCAGTAGTGGCCTAAGCAGTTTTAACTGAGCATTTTAATTTAGAAGTTAGCATATTTTCAAATTAGTGTGTGCTTATTTATGTATAAATTATCTGTAGTAGGAATCTTAAATGGATCTTATTAATGAAATCAAACCTGAGGCCAAGTATTGAGGTGAACACTGGAAGATCAGAGAGACAGAACAAGCCACAGCTTCCTCACCTGGCCAGTTCCTCAGGTGGTCTTGTTTCCTCAGACTGGAGGCCTCTGGGTCCTCATATCCGAATGGCTCTCAGCTGAACTGTGCTGCTAGAAGCCTGAAGCTTAACCAGCCAAAATGCTTAACCAGCCAAATGCTTCCAGTTTCTGGTCCTCACGCCTTATATACCTTTCTGCTTTCTACCACCACTCCCTGAGATTAAAGGCTCGCTTTCTGGAATTAAAGGCGTGTGTCACCATGCCTGGCCGTTTCCAATGTGGCCTTGAACTCACAAAGATCCAGAGGGATTTCTGCCTCTGGAATGCTAAGATTAAAGGTGTGTGTGCCACCATTTTCTAACCTTTGTATCTAGTGACTGTTCTGTCTCTGACCCCAGATAAGTTTATTAGGGTGCACAATATTTTGGGGAACACAATATCACCACAATTATCTTTAGGTACTTCTGTATTAATATGCTAAATACATTATTAAATATAGACTAGGGAAACTTTAGTATAGATGATAACAAATTTTAGTATTTTCTTCCAATGTCCCAGTTTTTGACCCGTGAACCTCTGCAGTGTGTACTCCTCTTCAGGACCACTCCCTGCAAATATGCTGTCGTAGCTAGGTTACTAAGAAAGCGCGCTGTGGCGCTGCCAAAGCCTAGCTAGAGAAGGGTTGATGCGCATGCTCAGATCCTCTCACAGTAGTGGAGCTACTTCTTGGGCATGCAAGCTGATTTCTGATAATGTTGTGGTATCCCCTTCTCCTTTCCTGTCTGTCCCCTACAGGGCTTTGGCTGAGCAGGAACCCGCTCTACAGTTTAGTGCCACCGTAGGAGTCAATACTTCTGTCACCACTCACCTCTCATTCCTGCCCAAGGGGGAACAGCGCCGAACCCGCCCTGTGGCCTGTTCCTTCTGCCCCGAGTTCTCCCATCACATTGAGTTCCCCTGTAACCTGGTGACTCAGCACTGTAGTGGAGAAGCCTGTTTCCTGGCAGAGCTATTGGAGTTTGCAGAAATTATTTTTGCCATCTATCATGAAAATACCAAGTCAGGTAAGCGCCAAAGGACCATCACCTTCAGAATCAAATGAGTCTCCTGTGGATGGCATGTTCCTTCCTAGGAGATACCCTGAAAAATTGAAAAATGGGTCATAATCTTTTGTTGATTTGTTTGTTGCTTGTTTTTTGCGACAGGGTATCTCTGTGTAACTGCCCTGGCTGTCCTGGAACTCACTCTGTAGACCAGGCTGGCCTCGAACTCACAGAGATCCACCTGCCTCTGCTTCCCAAGTGCTGGGATTAGTGTGCACCACGACCATACAGCTTAATCTTTACAACTTCTAAAGGGTATAATGAAAATAAGCTTGTGAAATGTGTATGGAAGAGTGTAGAAGGAAACAGCAATTGTATTAACAAATTAACAAATATAAGAAAAATGTTAATGGGTGAATCTAAAGAATAGACATGTGCTCATTGAGTTTTGCACACCCTTCCCATATGCCTGTGTGAGTAACACATCTGAATGACATTCAGATTCTGACTAGGATGTAAGCAAGATAATCCCTGATCTAACAGTTCAGCACTGATTCATGTGTAGAATGAAATGTTCCAGGAGTATACTGTAAACAGGCCTCAGTAGCCCACCAGTAATTATCCACTTTTGCTTCACTTAACAGTCAGTGATATAGCCAGTATCCACTCGTGCAAAGATTATCTGCTTGGAGTAGTAAAGGTTCCAACCAAAGACCTGCTGGTCAAGAGATCAGGTAAGGATCCTGAGTAATCATGTGCTGATCCTGCCCTTGATGAAATAATCCTGTCTCTATCTCCCATGCAAAATACACAAGGAAGCCTGCCCCCAAAGACATGCTGTGAACTCACCAGGTACCTCACAGTTCTCTCAGACATTGGAAGGCCTGTCCCACTCATTGCAGAGGTTAAACCCATGCTATTCCAGAAAAGATTGCAGTGGTGACGAGAAGAAACAGACTGTTGTGACATGTTTCCTCAGGTTTGTTTAGCATCACAGTTAACCTCCAGCAGGATACAGAGACATCATTTTCATTTAACAGATGAGGAGATGAGGTCCAAGAACTGATTTGCCAAAACCACACAGCTGTTCAGTAGCAGAACTTGAAATCTAGCCAGGATTCACCCATCATTTTCACTCTCCTGTCCTCCACTCCAAATGGAATAAAGATAACCATATAAAGGCCTGGACGATGAATACACACTGCTGTTTGTCCAGGAACCCCAGACCACTTGACTTGTTGTCCCATTCCCTTCCTTTCACTCACAATACCATAATGGCGTTTCATCTTCAGACACTTCCTCCACCATTGTGTCATTTAGCAATTATAACAACTTTGGTAAATAAGATCAATGTGAATTTTCCCATGCGTACCATATAGAAACAAGAACTCTGAGAGATTAGTGATTTATCCAGAATAAACCACTAGTTTGGGGTCTCAGCCAAGAACGAACTCAGATCTTCCAATTCCTAGCCTCATCCTTCCTATCTATCGCATTGCTTCTCAGTGGTCAGAGAAAGACCAGCTCCCAACTCAGTGTGGGCATGCTTTCTATTCAGCATTGGGCCGGCCGGGGTAGTGGGGAATCTGAGCTATAAAGAGGGCGTGTGTATTCTCTTTGAAGACAATGATTGAAACTCTTTTCCTTTTTCCCATAAGGGATCACAGGATGGTATCCTGTCATTTTACCAGAAGATGAAGGCCTGTCTCGGGACCTCGAGTTTATGCAGAAGATTGTAGGAGGCCTGGAGCTTTCTGTTTCCTTCACGCACCCTGGAGATAGAGAGCGGGTGTTGGAGGCTGCTGAGCTCTTGGGCTGGACCTTTGACAGCAGCCTGAAGGATCTTGTCAAGATGGAAGAAGAGGTGCCAGCCACTGTCACCATCTCCACCCCAAGACTCTGGCTCCCTCTCCACTGTGTGCTGCTCGCAGGCCACAGGAACATTCATAAGAATACATATTGCTACCTTCGCTACAAGCTGTACAGTCAAGAAGCCTTTTGGACCCCTCTCAGGAAGCCTAAGGAATCTACAAACAAAAACCAGGTCCTGGTTACTTTCAAGGCATCCAAAAGAACAGAGGTCACTCGGAGCCAGTCACTGCTGTGGTACTTCAGAGAGGAGAAGTTAGAGATCCAAGTGTGGCGAGCTTACGGCAATGGCAGCTTAGAGAGGCCACACCAGACTGACAGCTGGATTGGCTCAGCCTATGTAGACCTGTCCAGACTCGGGGAAAAGTCACCAAGGACACTAACTGTCAGTGGTGAGTGAACATTCAGGTTTAACTCTGTGTTTGGGCACCTTCTCTCAACATAAATTCATCAGATTTGTATGTGTAAGGTGGTACCTAAATTATCATAAGCACTCAGTTAGCGTGTGGAATGAGGTTGAGCGAATTTCAGTGACTACCTTCACACATGTGTAAGAGCCTGTGTGATCATTGAGGGTGATGATTTAGTTACTACACTGAAAAGAATATCTGCCAAGGATAGTCTTTTCTCTGGATATTCCCCGGGATATTCATCTTCTCTGGTGAGCACATCTTGGGACTGTAAAAGAAAATCTGTGTGCCACTAAACTGGTTCATAAAGCAAAAATGAAAAGTTAATTTTACAAGTGGAATGCACTGTGTACTTTTATTTCAAACGTTCATTGGTGCTTATTTTAGAAAAGTCAATTTTACAAATGGAATGCACTGTGTACTTTTATTTCAAACATTCATTGGTGCTTATTTTATGTATTTGGCCCTGGGAACTGAAATATGAGTAAGAATTAGTTCCCAGCCTAATTGTGTTTATATTCTAATAAAGACTGTGACCGTAAACAATGAATAAGCATAAGAACTAAAAAGATGGTGTTCTCAGATGGGACTGTGAGGGTTCATGGTCCTTACGGTTTGATTAAAGGACAGAATCTCAACCGAAGTAATTTAGGGTTTAGGAATAAGCCAGGGAAAGGGGAAAAGAATGGGGTTTTTTGTTTTGTTTTGTTTTGTTTTTGTTTGAGACAGGATCTCTCTACATACCCCTGGCTGTCCTGGAATTCACTCTGTAGACCAGGCTGGCCTCAAACTCACAAAGATCCGCCTGCCTCTGCCTCCAGAATGCTGGGACCATGCCTAGCTAAGGAAGGTTTTCTAAAGAGAGGAAGAACAAGTGTGAAGACACAGAGGTGTGAAGCGGTTAGGTATGTTGCAGATGCTCTAAGTAACCTGAATCAGCTGGGTCTCAGGGTATACAGGTTACAAAACACTGCAATAAAGCCATACCAGTGCTCAAGAGAATTAGTCTCAACAAAGCAGAAGTATTTGGTCTTTCTTCCAAGAACTGTGAAAGGTTACTATAATGGGTTCTGGATAGAGAATTCATAGAGCTTTGCGGTCTGTCTAGTGACTGTCATGTGGCATGAATTGAAGGTAGCCAACTAAGTTTTTTCATTGGTGTTGTTGAGTCTGTGTATCACATAGCCCAAGGTCACTTTAAATTCACTATGTAGCCAAGGATGACCTTGAACTCCAGGGCCTCCTACCTCTACTACTAGAATGCTAGGATTTCAAGTGTGGACCACCACGTCTTGTTCATGTGGTGTTGGGGATCAAACCCCGGGGCTCTTGTCAGCCTGGCAAGCACTCTATACTGAGCTCACAGCAGCCCATGACTGGGTTCTATACAAACACGACTCTTACTCATTTTAACACTCCTTAAGGTTAGCTGCTTCCCTGCTCTGTACAGTTAAAGAACTGAGGTCATGACCCTAAATTTTACTTCAGTTAGGCTTTGCTCCTCTGAACCTTGGGGGTTTGGTTTGGTTTGTTGTTTTATTATTGGTGTATGGTTTTGGTTTGGGTGTTGTTTTTTTGCTTGCTTGCTTGGTGTTTTTGAAACAAGGTGTCTCAATATAGCCTATATTGGTGTAGAATTTGTGATATATCTCAGACTGGCCTTGAACTCATAATCCTCCTGTTTCAGCTTCCCAGGTGATGGGATTATAGGCATATGACTCTAACCTTTTGTTGGACAGATGGCCCAATCTAAAAAAAGAAGAAATGAGTGAGTTTGGGTGATTGTCGGGTTCCTTTTGGACCCAGCAGATGTAAGTCTGGCCCTATGAAGTATCTCTTCAAATGCTACATGACCTATTTTATCTAGGCCAGTTCAGGTCACTTCATAGAAACTAGAGGAAAAGTCTTTGAAGTAAACCAGGCTCACTTGATCTAACTTTTTTTTGATAGGCTTTTAACTTCACTACTGAAGAAAATAGATCTGGGACACAGAATATAGGTCAAGGGTCAGAATTCCATCACAAATCTCCCTTTTTATTAAGTTTCCAAAGAGGCTATTCAACTTTTCCAATTGTCTGTGTCTGTCATACATCTCCATACCCCACTAGTTTAAGGTTCCTATCCACCTGAACAAAAGCCTTATACATTTGATGTATTTGTTAAATGTGTCATCCACATCCACTCAACCAGCCAACCTCTTCCCTCATACTGTTTAAACTTCCTGAGGATAAGGACCCACAGGGTTGCATGTGAGCGTCCTCCCTCTCATAATTATGACTCTCATTTCGGCTTGAGAGCCATGGTAATCTACACTCTGTATGGAGAAGAGATTGTCAAGAGACAAAAAGTTCTGTCTTATTGCCATCCGTGACAGGTAGCATCTTTTTCCTCAAATAGGAATGGAGCTAGCAAAGGAGGCTTTCAGATTCAGAAGGAATGATTGATGCCATCTACTCTAAGTAAATCTCATTTTAAGATCCAGCAAGCCAGTGGAGTTCAAATCCACTGAGAGTGGTCCTGACAGTTCCACTGACCGTCTGAAATTCTGGCCCAGAAAGGACTCAGCTATTAGTACCCCTTATCCTCTCTTCCTCTGCTGTCACCTCCTGCCTCCCCGTCAGTGACTCCTGGGGGAGGTAAAAGAGGCTGCTGTGAGCCCTGGATAGCTTCCCAGTGGGGAGAAATCTGAAAGTGGAAGCCTGTGTGCGTACAGAAGAGAGGACGGGCTCCTCTTGTCTCGCCCCTTGGTGTGTGAATTCTCTTCCACAGCAATGCTGCGTGCCTGCAAGGAATTTGGTTCTGGCTTCAAATCAGAAATGTCACCACTTAATATTATTGGATATAATTGGACATAGTAGGGGCAAGGACAAAATTTTTACATATACCAACTTCAGATTCTTTCTGAAAATTGGTGTGTTGAGACGTGTGGTTCTGTCACTGGAAAGAGGCCCATAAGCAGCCTCCGAGAGTTCTTTTCTCTCACCCAGGCTTACTTGCCTCCATTCTCTTGCAGGTGTGTATCCTCTGTTTGGAAGAAATGCTCCCGACCTCTCTGGAGCTGCCTTGCGAGTTCACGTGGTTCTTTCCCCACACAGTGAGCCCACGCGTGAGCTGGACTCCATGGACTGCAGCAGCCACAGTGAGTCCGAGCAGCTCCCCAGCAAGAAGGATGAGCTCCAGCTCTCTCCACCCTGTGTCCTCCAGAAGTCTCCAGCCTCCACCCTGGTCTGCTGCCCCAGCACTGCAGCTGAAGTGTGCCCCACCCACGAGGGCCCTCCCGAGTTGGATGGGACTTTTGCAGTCAGTATCCTGGTAGAGAGAGCCATGCACTTGAGCTTGAAAGGTATGCTCTGCGTACTTACCCAAAAGCAGGTGTCCAGTTCCTCAGGGTACTCTCTGTCTTCAAAGAGCTTCCAGATTATGGCAGGACCGACGAGGATGGTTAATCATCTTAGTCGATCATTCTATTTTCCAAGCCTAAAGGTTGAAGTAACGTGAAAGCCTTTCTGAGGTTAAAGCCAACTTTGACAATTATATTGATGCTGCAGATCATAAATTCTTGTTCAGAAATCCAGGCATCAGCCTTAGTGCCCCTCTCTTCCTTATTCATCAGGCGTGTCCACATCAAATAAATGGTTCTTTTTTTTTTTTTTTTTAATTTCTCATAAGTCTCTTCTTCCTCCTCCATTCCACCCACTTAGGTCCTCGGTGTGCACCCAGGACTAGGGGTTCTTAGCACTGGGTCTGCAGGTCCCCAGGAGATTCATAAGGAAAACTTGGGGTTGATGATACTAGATAGAAAAAAATTCTATTAAGAGCAGTCCTACACTGCTGACAGCCACAGAAATCATAAGCATCTTTGTGTCATTGTAGTGTCTTAGAATATCATTTTATTCTTACCAGTTCTTTGAATTTATAGCACTTATTACCTACATCTAGGTTTCATCAATAAAACATATACTTTTATGTCACAAAGTTATTCTAAGTTTTGATAGCTACCAGTATAATTAGATTTTTTATAATCCTGTGTGTTTTGCATTATGCATTTTTAAAGAAACACTCTTAAACGAAGGGGCCCAAACACGTCACCAGACTGCGAAGGCGTCTCTGGAAAACAGCCTCCTCCCTCCCTCCCTTTGTTAGCCTGGCATCTCCACTGAGATTGTCACTTTGCTGTCACTCTCCCTCTTGAGGCCGCTCGTTCCAGCTCCACTCCCAAGGCTTGGTCTAGCATTGCTGTGTACTGGAGGGCTGCCTGACAGAAGGCTCCCTCCTGTCTGGTCCCTTACACCTGTTGTTCTCTGGTCACGCAGCATTGGCCAAACGGTACTGACACCTTTGCCATGTTTGTCCTCTCTGCTGATAACCTCTCTAGAGTAAAGGCCTTGGATTGTTCACCCTGCATTCGTTCATTTAGCAGCCAGATGAGCAGCAGTGTTGGCCCTGCAGTAAGTACTGTCTTAGTGCAGGGCAGAGCAGAGAACAGAGTAAGCATCGTGTGCCGTCCGTCCCCTGTGATCCAGTCCCTGACAGAAACAGCTCAAAGAAGAGGAGGGAAGGACTTCTGCTCATAGTTTTAAAAGTTCATGGCTGCTTGGCCATGGAGGCCAGAGCATGTGGCACAGGCTTTTCTTCAGTTCTTGGCAGAAAAAGGAAAGAAAATGGGAGCCTAGAACAAGATGCAGCCCCCAAGGACACACCCTGTACCCTACTTCCTCCATCTAGGCCCCTCTCCTAAAGTTCTCACAACCTCCAAAAATAGTACCACCAACCGAGGGCCTGGCACACAGCACATGAGCATGTGGGAAAACGCTCGTACTCAGACCCTGACAGCTCTGCCCTGGCTGTTGCTTCCAGTACTCTCCTCCTCCTCCTCCTCCTCCTCCTCCTCCCTCCTCCTCCCTCCTCCTCCTCTTGCTCGCTCTACCACCGGGTAACATAGCACACGAGGTCCTGCCCATCTGGCCTCATCCGCCTTGCCAGCTGCTTTTCTCACCGTGTTTATCACACTCAGCAGCTTGTTTTGTGCCAGGGCCCTATTAAGTCTTGAAACTATCAAGCCTTGTGCTGTTTCTTCTACTAAAAATGCCGTTTTTCTCTCTCATTTGTCAGACTTGCCCCTCTCCTTAGAGGAGTAGGCTGAAGTCATGCCAACACTCTGATGCCTAACCCTGTCACACCCATTAGCAACAAGCCTGCCTCTGTGCCCAGGCTGTCCTGTAACACCACCGCATTTTCAATGAGTCACATTACTTTGTACTGAATACTGTCTCTGGTTCCCGTCCTTGGCTCAGGGAGTGTGTTACTTGTTTCTGTGTCCTCACATCTTGACTCTTGATACAGCTGAGCAAATATAACCTCCTGCTCTGGGGATCTGCGCCACAGCCTCTCACATTTCTGGCCGCTTTCACTTGTAATCACTTGTTACTAGGCCTCTTGCAACAGCCAGGTCATGACACGTCAGGGTAGACACCGGCTTTCAGAGATTTCCTTTGTGTTCAGATATCTGCTCTTGAGTGATGATCCCACGTAGTCCTTTCATCCATACACTTGTCAGCCAGGTGGGGAAGTGCAGAGCTACTCCCTGTCTCTGACATAACCCTCTCCATCATGGCATGACAGGGCTCCGGAATGGGAAGTGGAGGGCTGCACCTGCCCTGGCTGAGTTGCGACTGTTTTGTGACCTGGAGCAACCGCAGACCCACTTCTCATTTCCTCAGCTATCAAACATGATCACAGGAGTTCATCGGGATTCTTTCTACTTCCATCTTCCGAGAACATGGGGCTGAGGGGGTGTGTGCTCTCTGTACACTGCCATTCCTTGTCAAGCTTTCACAAGCATCGTTTACATGCTTCAGCATCACATTGCATTTGCTCCTGCCTCCAACAGCATTCTCATTGTGCCTGAACTTTCCAAGCCTTGGCATGGAATGAACGATTTCTTTGTACATGCTGATGATTTACAGACAACCCTAAAACTTGGATGTAGAGCAATTACAAACTTTCCATGGTCCCCACTGTAGACATGGTTCTGAAAATACAAGTACATTTGTTACAGAATCCCTGGGAAGCCCTCCTTTAAGAAGTAGCTGCACGCCTTTAATCCCAGCACTCAGGAGGCAGATACAGGCGGGTCTCTGTGAGTTCGAGACCAGCCTTGTTTACATAGTGAGTTCCAGGACAGCCAGGGCTGTTACACAGAGAAATCCTGTCTTGAAAAACAACAACAACAAAAAAAAAAAGTAGCAGCTTTGAGACCAGTACAGTGGCACATACCTTTAGCCATAGCTACTCAAGAGGCTGAGGCAGGAGGGTTGCTTGATTCTAGGAGTTCAGAGCCAGCCAGGTCAACATAGCAAGGCCCTGTCCAAAAAGAAGAGAAAGCCAACTTCAATAATCTTAATCTTTCTGTGCTTATATTACACAAGACAGGTGTTTTAAGCCCTGTTTTTACAAAGGAGACAGCTGCAAAAGAAAGGTGCTTTGAAGCCATGTGAGTTACAGCTGGAGATAGATGTTACGGAGATAGGTATTGTCTCTGTGTCTCTCTCCTCAGATCAGAACCAATTCTGACTCGGGTTGTGCACATTTGACACAGAATGTCAAGTAATGCTAGATCAGTAGAACCATACTAATTTTTTATTTTTAAATTTTTATGCATGTATACACACGCCTTGGTGCACATGTGGAGGTCAGAGGACTTGGGGAAGTGGTTCTCTTCTCCCGCCTTGTAGAGGGGGGTCACTGAGGCAGGGTGTCTCCTTGTGTCGGCTGCTGCTCTATGGTATGGGCCAGGCTAGGTGGCTGCGAACTTCCCAGAAGTTCTGTCTCTGGTTCCCGTCTCAGCGGAGGCGTGCCCGAGTTACAGTTGCACACCGCCAGCTTTAGATGAGTACCTGTGGTAAAGCTCGCTCAGCAGGCCTGGGCGGCTAGCTCTTGTGCCTGCTGAGCCGTCTCTCCACCCCTGGACTAAGTTTTTTAACATACAAGAGCGGCCTTTGGAAGGTTTTCACTGGTTCATAATAAGAGAGCAAGCTTTCTCTTAACTAACTAGAGCGAATTAGAACAATTACATGGCTGATTTCTCTACTTGCTGGCTCACCAGAAATGTGAGAAGCCAACCACTTGGCTTCCCTGCCTCTTGGCTTGCCTTACTTGTGACACAGAAGAGTCACTTATCTTACCTGATTTTTCCATGGTGTCATTAGCATGAGTTTAGTGTATAAGGAAACAGTTTATAAAGTGATATCTAAATATGAGTTTATCTCACTGAAACAACTCCGTCCTTGATGCATAAAATACTTCTCCTACTTATGTAGAATTCTGGAAATGGAGTGAAGAGGTTAAGTGCTGTAGAGCTGGCTCACCTCAGACCTCAGCTCCTCTCAATGTGTGTGTCAGCCCTATTAGGGGTAGAATGAGTTTCTTCTGAAATGCCTTAAAAAGTGCTTGAGTAGCCAGGCAATGGTAGTGTACGCCTTTAGTCCCAGCACTGGGGAGCCAGAGGCAGGTGGATCTCTGTTGAGTTCAAGGTCAGCCTGGTCTACAAAGCTAGTTCTAGAACAGCCATTTCCAGAAATGTAAACAAGCCCAGATGAGTTCTCACTCACAGGGGGAGAGCAGGAGAACCGGACAGACCTGCGCTGCCTAGCAGATTTCTTTATTGATGCCTGTTTGCCTATAAGCTCTGGAATTATTTCCTCCAAAGTCAAAACAGTAGTATTATTTCTAGACCTCTACAAATCGCTTCAAAAGTAAAACTCAGGGTGGATCTGGGGAGCCGCAGCATAAGAAAGATCAGAGCAGTATTGATGTACATCTAGAATTAGAATTTCATTATGGGAAGTGATTTGAGAGCATGTGTCCAGAAGAGAAACATGAGCTGAGAGAGCCAGAGGGAAATGGCTGTAGTAGAAAGGTCACCAGTGAGCCAGGCTTGGTGGCATAGTCCTGTAATTCCAATACTAAAGAGGCTGAGGGGGGAGGACTATGAATTTGAGGCCAGGGAAGGGAGGAAAAAGGAAAGAAGGGAGGGGCATGAAAACATGTCAGGTAGAAACAGTCACTCAAGCCAAGACCAAAGGTAAGAGAGCTAGGCGCGGTCCTGCTTACATGTATGAGGCCCCTTCCAGGACTCTCTGATACCCGGAAGCCCAGCTTCCTGACCTGGGGGTCACAGCTCTTATGGGTTGCATAACTGAGTGGGGATCACAGAGCATTTGACAGCAATGAAAGGCTTCTGATGGTACAGAGACTAGAAATTAATTCAAAATTGAGCACTAACAAATAGGTAGTATTTCTGGCAGCTTTTAATGCTTGACTTCATGGTAGCCTTGGTTCTGAACTCACACTATATATCCAGTCACTACTCAAGGCCAAAAAACAGCTGATTTTAGGTTACCATATGTTCTGAGTTACAGTGCATACAAAGTTTTCCGCCTTTGTATTTTGAGATAGGGTCTCGCTATATAGCCCTAGCTGGCCTTGAACTCACAGAAATCCACCTGCCTCTGTCTTAGAGTGCTGAAATTTAAAGGCATGAGCCATGACACCCAGCAGTTTAATTGTGAAAAACAGACTTAATGTTTTCTCATCACTGTTCCTCAGCATGTATCAAATTACTTCATCTCAGAATCGTAGTAGAATGTTTGGCTTTTTTTCTTAATTGCTGAATTGAGTTTCATAAATAAATAAAAATCTTTTAATGAGTTTTAGCTTGGCATTAGGACAGAATTTCCAACGTTTTTCTGAAATGGCCCTAAACGTGCTTCTTTATCCTGTGTGTTTGCAAAATGGCATTCACAGAATTGACTATTACAAGTCAGATCAGCCACATCCTGAAGAATTCAGTATTCAACCAAGATTTCATTCCTTATGTAAAAATGAACAAGCATGGCCATCTCACTAGTGTTTAGATTGCTTTTATCCTTTATGAACAGTGAATTTATATGTATTTTAGAGAATTATTTTTAAATGAACTTTTTATAATTTTCTCTGAGTAAATATTGATTTCTGTACCTGTTTTAAATGTATATGCCTGCCCACCCAAGTCACATACAAATTTCTCAGATAAAAAGTAGTCCTAAGTAGATGGTTTAAGAAGCCCTGCCCTGCAGTACAATCCCCTGCTGTGTTTTCTTTCAGGGAGCCCCTTGACAGAGCGGAAAGTGTCCGTACCCAGTAGCTGTGTGTCCTTTGCAACAGCCGCTGAGCCGTCTCCTGTATACACCCATGTGGTTGAGAACACCGATTCACCCATCTGGAATTTTCAACAGCAGTCGAGGTTCGTGTGTTCTGATGTTTATTATCTGTTTAGAATCAGCTTTTTGTTCCAAGAGACAAACTCAGAGCCAGAAATACAATAGAGACAATAATGTTTGAGCAGGACTGCAAAGTGCGTCTTTATGCAGTTGTTTGGTCCTAGTGTTTACAAATTCATGGCTCCCAGTGGTTAAAGGGCTTATTGCAGTGTTGTTGGTTTTTAAAAACTTACTACGTGTGTGTGCATACATACCATGGCAAGTGCATGGAGGGCACTGGACAAATTGTGGGAATTGGTTCCCTCTTTCCCTGTGGGTACCAGGGACAACTGAGTTGTCAGGTTCGGTGCCTTTTACCTGCTGAGCCGTCTTGCTGGCCTTGTTTCAGTGTTTGTTTAAATTTATTTATTTTATATGTTTGAATGTTTTGCCTGTATATATATATATATATATATATATATATATATATATATATACATACATACATACAGACACACATACATGTGTGTGTGTACCATGTCAGAGGAAGGTGTTGGCTCCCCTGGAACTGGGGTTACAGATGGTTGTGAGCTACCGTGTGGGTGCAGGGAATTGAACTGAGATCATCTGTAAGAACAACCAGTGCTCTTAACCACCGAGCCCATCTCCCCAGCCCCTTGTTTCAGTGGTTTCAGCTCTGATTGTTGCTCAAAAAATAGTGAGAGGCAAGAGATATGCCTTGCTCTGGGAATACAAATGAGTAAAATTCTCTCTCCTGTTAAATTGTGGTCATCCTGGGAAGAAGCACCAAAGTTAAAGGCTATACTCAAGTTTGACAGTGTGGTAAAAGAAGTAAAATGGATACTGGTAGAAAGATGGCTCAGAAAAAAGGGGTTAATTAGGCCAGTGTGGAAGCCAGAGTGTGCCTCATAAACAAAACTGCAGAGCTAACTATTAGAAGAGTGCATACATAAATGATGTAGATGAAGAAGCCAGGGACGGGGGCAGTATTCTAGGGAGAGAATTAATCTCAGTAAAGGAAAGACCTTTAGTGCAATGGAAAGAACCTGGTCTTTGGATCCAACCACATCCCTGCCATAGCCTAGCTGTGTGAATTAAGTTACCTACTATCTCCAAACATCGAATTCCTCATCTTAAGGTGGATATAGTTTTATAGGTAACTGTAAAATCTAAATTAGATGAGTTTTTTGAAGATTGCTTAACCAGTCTTAATAACATAGACATAAAGCTCCTAAGGTTGATATAATCATTATATAAAATACATACATGAATACTGTCTTTCAAAATATAAAGTTGCCAGTCCTGGTGGCACACGCCTTTAATCCCAGCACTCAGGAAGCAGAGGCAGGTGGAGCTCTGTGCAATTGAGGCCAGCCTGGTCTACACAGCAAGTTTTAGGCCAGCCAGGGCTACATAGTGAGACTGAAACATATACACGTACACACATGGGGTGGGGAAGTCCAACCTTCTATTGAATGAAAGTTTGTTTGTTTGTTTCCCTTTACATGTCACTTGAAAATGGGAAATCGTCATTTATATTCAGGTTTATTAAACAAGCTTTGTTAAATATTGTAAATGTTTACCTTTCACCAGCTTCAAGGTTTATGTTGTGGCCAAATTTCCCACCCAATTGATCTATCAAATCCCACTGAATGAATGCCACTCTGGATTCTAAGGCGTCAGTTTCTTCTTGCAAAGTTTTCTTTGCTGCTTCTAACATTCCTTGGGTTTCTTCTTGAGAATGTCTAAAGAAAACATCTCTAATCTGATAGGGTATCATCCTCAAATCTGAGTTCCATACTGTTGGAAGTTTCCTGTAGTTAACTCATGGTGATTGTTGGTTTTTCCTAACAGGTTATCAAAAGAGCTGCTTCTGGACCCACATCAAACCCTGGTCTTTAAAGTGTGGCATAAAGGAGGTATGAGTGCTATTCTGTGATCTTCTTTTCCAGATAAGGAGAGCCATGGTACTGATGACCATGGGAACACAGGTGTCTGGTAGAGGAGACTCACACAGAAGCCTCCATTATTCTCTTGTGGAAGTTAAATACTTAGGAGTCATATCTTTTAGACTACCTGCTTAATGTAGGACTCCAATTACATTTGAGCCTTTCCAGTTGTATCTGTCTTTAACTATAATGTACAGGACACATACAAGTGGTTTCCTCCACTTTGTTAGACCTTCTGTTGGCTCTGGCTTGTCAAGCAAGACCAGCAGAATATGAGGCCATAGTGACAGCTTATCCTTTCTTGTTTTATAAGCCTCCCGAAGAGGGAGTGCTGACATCATGGTCCTTGAACCTATTTTTATTCAGCTACTATGGGTTGTTTGCTTGTTTTGAGGCAGGGTCTCACTATAATCTGATCTGTCCTTGAACTCACTACCCTCTTGCCTCCAACTCCCAAGTGCTGGGGTTGCCAGATGAGCCTGTACTTCAGAGGCACAACCTGGGTCTAGTAAGATGGCTCAGTGGGGAAAGTGGCCACCCAACCCAATAACCCACATGGTAGAAGAAGAGACCCAGTGCCCACAAGCTGTGTTCTGACCTCCCACCACATACAAGCTGTGGCACATGCACCCCACCCTACCCCCCAAAATAAATAAATGTAACTTTTAAAATGTGAAGAAAATAAAAAGAAACATAAGCCAATAGTGTTAGGGGCATTGACTCTGAAGCCAGACTGTTTGGATGCAAATGTGAGTTCTGCCTCCGACTGTTGCGGTGGGATCTTGGATAAATGACTTGTCGGTGCTTCAGTTTCCATAGCTGCAAAGTAGTTATAATATAGTGCCTACTTCAGAGGGTTCACGGGGTAAGGCCGGACAGCACATGTCCTGTTGGTTTCCTTGTGCCTGTGCAATGAATGGCAATCATCTAATGACGTTATACATATAACGGCGGGGGGGGGGGGGGGGGGGGGGGGGGGGGGGGGGCATGGCTCAGTCACTGGAGTGCTGCTGGGCAAGCATAGGAGCCTGAGTTTGGATCTCCAGCACCTACATAAAAGCTGCTCACAGCACTGGAGAGGTGGGAATGGCACAGCCCTGGAGTTCATTAGCCAGCCTAGCCAAGTCGGTGAGCTCCAGGTTCAGTGAGAGAGCCTGTCTCGAAAAATAAGCTGGAAAGTGATTGAGGAAGATACTAACATTAACCTCGGGCGCGCGCACACACACACACACACACACACACACACACACACGAGGGGGAGGGGCTGGAGAGAGGAGAGCAAGTGCTGAAGCACAGCTGGGTAGAGCCAGGGTCTGAACACAGTTCTGATTGACTGTATAGCTGTCACTGCAAGACTGGCTGATGCAGAAAAATGAGATGGCTTGGACACCCTGTCTTCTCACAGCCTGGTAAATTCAGTCCCACTCAGCCACCCCTGAAGTCTAGCCCCTTTAAGATTCTGCTAGCTCCTGGTTTCCAAACATCCAGTTGTTTGGAGTCATCCACAGAGCACAACACTTTGTCTGCCAGTGTTTAGTTCCAGGATTGACTGAGGCCTGAAGGAGACCAGGAGTGCCCAGGGCAGGAAGGGCATCAGCATGTCTTTTCCTGTGCTCCTGTGCGAGGGCTGCTCTGATCTGGCTTTGAAGAGGAATTCTTTGCTACTGCTTTGCATTCACTTACAACCCCACCACTACCAGCCTTGTGGATGCAAGGACTGGTCCGAAGTCAGTTTCTCTAGATCAGCATAAGTAGCTCCTGGTGTATTTAACTGGGCTCCACACTCCTCCCTCCTTCCTTCCCTCCCTAATGTTCTATAGCAGTTGTCTGCCAGATGGGGTTCACCTCGTTCAAGGGCAAGAGAAAAAGAATAAGGTCTGATTATATGCAGACCTAGGTTCAAATCCTCACTCTGCCATTTGCCAACTGAGTGACCTGAGGTAGACCACTGTACCTCTTTTTCATCTTACTTATACAATTATTATATAGTACATTCTTTTGGGGTTGCGTGAAGATTAGAAATAATATCTGTAAATAACTTGGCACGTAAGTGCTGCTCAGTAAATGGGACCACTTTCATTATGCTGCCACCATGTTAGGACTGCTGGGTATGGAGAATAAAATGCTGCCCCTATCCTCAGGACCCCCAGTGATGCCTGTAAGCTCATGTTGTAAATGGATTTAAGGGAAATGCCTCAACCAGACAAGACAGATTCATCTAACTGTCTAGGCCCGCCCACACAGATCCCCCAGACACACCACAGAGAGCATCTGAAGAACACCAGGCCATCCGTGGTCAGCAAATGCTTGATTTCCTGTTCTGCTAGTTCCTATGCCAAGTGACAGGACACAGAAGGCAGACAGCCATGGGGGCACGAGAAGTGCAGTTAGCATGCTGGAACAATGCAGGGTGGCATGCTGGAACCTTTAACCCAGACTCAGGATATCAAAGCGGCTTCCTGTGTCATACATCACCTAACAGCTGGATCAGCGTGGATCAGTATCCCATGCTGTTTTTCAGGGGTTGTCTTTCTTTTATAACTGATTTACTTGGCTCTTAATTAATTGTAATACATATGTATATCTTAGGAAGTGTGGGAAATACAGGCAACTATAAATAAGAAAGTGAAAATCTGCCAGGCAATGGTGGCACATGCCTTTAATCCCAGCACTCAGGAGGCAGAGGCAGGCAGATCTCTCTGAGTTCAAGGCCAGCCTGGTCTACAGAGCAAGTTCCAGGACAGCCAGGCCTAGACAGAGAAACCCTGTCTCAAAAAACCAAAAAAAAAAAAAAGAGAGAGAGAGAGAATGTGAAAATTCTTGAAATTTCAAGACTACCCCTCATGTATCGGCGTGTGCACATGTGCATGTACACCACACACACACACACACACACACACACACACACACACACACACACACACATGAAAACAATCATGGAGGCATGCTATGTCTATAGGAAAGTAGTATATAGGTTAGAATTTTTCTAGTTGCTTATATAAAGAATACAAAGCACAACTCTGCCAGCTCTTCTCTGACGCACCAAAATGGGCCTGAGATGTAGCTCAGTTTGTAGATGCTTGCCTAGCACATGTGAAGTCTAGGTTTGATCCCCAGGGCCACATAAATACAGCCCGGTGACACAACTGTAGTTCCAGCACATGTCTGTATCCCTAGCACTCAGGAGATGAAGGCAGAAAGATCAGAAGTTCAACTGGTCTGTGACTACAGAGCAAGTTCAAGACCAGCCTGGGATACTTGAGACCTTGCTCAAATAAGACAATGGGGTGGGGGATAACCACGGCACAGAAAAGGACTCCTAACAGGCTCTGGCTCCCAAGCCTTTCAGCTCAGTGCCAGTGTTGTTGGGTGTCTCTCGTCATCTGAACCAGCTTCTCCATGTAGTCTCCAGTCTCAACAGGAGGAGGACATGGCCAGCCACACTACCAGCTCTTCTCTTCTCTCCCCGACAGATGAGGAGAGGGTGATTGGCTTTGCCTCGGTGGACCTCTCCCCACTACTGTCCGGCTTTCAGTTTATCTGTGGCTGGTACAACATTACAGACTTCAGTGGAGAGTGCCAAGGGCAGATAAAAGTTGCTGTTTCCCCTCTGGAGAGTCTGATGCACTTGAAAGAAGAAAGACAAGCCAGGCGAGGGACGGCAGCCCCAGGATCCCTGGTAGGTTTCCTTGTTCACACTAATTACAGGTCCACTGTAAGAAGAGCCTTTATACTTTGTGCTACTTCCAGCTTAAAGCCCACACTTTATGTAGACAACAACTTCCTGGCTTTGGGGTGAGGGTGAAAAAGAAGGGGAGTTTTCCAGACTGCTCAGGAGGGGAACTCTTATTGCTGTAATAGATTCTATTCACCTCTCACATTTGCCTGGCACAGCATGGAATCAGTCAGTATTGAATGAGTAAGCGTGTGAGGAAGTGACTGAGAGTTCGGTGATCCCTTTGTAAGAAGTCTTCTGATCAGTTCTGGTGACTACAAGATAAGAATATCACAGCCCAAGCCAGGTGGTGGTGGCACACACCTTTAGTCCGATCATGCAGGAGGCAGAGGCAGGGGGAGCTCTGTAAGTTCCAGTCCAGCCAGGGCTACACAGAGAAACCCTGTCTTGGCAATTATTAAGTTTAAATGAGGCAATGCATATTCCTCATAACAGTGTTCAGCGCAGAGCGAGTTAACTATACCAAGTGAATTTCAGGGTTATGTCTGGCTTTGTTCCGAAGGATTAGTGGTAACCATTTTTCCATTGCTGCTGCAGGTACCAGTGTTCAGCCCCTTTTCCTTCCTTGCCTCTTCTGTATGTGATGCATTCCCTGGGCCCGTGGCAAGGCACATGCAAGGCCAGCTTGCTCACACTTCTCCAAAGGAGGCAGATGTCTCCTCTCCTGCAAGGTAATTGTTGATGGGAAAAACTGTCTTGTCATTCCTCTCTCCTTTATTAGAGGAGGACACCGGAGAAAGACAGGGAAAGACTTCATACGCAGACACAGTGATTTTCAAGATCTCTGGAAACAACTTTGTAAAACAGGAACTAGACTCTTTTTACTGCCATTGAGAGATGGAACAATCTCTTGTCCTTAGATCCCTTTCACCTTTTATGAAAATTATATCACCCTCCAAAGAAAAAACTATGTGCCAAGTTTTGTTTAAAACACTTGGTTCAAGGGCAGAGTGCTTGCCTACCACGTGCAGGGCCCTGAGTTCAATCCTTCACACCTCATAAACCAGCTGTGGTGGTGCACACCTGTGATCCCAGCACTTGGGGTGTAGAGGCAGGAGGATCAGAATATCAAGGCCATCCTCTCCTACTTCGTGAGTTTGAAGTCAGCCTAGGCTATATGAGACCCTGTCTAAAAACTAAAAATAAATTTTAAAATCCCAAACCATACACATACCTGCTTAGCTCATTCTGTTCACTAAGGTAGCCGTGACAGTATGTGTGGATTTCTGGGCTAGCGTATGCCTCATCCTGTTAGAGAACAAGACCAAAAGTGAGAGTGTTCCTTTTACCTCTCTCTCTTGCAGGCCTTGGTGTCCTCTACCAGAGGTTTTCCCCCACATTTTTCTTACCACTCAGCAAAAATATTCTCTCATAGGGCACATGCTTTTAATCTCAGCACACAGGAGGCATAGGCAGGCAGATCTCTGAGTTCAAGGCCAGCCTGGTCTACATAAGGAGCTCCAGGCCAGCCAGGGCTGCATAGTGGGACCATGTCTCAAATGGAAGAATCTTCTCTTATGCAGCTGCCCCTGCAGGGGCCGTTACTAAGTAGACCCCTTGTCTGAGACGGACAGACACCCCCACGCTGCTCCCCCGCTGGTCTGTTTAGTGCTTTGTAGTTTTCCCTTGGTCACCATGTGAAGGTAATTCTGTGTTTAAATTCCTGTGTTCAACATTCTAGGCTCCAGGTGCTGCTTTGACCATAGCCAGTCAAAGAAACATAGCCGAGGGGCTTGTTTCTAAGTGACGCTGTTTAGTAACTTTAAAGCTAAGAACTTAGTGACTTGCTTTTTATCGGCATAAAAATGCCCCAGTTAAATCAGAAGACCATACTGGCGTGTTTTTATTCTAATCCGACCATCCACTCCAGGATGAGCCGCATGCCATCCCTAACCACCTCCAGCTGTTTCTGAGCCTGTCTCCCTCCAGGGAAAAGGTGGTAAAGTCCTATGCTAGCCTTAGCGTAGACTAGCTGTATATGACCTGATGCAAAATGCTTTGATTCTTTTTAAACTTTATTTATGTGTATGGGTGTGTTACTTGCATGTATGTCTGTGTATTACATGAGTGCTTATGCCCTTGAAGTCCAAAAGAGGGTGTGAGTCCCCTGGGACTAGAGTTACAGACAGTTGTGAGTCACCATATGGGTGCTGGGAGTTGAATCTGTGTCCTATGAAAGAGCAGCCCATGCTCTTAACTACTGAGTCATTTCTTCAGCCCCTACTTCGGTTCTTTGAGCCTCAGTTTTCTTCTTTACTCAACAAAAACAACATATTACCTCAAGGATTGTTATAAAGAGTAAATGAGAATAGAAATAAACTCATTTAATACACTTTATATTAGTCATCTGTTTGTTTTCACACCAATCTTAAACAAGAACTTTAATTCCTAATAGTACATGGCAAATGCCTAGAGTAGCCTTTTCTAAATGTTTTGTGTGTTTGCTACAATGGGAAGCTAAACAGCTCAGATAGCCATCAACAACTAGGTGAACAGATTGCCCAATAGTGATATATTCATAAAATAGAATGTAGCACAAAAAGAAATAATGTTATTAAAATAAATACTGAATCTCAAAATAGTTATGCTAGAAAAAAAGAGTAGATTGCAAAAATGCCACTTGTATAAATTTTAGAGAATGCATTCTAACCTTTAGTGGTAGAGAGCAAATGAGCAGTGACCTAGCAATAGGGTGGGGCGAGCAAGGAGGCCAGAGGAAGGTGTGTCAAAAGGAGGAAGCTGTGCAGGGGTGGCTACATTACCTTGTAATGACTTCCTTGAACGAAGGCCAAAATCAAAATTCATCAAGTCGTACAATTTACATATGTTGAGTGTTGGGGTTTTGGTTACATCATTAGTTAAAACAGTGGTTCTTAAACATTCCTACTTGGGAACTCTTTTGTACTATTAAAAGTGACAACCCAGGCCAGGCATGGTACTCACACCTTAATCCTAGTACTTGAAAGGCAGAGGCAAGCAAATCTCTGAGTTTGCACATAGTGAGTTCAAGCCAGCTGAGCCTCCACAGTGAGGCTCTCACGAATAATAGTAATTTGATGAGTCCACAGAGGTTTGTTTATATGGATTATATCTTAACCATTTCTTATATTACACATTTAAATTGAGAAAAAGTTTAAACATACAAAATCAATTGTATTTCTGTACACTGGCAATGAGGAATCAAAAATAAAATTGAAAAAACAATTACATTTGCAATAATAGCAGACAGGATAAATATTAATGAATACAGATATTTTCTGAAAACTATCAGTATATTGTTGAAAGATGGTAAAGATCTAAGTAAATGGGATAATGTCCCATGTTCTTGGATTCATGAATTTAACATTTTTAAGATGTACTTCCATAATTCTTTTGTAGGTTCAACATATCAAAATCCCTGTTGGCTTCTTTCTAGAAATGAATAAGTTGATTCTAAAATTCATGGAAATTTAAGATATGCAGAATAGACAAAAGAACCTTTTAAAAAGAACCAAGTTCCCAATTCTACAAAGCTACAGTAAGCAAAACACATCCCTGGCTAGAAATAGGATGACTGAAGTAAAATTAATAATCCAAAGGTAAATATGTCAACTGAATATTACCAAGGTGCTAAGACAGTTCAGTGAGGAAAGAACAGGCTTCTGAGGAGTGCTGCAGCAGCCTGGTACCCAGCCCAGGCCAGGCCAGCCCCTCCTCCAAGTGTCAGACACAAACCAGCTTGATGGGAATTAACACAGTAGCACAACAAGAAACTCTTCAAAGAAAACATGGTCAGGGGAGCCTTTTGTGAGGCATTGATTCCCTAATATGACAACAGAAGCACAAGCAACAAGAGAAGAACTGACTTATCCCAATAAGACCTTGGATGCTGTAAATGATGCCGTCAAAAAAGGAAAGGGGTTGGAAAGATGGCTCAGAGGGCACAAGTTCAGTTCCCAGCACCCACATCTTGGGGCTCATGGCCACTTGTAGCTCCAAGTCCAAGGAATCCAACACCCTCTTCTGGCTTCCACAGGCACCACACACATGACATACTTACACACACACACACACACACACACACACACACACACACACACACAAAATAAAAATACTTTTTGAAGAAATCTAAAAAATAGAAAATAAAATGGAAACCTATAGAAGAATGATTTTAAAATATAGCTCTAATAGGGATTTGTAACTAAACTACAAACAACTCTGGCAGTAATATGAAACAAATATCCCATCTGAAATACTTCTAATATAGAAGCACTTGTCTCCCTGGATTTGATTCCCCAACACTGCAGAGGGACACGATTTTAAAACAGACAAAGTAGCTGATAGACAGTTCTCCAAAGAAAATATGCACGTGGTCACTGAGCAAATGAAAAGATGTAAATCAAACCAAAATGAGATGCAGCTTCCTATCCACTGCAGTAACTGTTTGAAAAGAAACAAGAGATAATAAAGCGTTAGGAAGAAGGTGTTGGAACGACTGTGAAGTTGTCCAGCCACCTTGCCAAACAGTTTGGCAGTTCCCTAAAAATTTAAATCCCGGGGCTGGAGAGTCATGTCAGCAGTGAGGTGCTGCTCTTCTGGAGGACCTGAGCTCAGTTCCCAGCATCCACAGCAGGCGCCTCAGAGCTGCCTATAACTCCAGTTCCAATGGATCAGACATACTTCACACTCAAGCATGCATGTACACACACAAAAATAAGCAAGTAAATACTACTTTTTAAAATTCTAAATACAAATGGAAGTTTTAATTTAAAAAAAGGAAGAGTACTGACAAATTTTATTATATCCTAATATATATATATATATATATATATATATATCATATATTATATCAAAGAGACTTAAAAGTATATTGTACGATCCCATTTGTATGAAATATAAATAGACAAATGGTAAAGACAGGAGATAAGTAAGTAGTTGCCTCAGCTTCAGGGTTTCAGGAAGAAATGGAAATGGTTGCTAATGGATCTGGAATTTACTTTTAGGAGCTGATAAAATGTTCTAAAACTGATTTTTGAAAAGGAGTAGGTAACTCTTATTATACTAAAAATCACTGGATTGTATTGTATTTCTTTTTTTTTTGGTTTTGGTTTTTTGAGACAGGGTTTCTCTATGTAGCTTTGGTGCCTTTCCTGGAACTCACTCTGTAGCCCAGGCTGGCCTAGAACTCACAGAGATCCACCTGGCTCTGCCTCCCAAGTGCTGGAATTAAAGGTGTATGCCACCACCGCCCGGCTTGGATTGTATATTTTAATTGGGTTAATTGAATGCTGTATGAATTACATCTCAGTAAGACTGCCTAATTGTCAAGAGAAAGAAGATTGTTGCAGTCACATTCTTGAATATCATGCTTAGGAATTAAAAGATTTGTTCTATAGATTAAAAGAGGCAGAGCCGGAAAGGAATGATACTGCTGACTAGATTAATCCCTGGTGAATCCTTATAACGACTGCCGTCATAATGAAGGTTCCATATATACTGTTGTTGTTACTCTTGTTAGATCTGTGTTTTAGAAAAATCACTCGGGCTCTAATGTGGAGAACAGAAGGAAGTAGAGTGGCTGAGACCAAAAGCAAGTTTCTCTAGGAAACCTGCATGATCTGAGAGAGCTGAGCAAGCCGGAGTGGCTGCAGAGGTGGGGAGAGGTCTGCAGTGTCATCTCACGGCAGTGACTCGGTTGTCACACGTGGAGGTGTCTCCTTGGTTAGGCATTTCCTTCACTCCTGGTTTCCCCACAGAAATGGAGTCATAAGAAGCCAGGCAGCACGCCATGAGGAGCATGTGCAGAACATCCGCCGGTTTCACGAGTCCCTACAGCACGGGGAGGCAGTCTTGGCAAGTGATGAGAAAGTGACCACAGCGCCTTTGTCCTCCCACACCTCCATTCTGACTTCTCTCAGGTGAGGACCTGCAGTGGGAAGAAGACGGGGAGCCATTGTGTGTGGAGCACAGGGGAATGAGCAGTGGCATCGTGGAGTATGGCATTTCCACTCATTGTCCCTTCTTCAGAAGGTTCTGTGGAGTGATCTCATGCACGTTAGTGTTGAGCTGGACCTTGGAGCCTCGTAGACTTTCTCACAGACGAATCTGTCGGTTAGAGCCCTGTATTCCTTCAGAGGGCTCTGGTAACAGTCCACCTGTAAATCCAAGAACTTTAGCTTGTTCACCAGGACTTGTTGATGCCACCCTCACGTCTAAACAGTGTCACATCTTTACAGCTCACAAACCTCATCCTGTCCATGGCCTTTATCTTCCCAACCACATCCTTACTCTACTTATCTCTCCTGTCCACACTTCCCTGTCATTGTGTTGGTCTAGTTAGCAAAGAATCATTGTAAGAAGTAAACATACTGTAGATCACAAGATCAGCCCAAGGGTGTTGAGAGATCTGGTACAATGGAAAGGACTTGATTTCACTGTTAAATAGCTTTGACCTCGAGGCCTGCCAACCCCAGTGCAGAAGATAGCCATGGCCAGATAACTACAGTGCAGGGTAGTGAGAGCTGTGATTTCCTGTCCAAGAGCAGACAGAGGAATGAGTAATCCAGAAAGATGAATGTGAGAAGTGTTAAAAAAGCACATGGGGCCTTTGAAAGAAGAGGCTAATAAATGGGAAGGCTGTTCTCTGCAGGAAGAATATCTCCAAATGCCGGAGGTATAGAGTATATCAAGATTGGGGAAATACTGACTGTACGGTTAAAAAAAAAATGAGCTAAAGATGCAAGAAGTAGGCCAGCAAGATGGCTCATCAGGAGAGGCACTTGCACACAGGCCTCAGATCCTGAGTTCAATCCCAGGATCTCACACAGCAACAGAGGAGAAACAACTCCCTAGAGTTGGCTTCAGTCTACACACACACACACCACACACACACACACACACACACACACACACACACACACACACACACACTAAATTGAATAAATAAAATTTAAGTGCAAGGAGCAGGTCAATTCTTTAGGAGTTGCTCATGAAGGGCCTTGGCGACTGGGGACCCATGTGTGACCTGTAGAGCAAGTACTGATAGACTATGTCACTGGTGAGAAGGTATGATATGGTGACCCATGTGTGACCTGTAGAGCAAGTACTGATAAACTGTGTCACTGGTAAGAAGGTACGATATGGTGCCAGCAAGTGTGCAGGCCCTGAATCTATGCCAGAGCCTCTGACGGAAGCCCTGGGGTTGTAGGTTTTCTACACTGCCAAGTGTGCTCTTGCCTTCTGCTGCTGCAGGCATTCATCTGTGCAGATGTAGACCCTGAATGACTTGGTGATACCTCCACCCTTTGATAGACCCAATCCTGTAGTGATGGAACAAGGATGAGCTTTGTCCTCTCCCTTTACTTGGATTTGACTCAGTCTGGGCTATGGGAATCCTCCCGGGCATATTCAGGGCAGCAGACCTGCTTCCTAGACCATCTGTTCCTGGACATTCATGGCTGAATTAGAGAAATTTAATGAAATACCAAGTAATGAGAAAATGACAAGACAGAAAGCTGTGTAAGCTGAGAGTAGAGGGATGAAGGAGACAGGGGACCCAGTGATTTCAGATCGTAGACTTGGAAAAGTCATGAGCAGCAACCTTAAAGGCGGCTGTGGCGCACGCCTTTAATCCCAGCACTCGGGAGGCAGAGCCAGGTGGATCTCTGTGAGTTCGAGGCCAGCCTGGTCTACAGAGCAAGATCCAGGACAGCCAAGGCTACACAGAGAAACCCTATCTCGAAAAAACAAAACAAAACAAAAGATGAATGGAAAGAAGAGACAAAGTAGAGAGAGCTTGATCTCAGGTTTCATAATCTGAAGAAGTGTGTGAAGGAACAGACCAGGTTGGGACAGAGCTCATCTAGTGTCCTAGAAAAAAACCTAAGATTTGGAGTTCCAGAATCTGAATAGACACATACTACTTCTTATCCTAGACAAATCACTTACATTCTCTGAACCTGAAATTCTTTATTTGTAAAGTAACAATTACTAATTTCAAGTGGTTTGTAGCAAAAATCTTAAAAGTTCTTATTAATAAAAACAAACATGGAGCCAGGTATTGGAGTGAATGCTGGAAGATCAGAGAGACAGAACAAGCCACAACTAACCTCACCTGGCCAACTTCTCAGCTGATCTTGTTTCCTCAGACTGGAGGCCTCTGTGTCCTCATCTCCGAATGGCTCTCAGCTGAACTGTGCTGCTCAAAACCTAAAAGCTTAACCAGCCAAATGCTTAACCAGGCCAAATGCTGCTAGTTTCTGGTCCTCATGCCTTATATACCTTTCTGCTTTCTACCATCACTCCCTGGGATTAAAGGCTCGCTTTCTGGGATTAAAGGCGTGAGTTACCATGCTTGGCTGTATCCTTGAACAGATGGATTTCTGCCTCGGGAATGCTAGGATTAAAGGTGTGTGCTACCACTGCCCATCCTAAGTATCTAGTGACTTTTCTGTTCTCTGACCCAAGATAAGTTTATTAGGGTACTCAATATTTTGGGGAACACAATACCACCACATTTCCTCTCTTTTTGTTTAAAATTAAAAAAAGCTTATAACTAATACAAGAAAAATTATATCCAATAAGTATATACAATATACAGTCAAGATTACATTAACGATGTCTAGTCCATTAATATTTGACAGATTCAAACAAAAAATTCCATTTATATATTAACAATGTCCAGTCCAGTAACATTTGATAAACTCAGACAAAAATTTCATTACTTATTCTATTTAAAACAAGTAATTCCTTTTTAAAAGTATTTTTTCTTTTCATAATAGATTCAGTAATTTTTGTCATTTTTATATCTTCCTCTTTTTCTTTTTAGTGTAGATTCAGTGATCTACCCATTTATCCTATTATTTCTTTATCTTTTTTCTCAGATTCGATCTACTTCATATCTATATTTTCTTTTTTCTTTTTCTTTCTTTTTTTTAAACAAAACCTCCAAATATAATCTCCTTGTTCAGCTTTTTTCCTGACCACTAACAATTAACAACTTGTAACCAACCATCATAAACAATAACAATTATCCATAAGCCATTGAATGACCAAAAACCTCCCTTCCCATCCCTTGGGAATGTGGGCGTCGTTTTCTTAAAATTACTTCCTGCTACTAGGGGCGAAGACATCTTTAAGGAATCTTGAAAAGAAAATTTTTGGGTTAATTGTCAAGTCCTGTATCATTTGTCCAGTCGCTGCATAATGAGAAAGTGCAGGGCTTGTTTTAAGTCCTTGTTCAAGTAGTCTGTCAGGCTGGATCATCTCAGCTAGCCATCTCAAAATTGTCCTGAGTAGTTTGTAGTCCAAAGTCAATCTTTTCATGGTGTTAATCAGCCTAATGGCTTTACCATAGTCCATGTGGAATCATCATTGTGGGCTCCTGTCATCTTTTTGAAGATTTCAAAGTCGCTGTTAGGTGTGGTCATGGTTCCCTTTAGAACTTTGTGTGTGTGTGTGTGTGTGTGTGTGTGTGTGTTTGTGTGTGTGTGTGTGGTTTGGAACAATCACAGTCTGATAAATGTCTGTCTCTCGGAACCATAAACATTCTTCCCTAGAAGAGAAAATCTTCACCGCATTTTCTCCCCACCATTTGTCTTGCCAAACTTTTCCAAACCAACCTTTGCTGATGCTTTCTTGTAACACGATGGTCCTGGCAATTCTCTGAACAAGCAGCGGTAAACCTTTCTTCCCAGGGAGCAGCATCATTGCAGTCACCAACATGATGAGAAGAAGCCAGCAACTCGGAGCAGCAGCCGCTGCCTCCATGGTCCCACCGCTGTTTGTGGTTCGGCCCTGACCGAAGCTTCTCCGTAGCAAGCCTCCTAGGCCACCCTCAAACTCGGGATCCTCCTGCCTCTGCCTCCTTCAGCAAATCCTACCGGCGCGGGCCACCACAACTGGCTGAGTGTAGCTTGGGCCTGAGCTGGGGCCCACAAGGCCACAGGCAAGCAGCTTTTTCATGAATTCATACCACAAACGTTGGGCACCAGATGTATTGGCTGACAATTACCAAGGTAGTGTATTTGAAAACGTAAACTCCTATACAAATAAAGGCTGATGTGATTCTCCATTGGACAGTGGTGAGAATGAAAACAGGGTGTTTTAAGTCACTCACCTACGTTGACTTATTCAGTAGGCGTTAGTTCTGTGCCCAGCGCTATGCCGCGTGGCTATGGTAGATGGAAGGAATTGTCACTGAGCCACAGTCATAAGGAAAAGTAGATGTGAAGTCAACAGGCGCAGTGATTGAGAATACAGGGGAAACGGAGATGGAGTCTGGAGACAAGCTGGAGGGTCAGGGAAGGCTGGCTAGATGAGGATCAGGAATGACTGACTGAGAGGTGACAGGAGTGAGGCCAAGTGAGGACTGCCACGATGAGGACCAAGAATGGTGGCTTGGACACCATGTGTTATGATACTTGCTTGTAATCTCAGCTGAGACGAGACTTATAGCAAGCCCCAGGCCAGCCTGGGCTCTACGAAGACCTGTCTTACAGAAACAAAACAGTCTAGCAAAAAGAATGGTCCCTTATGAGAAGGGTGTGTCTTTGGGAGGTGGGGGCAAAGTTGGCTCTGGCAATGGAAGGTGGAGGCTAAAGGGTTGGTTGAAGAGGATAGTAGTTCCAGGTTCTATACAGCACTAAGCCAAGTGAGCAGTCCTGCCTCATGCGTGTTGTGTGAAGATTCCTGTAATCACTATGAATGACCTCTTTGTCACCCTCCCCTTTCCCCAGGAAGAATCTGAGTGAGCTAGATGAGATCCAGAAGTACTTCACCCAGAAGCTCAGCAGGCCTTTCCTGCCCTTCAGCTCTCACAGCTCTCCTGCTATCTCAAAGAGCCAGGAGAGCCAGAGGGACTCAGTGGGCCCAGGAACCAGCAGCCGAGACCCCGAGAACCAGTGCATCCTGGAGAAATCCAGTAACCTGGTGCTGCAAGTCAGCTCCCTAATCTCAGGTATGGCTCAGGGCTGTTCCTGCTACAGCTTTGATCACTAGGGGCCAAGTCAGAGGCCACCTGAGTGTCTACCCTCAGGTGGGCCTCCATCACGAACACAAACAACAGTTTTCATATCTTTTTTCTGCCTTTTGAAGGAAAGGACAGTGGTGTGGACAGGAGCATGGGGCAATGGGAAGAACACTGGACTGAGAGGCAGGAGACCAGGTCCTTGGTTTCTGGCATCAACTTGTTATTGACACTGGGCATGCTCTTTTCTTTCTTGACCTTTCATTCCCCTAACCAAAAATGACAGGTGTGGATTAGATGATGGTTCCCTAGCTGTTCTTGAACTTGTCTGCACCTCTATCTTTCAGGGGAAAACTTAGCTACAAACGTATTTAAAATTCTAATTCTCAGAGTCCAGAAGTGTGCAAGTTTTTCTTTTTTTGTTTGTTTGGTTTGTTGGTTAGCTGGCTTTGAGGCAGGGTATCACTGTGTACTTCAGGCTGGCCTCAGATTCACAGTAATCTTCCTGCATTGTCCTTCCAAATGTTGGATTGCAGACATGCACCCACATACCCAGAACAAAGTCTGCATATTTACAAATCACTGTAGAAGACCTGCATGGGTCTAAAGTTTACCATTCCAAGAAGTCCCTTAGAACAGTTCTCATTTTTCCTCGATACAGGTATTGAGAGGTATGGGAGGGTAAAAATCTACATGTCCTGAAAGACACTCCAGGTATACCCCGTTTTAGATGTAACCAACCATCTTATTAAATAAGAAACACAGAGCCAATACAGAGATGAAAGCCAAGAGATCAGAGCAATAGCCAAGAGCTAAAAACCTTACCCTTAACTGTCGCGGTGGTCCTACCTCTCCGAAAATAGACCTACTTCCTGTGTCTGTCTTTTTTTTATAGAGTTTCTGTTCTGCCTTCTCATTGGTTGTAAACCCAACCACATGACCTCCTAGTCACTGCCTGTCTGTACAGACCTCTAGGTCTTCTATGGTTGGTATTGAGATTAAAGGTGTGTGTCTCCAATGCTGGCTGTATCCTTGAACACACAAAGATCTACCTAGCTCTGCCTACCAAGTGCTGGGATTAAAGGCATGCACCACCACCGCCCAGCTTTCGCTATGGCTTGCTAATAGCTCTGACCCCTGGGCAACTTTATTTATTAACATACAAATAAAAATCACATTTCAGTACAAATAAAGTATCACCATACCCCGTAGTGGACTTACACTCCACATTCATCACCATCGGGCCGACCAGACAGTTGTGTCTGCCGTCATAAACTTATACTCTGTCCTGAGCCAAAGAAGCTTCTCCCAAGAAAGAGAGTGTCACAAGACAAAACAAGAGAGACCTTATCAGGATACAAGTGGCTCCAGATAGGGGAGTCCCTTTATAGGGATGTAATAAAAGAATAGAAGGATTAAAGCTGGCCTTGAAGTCAAATTTGGAGGTTTAATACTTACCCAGAAAGAAAGTAAGGATGCAACCCAGTGGTCAAATATGTGCAAACCCATCGACTCCATCATAGTGCTTCTTACAGAAGGGAGTGGGTGTGGGGTGGAGAAAAGGGAGTTCTTGGCTAGGAAATAACAGAATAAGAACTCATTTTCACAGAGACGTATGGGTTTGAAGAGAGCTGATTCTCTACTTCAGGGAAACAGTTCAAAAGTAACAAAAGCCTGCTCTGTGTCCATCACGCTGCAGTACTCTTTTCTGAAGAGGGCCCCTTGACTAATGGGTATGAGTGAGTCACTGATGAGGTCTCATTCACGCTGCATCTGTGTGGTAAGCCTTTGCTGGCCCCTGAAGACAACATGAACCAGACATGTGGGCCTTGCCCTAAGACACTCACAAGCTGATGTGGGAGACAGCTTTACACTGTAGTGTGTTCTCGTGTGCTTCCTTATGAAACATGGCCAGAGTAGAGCCTCCCAGCTATGCGTCTGGGTAGGCTTCTTGGGGAAGAGGTAATAGGCATTGGAAGATAAACTGATTTATAAAAAGGGAATTGCTCCAAGGCAGTAATTAAGACCAAAAGACCAGGGCCAAGTAAGTCTGCCTGGTGCCTGTTCTGTTTGCAGGTACACTGATACATAGACACACTCTCCTCCAATACCTGAAAATTATGACCATACTAAACAAGCCCCTCCTGTTAGTTAACCCTCGAAGTGAGCAGGTAGAGCCCTTAGCCCTGGAAGTCAAATCCGCCACTAGCTTCTGACTTTTTCTCTAAAAGGATCACACAAACGTGTCATTTCCTGTGTCTTCGTTGTTTTTGCTATTGCTTATTTGAGATGAGATCTTGCTTTGTTGCTCAGGCTGGTTCAAAACTTCTAAAGCAATTGTCTTGCCTCAGCTTTCAGAATAGCTAAAACCAAAGGCATGTACCATTATGCCAACTTATTTACTAATTTCTCCACCCTCATTTTACCAAAAAATAATTTGAGTTGACTGGTACTTTCTCCCTCCTGATTAAGTGCCTGTACATGCACTATGCAAGGTTTGCCCATTTCTCTCAGAGTATCAAGCCTGTGAAGTGGCTGGTATTGGTCACATTTGAAAGAAAAGCAGGCCCGGGGGGACAATTTGCTCACGACCACAAACGTAACTGTAGAGACTGGACCCAAAGCCTGCGTTCTTCCCAGTGCCCTGCTGCTTCCATTCTTTCCTTTCGTTGTGCGTTGATAAGATTTCCTTGCTTTAATTTTCCAGGTAAACTAGATAGTTTTAATAACTGTCATCGAGCAGGTCAATGAGTGGACTCTGTTTTGGTTTTAATATAGGTGATAACTGAAGTAAATGGAAGCATGAGCATGCCCGTCAGGACCTCAGCTCCCAAGAGACCTGAGCATGAGCACTTCCACAGGTGTCTCCACAGCTACAAATAGATTAGATTTCAGCCCCTAATATTAGAATAAAGTACTAGAAATCATACTGCTGTGAAGATAGTTTCACTGACTCCTGGGTGAATTAACTGTTGTGAGGTTTCTTTAAAGTCTGATCGCAAGGATGCTTGTGAAGCTAGAGGCCAGTGAGGAAGCTGTGTGGTCTGTAGCCCTGCATATAGTAAGAGTGGTATCTGTTGCTATTCAGATCTGCAGACTATCACCAGAGACTCACAAGCAGCTTGGACTTCTCACCAAGCCAGGAGTAGAAGCAGAGCAGTCACCACCCTCCCAGATGCTCAGGACACCGAGGCCATGGGAGGACGAAGCACCACTCCAGCGGAGCCACTGGCAGGAGCTGGAGAGGCGAGCACATATTCCCTGCCTGCCCCTGTCCTTGAAGAGACTTCAGAGAGAGGAGTGCTCCATGAGTCGGTGGAGCACATAGAACCCATCACGAGGGTGCAGAGCGGAGAAGACACTGAGGTGGACCCAGACCTCAGTGATGAAGACTATGAAGAAGACATTATTGAGCCCAGGACCCTAAATGAAATTACCACAATGACAGACAAAACTAGCCCCTGGTCCAGTTTCATGTCAGACATAAGTGAGGTCTTCAGCCCTCAGCCCAATGAGGGAAAAAGGGAAGGCCCCTCCTGTCCTCCAGGACCTTTCTTGAGAGAGGAGCTTAAGGTCAGAAGTAGCTTATTGTCCAGCCCACAAAAGGCAGTCAAACCCCAATCTGTAGAGGGCTCCCCTAACCAAAGTGTTGCCTGTGAGGGTGGAGCCTATAAGACCAAGGTTGAAGAGTCTGCCTCAACCAAGCCTCGGCTTGTCCCAGGCCTAGCGTTCTCAGGAGCCCAAGAGAACAATGATTCTGTTGGATGGAGCTCACCACAGATCAGTCAGGACAAGAGGCCCATGCCAGAGGCCCTGGCCGAGAGTGAAGCTTTCTCCAGTGAGTTCAGTGACTCTTCTGAGAGCTTTGAGAAGTTTCCTCCACACCTGCCCTCCCAGAGCAAAAGAGAAAACCACAAGGAACTACCCGTAGACTCCCCTGCTTCAAGGCAGAAGCAGGGAACCACTGGACCAGAGGTGTCCACGAGGCAGAACCTCCTGTATCCTTTGGTGTTTCCCACAAGTGGGTACTTAGGCCGTCTCTCCCTGGGCACTTTGGGTGCTGCTATCAGGCTAAGAGAGTGAGTGTGACCAGTGGCCCTTGTGGAATGCACTGGAGGGTGTAGGGCATGGGAAGGCTTTTCCTTCAGAAGTCTCACATGCATGACTAGTGTCTTATGTCTACCAATGAAGCCAGGCTTGGTGGCGCTGCCTATAATCCCAGCACTGGGGTGGGGAGGGATGGAGAACTGGGAGCTCTGGGTCAGTGTAGGTTACAGAGCAAGACCGTGTCCAAAAACAAACAAACAAACAAATCCACCATTGATACCAGCCCCTTCAGGTGGGAAACACTGACTGGGATTTGGGTGTTGGTAGCACATTCACAATGAACTTTTCTGTCTATCTTCTCCAGTTTATTTACTGTGCAGTTTCCTACCTAAAGGCAAGGCTCAGGCCCCAGTTGGAATAAAAGGCAGGCTGGAGCTAGAGCTAGAGTCCCTTGGTAGAACACTTGCCTAGCCTTGGCTTTTATCCCCAGAACCACAAAAAGGAGGGTGTGTAGCTGGAGTTTTCCTGCCTGGCCCACAGTCAGGATAAATCTCTCTCACCTGCCAGTCCCACAGCCACTCAGACCCGACCAAGTAAACACAGAGACTTATACTGGTTACAAACTGTATGGCCGTGGCAGGCTTCTTGCTAACTGTTCTTACAGCTTAAATTAATCCATTTCCATTAATCTATACCTTGCCACATGGCTCGTGGCTTACCGGCATCTTCACATGCTGTTTCTCATCGTGGTGGCTGGCAGTGTCTCTCTGACTCAGCCTTCCACTTCCCAGCTTTATTCTCCTCCTTGTCCCACCTACACTTCCTGCCTAGCCAATGGCCAATCAGTGTTTTATTTATTGACTAATCAGCAACACATTTGCCATACAAAACATCCCACAGCAAGGGTGGGTATAGAGAGAGAGTATTACTATTGATTAGTATTTACTGTATGCTAGGAACTTTTTTAATTTGTCACACAAGTATTTTAAATGAGTGGCATCTACTCTGCATGTGAGGAAACAGGCTCAGTGACTTTTTTAAAGATTCATTTATAATTTATGTGCATGAGTATTTGCCTGCATGAATGTCTGTGTACCATGTGCATGCAGTACCCATGGAGGCCAGAAGAGAGTGCTGGATCCCCTAGAACGGGCGTTTACAGATAGTTGTGAGCCACCATGAGAATGCTGGGAATAGAACCTAGGTGCTCTAGAAGAGCAGCCAGTGCTCTTCACCACTGAAGCATCTCTCCAGCCCCCAAGATTTAACTTAAAAAAAAAAAAAAAGTAGTGGGGCTGGAGAGATGGCTCCGAGGTTAAGAACACTGCTTGTTCTTCCAGAGGTCCTGAGTTCAATTCCCAGCACCCACATGGTGGCTCATAACCATCTGTAATGAGATCTGGTGCCCTCTTCTGTATACATAATAAATAAAATCTTTTTTTTGTTGTTTTTTTGTTTTTCGAGACAGGGTTTCCCTGTGTAGCTTTGCGCCTTTCCTGGAACTCACTTGGTAGCCCAGGCTGGCCTTGAACTCACAGAGATCCACCTGGCTCTGCCTCCCAAGTGCTGGGATTAAAGGTCTGCGCCACCACCACCCGGCCTAAATAAAATCTTTAAAAAAAAAATGAGCCAGGCAGTGATGGCACACACCTTTAATCCCAGCACTCAGGAGGCAGAGGCAGGTGGATCTCTGAGTTCAAAGCCAGCCTGATCTACAGAGCGAGTTTTAGGACAGCCAGGGCTACACAGAGAAACTCTGTCTAAAAAGGAAAAGAAAAGAAAAATGGTGATAGAACTAAAAAGTAGGTGTCATTGAGGTAGACTTGCCTAGGCTCTCAGAATGTAATTACTGATGGAAAGATGTGGTCCCTGATTCTCCCCTGTCCCTCCTTTGAAACAAGGACATGTTATAGGAAAGTAAAGCACTTAGCACCATCTCTACCCTTCATATGTGCTCCTAACCAACTGATCCTGTGAGCCACACTGGCCAGTGAAGTAAGCTGCTTTACGATAAGAGATCTTCCCATCCTAGAAATCAGGAGCCTGACTTTGACCCTCCAGACCCCACATCTTATTACTGGTATGAATTCAGGTCTAGCCTTCCTGAGCCTGTTCTCAGATCAGATGGAAGACATGACCCCTATCCGACCAGACTTACAAGCTCCTCGGGTCAATGTCCTTTTTTCCCCATGCTCACCCTCACCTAGCATTGCAGAGTAGAAATCAGTAAATATAAATTAACCTAAACTATCACATTTCCATAAAACAGAGAAAATCAGATGAGTAGAATCATTGTATAAATGATTCCTTTGTGAGCATGTGGTATATTCATATGCATGTGCTCATGTATATGCATATGTATATATGATCACTGCATGTGTGTGCTAGTGCATGTGGAGGCCAGAACCACCTCCATTTTTCTTCACCTTATTTTTTGAGACAAAGTCTCTCACTAACCCTGGAATTCACCAGCGCAGCAAAACCAGCTGGTGGCTCCTGTGCTCAGGGATCTTACCGGCACTAGGATTACAAGCATGTGCCACCATCCCTGACTTTTCATGTGGGTGCTGGGAATCCAAACTAGGGCCTGCACAGCAAGTACCAACTGAGCCCTACCCTGACTCATGATCCAGATCCGAGAGAGAAACCTAAGGATTACAGAGGTCGGGAAAGGCCTCTGGCTGGGTAAAGCCTCCCCAGACTCTCAGAGCTTCCGACATCCCTGCCGACATAGTCAGTGTAGTTATGGTCACATTGTTGTCAGGGGAAGAGCTGCCACATGTGCCCAGGCCCCAGGCTGCTTGAGTTCAGACCTTCCATTCTTTCAAACCATACACTAAGTCCCAAGGACAGAGCAGCCTTTACTAAACTCCAGTTCCATTGTCTGGTGAAAGGCAGGTACAGGCAATTACTCCAAGTGCTTTGGTGAGACATAGGAGCAAGAAGAGAGGCTGCTGTAGGCTGCTCTGAAGTACAAAAAGAGATGGGCTGGAGAGATGGCTCAGAAGTTAAGAGCACCGACTGCTCTTGCAGAGGACCTGAATTCAATTCCCAGCAACCACATGGTGGCTCACACCCATCTGTAATGAGATCTGGTGCCCTCTTCTGGCCTGCAGACATACATGCAGGTAGAACACTGTATATATGATAAATAAATAAACCTTTAAAAAAAGAAGTCCAAAAAGAGACGTGAGGAATGGGCCTGCTGGTGTGGTAGGGAATGCCTGTTATGCCAGCAGTCAGAGGCTGGGGCAGAGCAATCAGGAGTTCAAGGCCAGCCTGGGAAAGATAATGTCTCAAAAGAAGAAAGCAAGCAAACGTCAGCAGACCACTCAGGACACTGGTACCAACAAGAGATGGAGACCATCTGGCCTAAAGCGTGGAGTGTTGGAAGAGGAGAGAAGACACGGGATCAGACAGAAGGTGGGGATGAAGAAGAAAATCTCAAGTGTGGCTGACATTTCTGTCACAGGTTATAGGTTGGCAATGTCTTTACTAGATAGGGAAGCACAGAGAGCTGGTCTTGGAGAAAGATATGTCCATGGTGGACAAGTGTCACAGGACATCCAGGAGGAAATGCGGTCCTTGATTACAGGCAGAGGATCAAGTGAGCATCTCAGACATGAAGACAGCAGAGAGTCGAGCTGTGAGACCTGGGAGTGCTGTCTTAGCTAGGGTTTCTGCTGCCGTGAAGACACTGACCACGGCAACTCTAACAAAGGAGGACATTTAATTGAGTGGCTTACAGTTGCAGAGGTTTAGTCCATTACCACCATGGTGGGCAGCACGCAGGCAGACATGGTGCTGGAGAAAGAGCTGAGAGGTCTACATCTCGATTGCCAGGCAGCAGGAAGGGAACTGTGACACAGGGCATAGCGTGAGCATGGGACCTCAAAGCCCACCCCCACAGTGACACACTTCTTCCAACAAAGCCACACCTACTCCAGCAGGGCCACACCTCCTAATAGTGTCACTCCCTGTGGGGGCCATTTCTTTCAAACCACCCTAGGTGGCATGCAGACAGAGGGTTCCTGAGGGTGGGGAGCACTGGGGAGATGGCATTCAGACAGGGGGTTCCTGAGGGCTGGGGGCACTGGGGAGATGGCATGCAGACAGAGGGTTGGGGGCACTGGGGAGATGGCATGCAGACAGGGGGTTCCTGAGGACTGGGGGCACTGGGGAGATGGCATGCAGACAGAGGCTTCCTGAGGGTGGGGAGCACTGGGGAGATGACATGCAGACAGAGGCTTCCTGAGGGCTGGGGGCACTGGGGAGATGGCATGCAGACAGAGGCTTCCTGAAGGCTGGGGGCACTGGGGAGATGGCATGCAGACAGAGGCTTCCTGAGGGCTGGGGGCACTGGGGAGATGGCATGCAGACAGGGGGTTCCTGAGGGCTGGGGGCACTGGGGAGATGGCACGCAGACAGAGGGTTCCTGAGGGTGGGGAGATGGCATGCAGACAGAGGCTTCCTGAGGGCTGGGGGCACTGGGGAGATGGCATGCAGACAGAGGCTTCCTGAGGGCTGGGGGCACTGGGGAGATGGCATGCAGACAGAGGCTTCCTGAGGGCTGGGGGCACTGGGGAGATGGCATGCAGACAGAGGCTTCCTGAGGGCTGGGGGCACTGGGGAGATGGCATGCAGACAGAGGCTTCCTGAGGGCTGGGGGCACTGGGGAGATGGCATGCAGACAGGGGGTTCCTGAGGGCTGGGGGCACTGGGGAGATGGCATGCAGACAGAGCTATAGTTTCGTGTCCTGGTCAGAAGTGAGGATGGGTCCCGTGGTGGGACGTGTGAACTTTAGGAAAGACCTGCCATGGTGGGCAAAAATCACATTTCAGTGCTGAGGGAACTGGTGGAGAGGACAGTTCCTGTGGGCACCTGTCCCTGCACACTGTGTCAGCATGAGCAGCAGCTCTGAGGTCAGGCGCCATCCCAAGCCTGTTTCCTATATAAACTAATCCTCCTGATTATCGGCTGAGTGGTAACTAGAAGTGGGGTCATGGTGGGGTGGGAGGCGCAGTGTTAGTGGTTTTCTAAATGTAAGACCTTGTACACTCTGACAAACAGGAGAAAGAACCTCAAAATAGACAGTCACCCTGCAGAGCAGACAGGACGTGACGAATGACGAACTAAGGAGATCTTCTGTGTTCAGGTCCAGCCGACACCTCCCAGCAATGCTCCTTCCCCGTAACCTCAGCTGAATGCCGCTAAGGGTAGTAAGAGCGGCACCAGCAAACAGCCCCCCCCCCCCCCCCCCCGTCCAGTTCTGGAGATAGCCTGGGTCAAAGGGTCCACCCCACCTCTCTAGGGAAATCAAAGACTTATACATGTGGGTGCATGTCGTCCATTCAGGAGATATTCATTGAGCATTTATTCTGTCCCAGGCTAGGTAATGGGAATAGGGCTATGAAAATGACATCGTCTCTGCCCTGTTGGAGGCCACTCTGTCATAAGAGGGAAACAATAAAATGGAAAGCTGGGTAAACAAATTAAGTCAGAGCCATACTTAGCTGCTTAAACAGAAACCCTAAAAAACAGCACCACAACAGTCCCCTCTGTCTCCCTCAAAATTAAGGCAATCTGAGTCAGTGCTGTAATTCAACAGACATTTGTGCTTCTAACAGCAGCTTACGGGGTACAGAGAAGTCCGAGCTGTAGCCCAGACCTTTATAGGTCTCATGTGCAGACTGGACAGACTAGCTGGGCCACGCCTCCCCACCCCAGCTCTGGTTTTTCAATGTGTTCAGAGAAGAGCCAGTAGGCACATCCTCCAGGACCAGTCACCTCCTTCCTGCTCGAGGCACTGCCCTAGGCCACCTTTCCACCCTCCCTGTGTCAGAACATGACTCTTAACCAGCAGGCCCTCAGCCAGTGTTCAGCCCTTGCTGCCCTCCCACCTCCTGCAAGCTCTAGGCAGGTACCTCGGTAACTGAAGGACACTGCTGTTGGGAAACTGGAAGAACACTGCACACACAGGAAATAAATATGGGCCGGAGAGATGGCTCAGTGGTTCAGAGCTCTGGCTGTTCTTCCAGAACAGGGTCAATTCACAGCACCAACACGGTGGCTCACACTGTAACTCCAGTTCTAGGGGATCTGGTGCCCTCTTCCAGCCTCCTTAAGCACCAGGCATGCATGTGGTACACAGACATACATGCAGAGAAAACACCCATACATACAAAGTAATAATTTGAAAAAATTCTTATAATAATTGAACATTCTTCTGTGTTACAGACTGCTCTCGGGAGCGGAGGAGGAGGGACCATGTAGCTAACGTTAGGAAAGGTCTTTCTGGAGGAGGTTAGGGTGTGAACCCACTAGAGACTAAAGAAAGAGAGGGACGGGACGGGAGGGAGGACACAGGTTAAGAGAGGGCAGGGTCTTCCAGTGAGGGAACTACTTGTGCCAGGATTCACGGACAGGAGGAAGGAAATAGGAGAACACGAAAAGCATGGCTGAGGTCAGGTGGGGTGCTGGTCTGACATGAGGGTGGACGTCTAGGTATTTTTGTCCCTTAACTACCATTGCAGCCCAGAACCGATTGTGGTGCCCAACTTCTTTCTGCCTCCCCAGCAACTGGAGGCTTCTCTCCGCTTGATCTCCTACTCTCCAGCTCTGCCACCACCAGCCACAGCTGACCAGGTAAGAGCAGCCACTGGCCTCCCTTTCCTGCCCAGTCAGCATCGATTCCCTGAAAGCATACAGCACACAGAGCTGCCCTGAGCCATCTCCCTGGAGAAGCTGCTCCAGGGGTCACCACAAATAAGAAGTGCATCCCTAGGGGACCGTGACAGCCTGTCGGGTCCAGATGAAGAACAGGGTAATCGAGGCAGTGTGTCCAGTTGCTCCTTACAAAACATTCTGATAACTTCATCAACACGAACGTCAGGCAGCTAGACGTGTATCCCGTTCTCCACTTTTCTCTCTGACATAGTGCCTGGTCTCACTGCAAGGAGCAAAACTAACAACCGTACTGTTCGGATATAGATATGTAGATATATGTCATAGATATAGATTATATAGATAAATTATCTGTCTTTGTGTAACACAAATTCTAAACAAAAAGCCAGCCAGCCAGCCAGGTATGGTGTCAGAGGCCTGTGACTCCAGCATTTGGTGGAAGCAATAGTTATCTGGAGTTCTAGCCTGGCCTATGTGAGCTCATCTTTTTTTAGAAAGAAAGAAGGAGCTGTCCAAGAACCAGTCATACCTGTGATCCTGCCTCAGGCTACCTTGCCATGTCCCCAGGGCCAGCTGACGACTTTTCCTCCTTGGGCTCCCTCTGGAGAGAATGTGACCTAATTTATATTCTAACAAATACATAGAATGCCACATGTAGGGGGGGGGGCATAACATAGGGGAGAAGGGAGCTAGGGACTGGTCCTGTGTAGTGGACACAAAGCAGCCACCCCAGAGCTTTCAAAACATTTTTTCAGAGACAAATGTAAGTTATAAGAAAATGTGCTTGCTTGCTGACTGTGGCAATAGCCCCTATTCAATACTTGCATGACTTAAACATTGTTCTAAATACGCTACAGTCGACTGTTTTTATCTTCCAGCCACTGGGTAGGCTAGCCAGACTCTCCCCACTTAGTGAGTATATCAGGTTGGCGCTGTGGTAGGCTACCAGACAGAAGCAACTTAAAGGAGAAAGGCTTCCTTCTGATAGCAGTCCGTAGTCCTCGGCCGCATTGATGGTGGCAGAAGCTACCCACCTCAAGACAGACAAGAAGCAGGTAAACAGAGAAGGACCAGCAGCCAAACGTAACAACCACCAGAGGCTCATCAACCTCCAGCCAGGCCCCTCCTGAAACTCCCAGACTCTCCCAAAATAGAGCCACCAGCTAGGGATCCAGCCTTGAGTACATGAGACTTTTGAAGGAACACTTAATATCCAAACCATGACAATGAGCAAACTGAGACTCAGAGCTTCCTGTCCACAGCTCCACACAGGAAGAAACTGAGTCTCTTTCAGGGAGTGGAGACTCTAGGAGTCAAGTGAATCTGTTTGTGTCTCCAAGCCCTGCCCTCTGCTTTCCACCTGAAATCTTGACACTTTGCTTCTTTTGGGGTGTGTGTGTGTGTGTGTGTGTGTGTGTGTGTGTGTGTGTGTGTGTGTGTGTGTGTGTAGGTACTGAAATTACAGTGTACCACCACACCCAGCACATGGGAATGTTTTCCTAGCCCATCTGCCTTGGTGTAAATAGACTTCATTTAGCAGTTAACAATGTAAACGTTTCCCGTGCCTCCTCCCCAGAGGCTGTGTTGATGGGGGTAGAGTCAGTTCTGACTGCTCCTGAGAGCCATGTGAACGAGTTCTATGCTTACTCATTGCTAACAGGCCAAGAGACAGCTGTGTGATGGTTCTCAAGAGAAGGGTTAAGATGTCTGAACCGTTCACTGGCTTTCCTCTCCCTCTCTTTCCCACCTCCCCAGCGTATTTCCGAAACATCTATTTGTTTGGCAGATAGCTCAGTCTGAGGTCCTGTCTGCCTTAGTAGAACCCGTCCAGGGGCAGCAATGCTGTTCCCTCAAGGAACCTGTGGGCTTTTGTGGTCCTGATTCCTCCTCTGGCTCACCTCGTTCCTCTGTACCTCTTCTGACATTTCACACACATGGCCAAGCCTTCTACACTAGGCTTTGGGGGCTGTGTCCAGGCACTGAGCACCAGCTGGAGCACAACATTCATGAAACAGAATGCTGGACCTGCTAGTGAGTAACCAAAGGACCTGGGGCACATGGCTTGACCTCTCTGGGTCTCGGTTTTGTTCTAAGTAACAGCAAGCTGATAATGCGTGGTTAACAAGATGAGGGGAGAATTAAGTAGGCACACTTGAATCCTCCCTGCCGCCCTCTGGGCCAAGTGGGTGAAGGGTCACTGAGTCATGCCCCACAGGAAGAGTTCCACAAGTCAAGTTCTGTGACAGAACTACCAGACAGAATGCTGTTCCTGTTTCTGTGTTTGTGCCTCTGTGGTGACTTCCTCCCCCGGGGACAGACTGTCTTTGGTCTTTCTGAGACAGAGTGTGGGAGAAAGAAGAGATGAGAACCTCCCTTCCCTTAAAGGGCACACTGAGTTTCATGCAGATGAGACCCATGCAGGTCTCACCCTTCCTGGCTTACCCGCAGCAGAACTCCATTGCTTGCTGCCCTCGGGACCACTTCTCTCCTTAGAACTGTCTGGGTCCCACTTAGGATAACCAGTGCCATCACAGTTGGCCCAGTTCAGCACTGGAAGGTCTCAGACCAGGAACAGGAAACCCCAGGAGATGGATTTTGGGTGGAAGCCTGCTGGTGCTGAAAGTCAGATCGCCTGTGTGTTTAAGGCACTGCTATGAAACTTCCCTAAAGCAAAATGGAGCTGCCATGTCTTGTTCCAGTAGTGTTAATAATCAAATGGAAAATTATAAAAAAGGGGACCTCGTGCCTGTGCGCCTGGTATCAAGAACCACGGCAAATGATATCTTGACCAACGGCACTGCAGCCTCCCACAGGAAGCATTCCCGGGGGACTCTCTGCCCAGCACTGGTGACACAGCCTTGGACTGGTGCTGCCCTTGTTACTGGTCCTTGGACACCCTTTGTTAGTAGTCCCTGTAGCCAGAGGAGTTGTTTTCAGTGAACGTATGTCTTCGTTGTTGCCGTTAGAAGCTCCCTGTAAGCAAGGGTACCGTGAAACCACCTAACTAGACCACTCACGGGTGAAAAGAAAGGTTTGTTCAAGCTGCCAAGGCTGTCTCCAGGGAACAAAGGGAACAAAATAGCAAAAGGCCGAGAAAGCCTTGCCAGTTTTAAAGAGCTGTGTTTGCAAAGGGAGGGAGCGTGTAAGGGGAGCAGCCTAGGAGTTAGAGTTGGAGGAGGGGTTGCTGTCTAGAAGAGCCTGGAGCTATGTGGAGGACGTGATATGTGATGCAGCTATGTGTTAATAGGGAACTAGATGCCCTGTTTCCCAGAAGTAGTTGGCTGTAGGAGCACATAAGGAAAGTAATGGCCTTTCCTGACAGAAACCCACTTCACAAGTTTCTGAAGAATCCACTAGCAGTCCTTCTGTCTCCCAGGTCAGAGTCCCCTGAGCTGAGCCCATGATGTCATTATGACACTGTCAGGGGCACTGCCATTGTGGGGAGCCCACTTTGGACCTAACACTTCCCTCTGCCTATCCCCTTGGGATACGCCATGGTTCATGGCGTACATGGTCCACACTGCAATGTTTCCTGCTTAATCCTAAATAAATACTGCCATTCTTTAACATCTCTGTTATGTAGTTGGACACTAATAATACAGGTACCAGAAGTTCAGAGAAACGTGGGTTTTTTTCAAATTCACTTTTTTAAAAAAAAAGATTTATTTATTTATTATGTATATAGTGTTCTATTTGCATGTGTCTGCAGGCCAGAAGAGGGCACCAATCTCATTGCAGGTGGTTGTGAGCCACCATGTGGTTGCTGGGAATTGAACTCAGGACCTCTGAAAGAACAGCCAGTGCTCTTAACCGCTGAACCATCATCTCTCCAGCCCTCAAATTCACTTTTTAAAAGCACTGAAATAATTTCCATGGCTTGTCAGAACTTTGAGTGTCTTATATTTACTTTAGAGTTAATTGAGAATTACATTTGGTCAGAGACACCATGATCATCTCAAAGTTTGGCGTTTCTGAAGGTCTTAAAAATGGCCCCCATGAGAAACATGCCTGCCGCACAAGCCTGAGGGCCTGAGTTCCGATCCCCAGCACCACATAAAAGCTAGGTGACAGTCACATTGGAGGGAGGAGACAGGAGGATCCTAGGAGCTTGCTGGCCAACCAGTCTAGTCAAAACACAAGTTCCGGGCTCAGGAAGGGCTCTGTCTCACAAACTAGGCAGAGGTCACAGAGGAAGATGCGCTGCACACACAGACACACACACACACACACACACACACACACACACACACACACACGTCCTCACTCTGAGGAGTTTTAGTGTTTGGTGTTTAGCCACAGTCTTGCTGTGCTGGTACACTTCATTCTCTCACATCCTGGGTCTTGCTGGGCGGTTTCCCTGCAGCCTGAAGAACTTCCTTTGAAGTTTCACATCACATGGACCTGCTGGGAACCAGGACTCTAGGCTTTGGTGCTCTCAAGCAGCTTTATTTTGAAACTGATTTTCACTGGCTATGGAATTCCAACTTGAACTGCTGTTTCTTTTAGCTTTTTAGAGATGCCTCACTAGGGTGTACCTCAGCTGCCCAAGTGCATACTTACCTAGTGTGTGCAGAGCCTTGGGTTCAAGCCCTGGCACCACATGAACTGGACATGGTGGTGCATGTCTGTAATCCCAGCTCTTGGGAGACAGAGACAGCAGGATCACAAGTTCAAGATAACCTTTGAGACTCTGGGGAAAAACTAAAATCCTCATCTTTAGTCTTCCATTGTTTCTGATGAAACATAAATGTCTCTGTTATTGTTCTCTTGAGTGTTATGTGGCCTGTATCCTTCAGCCGCCTTTAAGAGCTCTCTGTCGCCGGGCAGTGGTGGCTCATGTCTTTAATCCCATCACTGCAGAGGCAGACGATCTCTGAGTTGGAGGCCAACCTGGTCTACAGAACGAGTCTGGGACAGCCAGGGCTGCACAGAAACCCTGTCTCAAAAAACAAAACAACAGCCGGGCGGTGGTGGCGGCGCACGCCTTTAATCCCAGCACTCGGGAGGCAGAGCCAGGCGGATCTCTGTGAGTTCGAGGCCAGCCTGGACTACCAAGTGAGTTCCAGGAAAGGCGCAAAGCTACACAGAGAAACCCTGTCTCGAAAAACCAAAAAACAAAAACAAAAAAAAAAAAAAACAACAACAACAAAGATTGCTGTGTCTTGGCTTCTGATCAGCATAGCTACAGTGTTTCTAGTTGCGGAGGCGGGAGGGGCAGGGAAGAACATGCTGGTCATTAACAGTCCTAACAACATTGCAGCTCGTAGGCTGGGTTGTGCGTTTATAGAGTTCATTTTTATTGTGCTACATTATTTACCTATGTTATATAGTCATTGGTATGTGATGAAGTCATAGAATCTTACGTAATTAAAATTGTAATGGTAATTAATGGCTATGGGTTTGGCGCAGAGAAATAGGACAGTGGCTGGGATGACACATGCAGTCAAAAGAAAGCTTTTGGTTTTGTTTTTTAAGATGAGTGCTTTGCCTGCATGTATGTATGTGCACCACATGAGTGCCTGGTGCCCACGGAGGTCAGAAGAGGGCTTCAGATCCCTTACAACCAGAATCACGTGTGATGTGAGCCACCATGTGGTACTGGGAACTGAATCTGTCATCTGCAAGAGCAGTAGTGCTCTCAGCCCCCAGGGAAGGCGTTTATGATCGGAGAGCTGCAGCTTCTGTGCAGCAGTGCACAAGCCTCTAGAGAACTGCAGGTGGAGATGAGCTGCAGAGGGGCGGGCCTGTCCTGGTCAGAGGCATTTGATCCAGAGCACGGGTGGGGCGCTTGCATTTGGAGGAGAAAAGCCACACCCTGAAACGGCAAGACAGAAATATTCTAAAGCGGGTAGAAGCTGTGGTTTGGTGATAGAATTGCTACCCGATGGAAACATGGAATTTCTCAGTAATGTTCCAGGCATCCTGCAGCTGAGAGCAGTGAGAAGGTGGGGAGGGGGAGGGGGTCTCTGCGTCGGGGCTTCCTTCTGGACCCTGGGTTAGACACAAACCACACCCAAACACCTGTTTTCACAGAGAGACCCTTTATTAAGTGGGGAAGAAAAGTTAAAGCGGCAGCTTTCTGACTCAGGCAGAGAAACTGCAGCAGAAGACCTTGCTGGTGTGATTTTTAAGAGGAGAAAAGGGGAAGTCTGTGTTAGAATGGGCTAGGACGAGGTGGTAAAGGAGATGGGGGACCAGGGAGAAGGGGAAGGGGAAAGGGGGAAGGGGTATTTGTCCCAGAGGGACAAAGGGCTGCCTCTGGATAGAGAGGAGACAGACGTGGCACATAGGGAAATGGTGGCTTATAAAGGTAAAGGGGAAACCCTGTGTTAGGACGAGGTGTTTAATTCTAATTGGGTGTGTTAATTAGGTGAACCAAAGGGGGCTTTTGGTTGCTGAACTTAGGTAGTCAGCCTCAGGAGGAAGAAGTGGTCAAATAAGGGAACAGACCCTGGTGGCTAGCTTTAGGAATGTAATCTAACAGTTCTTAACAAGGCAGAGGGAACGGAGAGAAGGACAGAGCCTGCCAGAGCCACACACTCCAGTGGGCTGGTGTCCCTTCGGAAGGCAGAAGTGCAGTCTTAACCTCCATTTGTGGGTCCCATGTGTTCCGTAGCCTGTTGTGTGACAAAACTTTCCCTAGGGAAACAACACACACATCTACTCACCCCAGATAGGGATCCCATGATGTACCAAAGTATGGATACCACCGAAGTCCAATTTGGTGAACCATGAGTTTTATGGGGGCTACATACAGGAATATGAGTGGTTACTTCAGGAGCAGAAAGGACTCAAAGACAGCTGCATCCCCCAGGCCCACCCAGCATGGTGACAACTCACAGAAGCTTGGAACCTGGAGCACACTAAACACCCTGCAGTACATTCAACAGGTTGAAGAGTGTCCTTTCCAGGTGACTGAGGTCTAAACCTCTTCCGGGCAGCTCGGCTGGTCTCAGAATCTTTGCAGCTTTTCTCCTCCATGACATTGTCTGAGAGTCAATGCATCTCAGCTTCACTTCTGACAGCTACTCCACAGCTTTATTATCCTGGCAGGGAGGGGCCTAGTGAATCTGGTCAGTTTCAGGGACTTCCTGAAGCTTTTTTGAGTTGTTTAACTTTTTTCTTAAGGAGCTTCTCTTCAGGATGGAATGTTTCAATCTCAGAAGAAACTTACATAGCACCCCCTAAAAGCAGTAGTTCTCAGCCTTCCTAATGCTGTGACCCTTTAATATAGTTCCTCATGTTGTGGTGATCACCAACTATGAGATTATTTCATTGCTACTTCATAACTGTAATTTTGCTACTGTTATGCATCATAATGTAAATATCTGTTTCTGATGGTTTTAGGGGACCCCTGTGAAAGGGTCATTTGACACGACCCCTTTGACAACCCCCCTCAAGGGGTCATGACCCACAGGTGAGAAGCACTTCAGGACCTAAAGCCAAGCCTGGCTCTGAAAACTAAGGAACAAGCATACTGAAGGTCGCTGGGCTCTTTCCAGCCTGTGGTCTAGGACCACTGTACACTGTCAACCTGCTTCAGGGCCAGGACAAGCGACCTGTCCCCAAAAAGGAGAGAGCTTGCAAGTGTAGGAGTCACTGCTCTGAATTCCTCCACAAGAGCTAAAGGAAGGCCTAACGCTCCCTCTATGTAGGAACAATGCACACAAGCCCAGGTGCCTCCCAGGTAGTCTCCTCATGAGCATTTGTGAAACAGCTTTCCTCTCTCCCTCCCACAGGAGAGTGGATGTGTAGGGGTCACATCAGATCCGGTATCTTTCATCTGTCAGTTGGGCTGTCCGGACTTGCAGGGTGGGAGGATTGTAATAGCAAGTACCACAAGAGAGGGTATAGAGGCCAGGCCTTCACTCACCCACCCCATGACTGCTCACGTTCTGTTTGTCCCTTCAAGAAAGAAAAGGGGGGTGAAATGTGGCTGGCGGGACCCTGCAAAGCCATCTGGTACCCAGGCTCACAATCTTCATGCATGAGTCAGATTCTGCTGCCTCCAGCACCTCTTGTCTCTTGAGATGAAGTAACTTCACTGGGACGATATCTCCATTGCATTTATGTCTGGTTCTATTTGCAACGGGCAAACTAGTTTTATCTGCTTCCTTCCAGGGGAGAAGAGCGGTAACTGAGGAGAGGAGGGAAAGACTCGCTGGCTCCTTCCATGGGGAGCTTGCAGCTCCACAGCAGAGCCAGCTTTCTAGGTCCAAACTAGATAGGAGCTGCCTAGTAAGTTCTTTTTTTTGTTTTTTTGTTTTTTTTTTTTATAATGTTAGGATCAAAGTCAGGACTCTGCATGCCAGGCAACTGCTCTGCAGACCCACATTCCTCACCTGAGCTCCTCGTACTTGCACTCAGACGTTTTCAAATGCCATCTACCTATATTAGCATTTAGGTGAAACAAAGCCAACGGGAAATATGGAGGACAGGGCCTTATGGGGGCTTGGGGAGAATCAGCAAAGATGAAGGAAAGGCTTTGAGAGTTGTGAAACTCAGAAGAAACCTTCGGAAATCACCCAGATCAGGTGGAACCAATGCTATGTGCCCAAGAGGAGTTAAGAGAGAGGGTTCTGGGCTCAAGCAGTCAGCAAGCTAGGAATTAAAGAGCAAGAGGCAACCTGTCCCCTGAGCCTGGCCTCTGCTCTGCCTTCAGACTGGTTCTTCTCCTCTTTTGTTCCATGCCTTCCCCCATCAAGCCCTGCCTCTGCCTCCTTCATGTAGCAACCTCAGGTTAACCACAGACATGGAGCCAAACACATTTCTCCATAAACAGTGAGTGTAGGAGGCAGGAAGTAGAGGACGGGGCCAGGAATGACGACCCTGGAGGCCTTGGGGTGCCCACCTCCATCAGTGAGCCCTAGGCATTGCAGGCAGTGACCAGCAGGTGAGCTGAAACGTCACCAGGCGTGGATCTGCTGCTGGCTTTCTTGGGTCTTGGGCAGTGTGCTCTCTGGTCTGAAGAGGCAGCGCTGACTTGATTTTTGTATAGGATCATGACTTCTGAATCCAGACAACTAAAGTTTAAACTTCGGCTTTGCCTATAGACATAACCTGGGACAGGTTATCTGACTCCTGTGTGCTTTTTTTATCTGAGAAGTGGGCATAATAGAACCTGCCACCTACAGTTGCTTATGGAGTGACTCAGTCAGATATAGTGTGTTTAGAACAGTTCTTGCCCCTAACACAGAAAGAACCATGAGTGTTAGCTATCTTATTTTTACTGTCATTATTATCCAGATGTTTTCTCTTCTAAGCTATTCCCTTCTGGCATGTGTAGAGAGTCAGAGACGTTGGGAGAGAGGGTTATGATCCAAAGCTTGGGACCAGGAGGGGCACTGGGAAGATGCAGGGCAGCCCCAGAAGTCTGGAGAGCAATTTCCCGAACCATAGCAGTTGGCTGGACTCAATTCAGACTGAGTTACAGGCCAGACCAGCTTACAGCCCACACCAAGGGTCTATTCCTAGCCACAACAGTCGCTGCCTGTCACTGAAGCTAAGGCTTTGCAGGTCCTGTTCTCCCTAGAGCCAAAGAATTCTCCTTCCCTTGGGTGCTCCTAAGCCCAGTGGCACCAGAAAGATGCAAAGTCCCTCACAGTCACTAGATCATACCAGAAGGAGTCAGGACCAAGGGAACGTCCTGAGTCCAGGGCCCTCTTGTCTCAGTCTGTGGCCCAGGCTTTATGACTGAGCTGCCCCTCTTGTTTAGCAAGAGGTCTTGACCTACTGTCTCATTTCTTTGAGCCTCCAAGTCCCTAGCCCTCTGCAGAGTCCAAAACAAGACCTAAAGGTCACAGGGAGGCTCTGCTAAAGGCTACCTAAAGCTTATGGAAGGAGATGAGCAACCCGGCCAAGAATATACAGGAGGCAGGGGAAGAAGCCAGAACTGGCTGGTACCTAGCCTGACCCAGACAGCAAGTTGATGAGTGCCTCCCCAGAAAGGCCTGTAGACCTTTTGGCATGTGCTGTGCTCAAGTCTCGACCTGAGCTGCAAGCAGGCTGGTGTGTAGCCGGACCCCGGCACTCCGCCAGGACTCTTACTCTAACCCACGCCTCTGGAGTCTGGACTGTGGTTAGTATGCTAAAGAATCTGTCTGGCTCTCCTGGGCCCTGCATTGTGGAAACTGAGGTCCAGATGATGGTGTGAGCAGGAACCCTTCAGGTTGGGCCTGGTTGGAATGGCTATTCCAAAGGACAGAGGTACTGGGTGGTAAGGCACAGAAGGGCACTGGGGTAGGAGAGCTCCGTGAGCGGAGTGCCAGCAGGAATGGAGAGTTAGCTGGAGCAGGCCAGCCATGCTGTAACTTAGTTGGTTGGAGTCTAGTCTGCTCAGGGCTGGGACTCCTGTCTGAGTGACTGTCCCCACTTCCCCCTACTTGAGCTGTGGCTGCTAAGTTCTCTGCTGTCTTTGGTGTCAGGGAAGTCCTTGTCACTGCCTTAGGAAAGGAAAGTGGGAGCCACCCCGGAGGAAGGCAGCCAGCCAAGAGGGTGAAAGTTGAACAAGGAGGCGGCTGTGTGGAGCCCTCACACGGCCTCTGAGGCAGCAGCCCAGGCAGCCTGGCTGAGCAGGACAGCTGCTCCCCTTCCATGTTCCTCTGCAGTGTTTTCTCATCACTTAAGGGGCTGCTCTAGAAAAGAAGAGTTTAAGCCGTAAGCCAACCCGGAGGATCACTTGGGGTGGGGGGACAGTTGTGGAGCACTTGCCTAGTCAAGCACTAAGTATACTTTGGGGAGGTGCTAAACCCTAGTTCTGCCAAACCCAGGACCCGTGGGGCCTAACTTCTTGCCTAAGATGATAATAAAAGCTTTGTTTTGCTCTGGTGTCTGAGGCAAGGTCAGCACTAGCTCCAGCATAGACCCTGTGTTCTGTAGTCAGGGTCAGCCCTAGCTCTGGCATAGCCCCCATGTTCTGTAGCAGGGTCAGCCCTAGCTCCGGCATAGACCCTGTGTTCTGTAGCAGGGTCAGCCCTAGCTCCGGCATAGCCCCTGTGTTCTGTAGCAGGGTCAGCCCTAGCTCCGGCATAGACCCTGTGTTCTGTAGTCAGGGTCAGCCCTAGCTCCGGCATAGCCCCTGTGCTCTGAAGTCAGGGTCAGCCCTAGCTCCGGCATAGCCCCCGTGTTCTGTAGCAGGGTCAGCCCTAGCTCCGGCATAGCCCCTGTGTTCTGCACGCTGTACCTGACATGAGCCTCAGACAGCTCTGAATTCTGAGTTTCACAGTAGACCAGAGAGAGAAAACCAAATTAGTAGCCCCACTAGGTAGTGGGAACTGAGACCACAAACAGAAAGAAAGGGTCGTAGTCTTAAACAAGTGGGATCAGTCATCTGTACCACAGACCAATATTCCTCCATTCACCCCCCTACCTCCTCTCTGAGAAAAGGATGGAGAAGCATCTGCACCCACGACTCCCCAGAAGCACATAACCTGGAGGAGGTACATCTAGAGGTGTAATAAAGGGGCCCTGAATTGAGATCAGACCACCTTATGGACCAAATAGCACTTTTGAAGAGACCACATAACAGGGACCTGGATAAAGTCTCAGGTGTGCGCTTGCTCGCTTGTGTGCTCTCTCTCTCTCTCTCTCTCTCTCTCTCACACACACACACACACACACACACACACACACACACACACTTTTACAAATCTCATTAAAGTTGAAGAGGAATAGATCAGACTTCCTCCAGACTTTTTTTTGTTGTGTTTTGTTTGTTTGTTTGTTTGTTTGTTTGTTTGTTTTGGTGGTGGTTGGTTGGTTGGTTAGTTGGTTGCTGTTTAGTGATTGTTTTGTTGGTTTTGAGACAGGATCGTACTGTGTGACTTGGCTGGTCTCAAACTCAGGAGATCTGCCTGCCTCTGCCTCCCAGGTGCTGAGGCTCCATTTTCTAGGACTCCGTTCCTGCAGTCAGCCCAGCATGGTGACTGCTGACAACAGAGACATCCCCTCTCTGCACCTGAGCTCACCTCCCATCGTACCGTCTTCGACTCCATCTTCATGTTTTTCTCAAGTCCCTCTTGGAAGTTCCCTCCTGGGGACGCCACTCCACGTATGGTCCCTCTGTTCAGACCTCAAAGGCTCTGCAACCCAGAAAGTTTGACGATCCACTTCCCCTGTGGGCTTCTCCTGCCTCCTAGGGCGTGTGGCTGCTAGGCTGGAGTGTAGCTGCTTGTTTATTTGCTGTGCAGCTGCCCTAGGCAGGAGCATGGCAGTGTGGAGAGGAATGGCTAGCACATTGTGGATGTCCCTGCCCTGGACAGTTTCCTTCTGCCCAGACCTTCAGGGTTATGTGTTTAGTACTTACCAATCAAGATGTTTATTAAAGTCAACAGTTGCTGCTGAGTATATATGTATCTCCACCCCTCTTCCCTGCACATGGGGCCAAGGCCTGGGCCATATAGATAAGGTCTCCTGGGTCACTGGGGCTGGATGTGGGTGCTGGAAGGTTGGCTGAACCAACCACCTTAGCTTCAGCTCCAAGGGTGATAGGACCCAGCAGCAGCTCTAGGCCTGTGTTCATGCCCTTCCTTCTCATGGGTGGCCTCACTCCCACCCCAGCCTCATTGAAAGTCAGCCTATCTTAGATCCCAGACTCCCTAAGCCTGCCTGGGCCTTCCCAGCTGTTACTAATGGCTCCTTTCTCCATGCTTCTGACCTCCAAGCCTCACCTCTGTGACTGCTGGGTAGGTCAGTGTTCACCTCCCCTCCAAAGCAGCCCTGCAAGGACAGGAACCATGTCTGCCTGTTGCCCACATGAGGTGATCAGATGGAGTAGGTCCTACATTTCTAAAAGGCTTGATGAGCCACTAGCAGATGTCTGTGATGGTCATTTCATGAACTGAGCAGAACTGTGTAGAGTCCAGAGTAGAGAATGTTAGAGCTTCTAACAAGTGTGGAAACAAAAATCTGGTTTTAGGATTTGACAAAGGATCAAAGACCAACCCCTCCAGTCAGAGGTACAAAATGAGACCCCGACTCACAGTCTCCATCTGGCTTAGCCTCTTGGTTCTCTTTCTCTGTAGCAGAGGATAAAAGAAAATGGAGTGTAAGCCACAGCTAGTGACCCAAAAGATACAGCTACAGCTACAGCCAGAGGATTGTATGGGACTCGTGTGCCATTAAACACCACATACCCCGTTGTCTTGGGAGGGACAGAGAAGCTTCAACGTCTTGCAGAGAACCCGAAGGACGTACACATGTAGACCAGCGGCCACTGGTTCAGAAGAATGAATGAGGCATTTGCTGCAAAAGGCAGTCTCCTCCCACCTGATCTAAACCGGGTCATTGTGACCTCATCCTGCCCATTCACTGGTCTCACGGTCCAGGCCCTCACCTTGACTTGGCCTGCATGGGCTTTTATGTATCAAAGCCTCTAGTTCTCGCCCTCAGAAGTGCCTAGTCTGGAGCAGAGGGCTACGTGGAGACACTGGCCCTGGGCCCTCCCCTGGCCTGAGGTGTTACTTTGGAAGGGAGGACTGCACACCAACAGATGATGTCCTTCCTGTTAGCCTAGACCTGCCCAGAACACGGAGCTGTACCTTCCAGGCTCTGCCGAGCAGCCCAGCCTGGCACTGCTTATTCCTGGTCACTGGGAAAGCCTGCCTGGGGGGCTGCTCAGCTTGCTTCTTCACCTTCTCTCGGTTCTTAGCGTTCTGGACTGGCAGGGGCCGTCCTGATTACTTGCCCAGTCCCCTTGTTCATGGGGGAAACTAACACCAAGCAGCAGGAAGACCCCCAGCTCTCCTCCTATCGCACTCTGGCCCCTGCTCCCATTTTTCGGGTGGATCACCGGGTCTCACCTGTTTAACTCTGAGCTATGAAGCAGGAACTGTTCTTCTCTGCCTCCATTTACATGTTGCCCTTTAGAAGGAAGAGATGGGATTTCTGAGTACTCATCCTGACACCTCTCTGCAGGCTTACAGAGTACAAACTAGTCCCGACCTCCAAGCTCTGCACCACGCTGCTGTCCCACTGTCTGGGAAGGTGGGGTAGTGTGGTAGTCTCAGTGCTCCATCGGCATGTGGAAAGACTCGTGGATTTGGGGACAGGAAAGAGATCTTCCCATAGGGCAGGCTGTGTGCTGTGAAGCCAAGCACATTTGCCCATGACAGCCTCCATCTGCAGGACTGCCTCTTCCCTGCCTGGCCTCCCTCTCTTCCCTGGTGGCCTTGTTTCAGCCCGCTTGCCCAGGGTGGCTTTACTATACAGATCTGAACTTCAGGGCAGGAACCTGACAGAGTATGCTAAAAAAGCAAAAGGTGAGTGAACACATGGCCTTGTCTATGGTAGATGCTCAAGTGGAATTCCCACCTCAGCTCTGCCACTCAGAACTGCACAGCCTTGAGCTAATTGCACCTGAACTGTGGGGAGAAAGTTGTCCCTACCCTGTGATATTGTGGCAGGAGTTTAACAAAACAAGGGATGTGGTGTGGTTTCCAAACCAGGCAGCTCTGTAGAAATGGTAGTCCATGGACCAGAGCTTGAGGGACCAAGATCGGTCACCGGCAATGCTCTCCCCTCAGGGCTAATCCAGCTGATGTCTTTCTCTCCAGGACAAGAGTGAGACCACCAGGGGAGCCCTCGCCCAGAGGCCTTGTCGCCCCAGACCTAACTCCCTCCCTCCCAACTTTCCTGAGGAAGAGACTCGCAGGATTGCACGGATATTTTCTTCCCAGTGTTCCCAGAAGCCTGATGACGCCTGAGGGACTGAGGGAGGGGCTAACCAGCCAACTTCCCTCAGCTTTGTGCAGCTTGCAAGAGGCACCAGGTCTGTTTACCTGGGCATCCTGAGGCCACCACCACCACCCATGACAGCCTCCATCCATGGGTGTCTTGAGACCTAATGAGCTAAGACTAGATTAGGGATGTCGGGAACCACTAGCTTCTGCCTACCAGGACCTCAGCTTCCTTCTGTAATGAGACAAAGGCTGGAAATAAAATGGACTCCAGCACCCACGTGGCTCGCCATCCATCTTCTGACTGTGGGGCCTAAGGAGGCATCTCTGAGCAGAGAAATCAGTGTCCTTGACACAGCCTACCGCTGACCAGAGCCACCCTCTGCTGGAATAGGACAGGCTAATTTTGCTTTAAATATTGGAGGGAGCAGTAAGTGTATACAGAGCTGAAAAAATTCTAGGGCCCTGTTCAGCTCGTTTGTTTGGGAATGAGGGTGTTTTATAGATATAAATTATTTTTATGATTTATTGAATTAATCAATAGAACAGGGGGATCACCTCCTTTAAACTGTATTTGATGTCTGAAACCTAACCATGTTTTTAACTTAATGTTTGTTTTTTACTCAGCTCTGAAATACATTGTTCTTGCCTTTGTTTTAATAAAAGTCTGGTATTTGTATTTGTGCACAAGTATTTTCTGGGTTGGTCACTGGGAAAAGGTGTTGGAATCCATGTGTAGTCTTAGCTGCAGAGACAAAGGCTACAGCCATCCTCAGCCATCTGAAACAAGGGACCAGAGCTGCCATGAGACTTCTGAGGTCTCCCGAGTGTCCAATTGGCCCACATTGGAGGGACACCAGTGTCCCCTCTTTTGGTTGTTTGGGTTTTTGCTTGTTCATTCCTGGTTTTGTCTTTTCCTATGCTGGTCCTTGAAATCTCTCAGCACAGTGAAAGTCTGTCTAGAACCGGGTCTCTCAGAGTCCCCTGTGTCTCAGAAGGATGTCTGTATCAGAACACAGCCACTTGGGCAGCTACCATAGACAAAGCCTTCTGGGGATGACTCTGAAGAGGCACAGAAGTACAGCACCAGCTGGGTGACAGGGCTGGAAGGGAGCTACCAGAGGGCCCTGCTTGTCACCAGAAGGCCCTTGTCATCCCTAAGCATGTACTGTTTCTGAATCCTCAAAACAGCTCTACACCCTAGACACTGTGATACCCCTCCTACAGTTAAACTCAAGGTCAAGGAAGTCGAATGCTTTGCCTCTGGGTAGCTAGAAGGCATCCAGACACAAGACTTACCCAGAGATAAGGGGCTTGATGACCAAAGCAGGGTGCAGCCATAAGTACTCTGACTTTGGGCAGTCCCAGGCTGCTGCATCCAGGGAAGGATTCCTGAGAGAAACCAGTGCTAGGGTAAACCAGAGAATGGACCAGGCCACAGGCAGCTGCCTGGAGACCCAGAAGGATGTTCTGGGCCATATCAGAGTCCAGCCTGGCAGTGTCTGTGCCTCTGGCCTCGTCCGGAAGGCACAGGCTCCTTTAGAGCCTGGCTTCATAGGGCTGCTGTGCAGATCAAAAGGGACATTTCTGAAAATCCTTAGCTGGCATTTGGCACCAAGTGGAAGCCTAGGAAATGTCAGCCCCACCCACTCTTCCCAAGCTCCTGGAGTGAATTAGAGTCAAGTGCTCCAGTACCCAGGAGGAGCACTCCAGCCTCCCTTTCCGGGCCATGGACCCTCAGCCCAACCTGCCCTCATTTCTGCCCCTTGAGCTACACCCTGCACACCTGCCCCCTCCCCAGCCAGAGCTGGCCTCAGCCCCAGGCCTCACGCTCAGGCAGAACAGAGCTTCCAGGACCTGGAGTTCCACGTCCCTTAGGGAATGAGAAACCTCTGGGTTCCAGGCCTAAGGGGTAAAGCCTCAGGTGAAGAAGATCACTGCCAACCCCTGCTCCTGTAAATAACCTGATGGGGTCAAGTGAGGACAGGATCACAGGAGGACATGGGCTGCTCTTGCCCCAGGTTGCAGGCAGCATCTGATGACAAAGACATGGTGAAGGTTTAAAACACTGACAGCCCTCACACACGGTGACATCTCATCCCAGGGATAACTCTTAGGTGACATGACTCGCCAAGTTATACAGCATGTTTGTCTCTGAGACCAGAATGAACCCGTGTCTCCCTGACTTCCTTGTGTACGAGGCCACCTGAAAACAGGTGTTTCTGGTGAGCCAGAGATTGTAGCAGCCAACTTAAAACGTCTACAGAGTCTGACTCTAGCTAGAACCCCAGGCAGACCCACCCTCAGAGAGCAGAGTCAGCTGAGCTCTCCTCTCTGGTTCCTCCAGGACCTGCTGTCTCTAGTCAGACTCCCCCTTGTAGCCCCTCCCCCCATATAGCTCCCAGTCCTGCCCAACTCCAGATTAATAGTTCCAGACAGAGCACGAAAGCGTAGGGCAGAGCATGGAGCAAAGAGGATAAGCACTCTCGTCACCCCACCCACCCTGGGACCAGGGCCCTGTGTTCACATTTCAAAATGGCCTCTGCCTTTCTGCCCTGCCTATCTTCTCTCCCCGCCCCTTTTGTCTCTTTTCTATGTCACCTGGCGCCCAGGTTCAGCTCTGCCCAGTCCTTAACCTCCGTGCCTACAGATGGAGCGTACAGCGGCTGCTGCAAAGGATTCTGCTCACCCCGCCCCATCCCACGCTGGCCCCAGCGCGTCCATGCTGAAGCCTCCAATGACACGTCATGGAGAACAGTGCTTGCAGCAGACAGACCCAAAGTGGGTTATAGGTTACGGGCAAGGCTGGGCTCTGCGGTGTATGAGCTGTGTGACCTTGGGAAGTCACTGTCCTTGACACGTGAGGGGTCTACACAGTAAAGGAGTGAAGTACTGATACACACTGCTGCGTGTAACACCACTGTGCCAAGTGAAAGAAGCCAGCCACACTCTAGGATCCTACTCAAAAGAAACATCTAGAACAAGCAAGTTAAGAAGCAGAAAGAGGAGTGGTTGCCTGAAACTGGGGGAAGGGAAAGGGGTGACTCGTTTTGGGTTTTGGTTTTGAGCTGTAATGAAAATGTTCTGAACTAGATTGTAGTCATTGCTCAACCTGACTATACTAAAAAGTATTTGAATTGTGTGCTCTAAGTGGGCACATCGGATGCTATGTAAAATACATTTCTCAAAGCTGTTTTGCTTTGTTTTTAAATTTAGGATCCTGCTAATACTTGCTTCCTCAGGTTGAGGGAAATAGAAATGATGTGTCTAAAATATCAAGCACCTAATGGGCACCAAGAGACGATGCTTATCGTCATTGCTGTTTGTAAGAAGAGACCTCAGAGAACCCCTGTCCTAAGAGGCCTCGGCAAGTGCAGGTGCACACACCCCATATCTCCTGGTCACCAAGGTAGCCCTCCACTTGAAAGCCCAAAGGAGCCATATTCAAGAGGCCCAGGTCCAGGAAGCTAAGCCAGATCTGGAACTCACTGCTCCCTCCCCGCCCTGCCCCTTAGCCACCCGCCTCTTGTCAAGTGATCGGACTGTCAACTGGCTTCTCAGAATTAGGTTTCAGGTCAGCTGGTACATAAGGCAAGCCAGAGGCAGCGGACAACAGTGAATGGTGAGGAGGGGCCTTCAGATCCTGCTGCTACCCCTGGAATGGAGCCCCAGGGAGCCCCTGCACTGACCTACCTTGGCTAGACTCACAGGTAAGACTCCATACCTCTCCTCGGCTCCCCCTGCCCCCTCTGCCTGCTCTCCCTTCCACGGAGGCTCGCTGCCAGGAATCACTCACTGCGGCTGAGAGTGATTCAGTCTAGCCCCACCTGGTCAAGATGAAGGAGCTGCAGCCCTAGGGAGGCTCCCATATCTGCCTGACTCCCCCGGGACTCCCCTTTGTCCTGTTGGCACCTCTCTTGGAACTTCACAGACCGCAGATGTGTCCCTCTCCTTTGGCCCAGGGTCCCCCCAGAGGACAAAGCCATCTCCAGCCAAGGTTCTGGGGCCCTTCCTGGCTAGAGATGAGGAGGGCACCGCTGGCCTGAAGCTGGCCCAGGTGTGTGGTAGACATTTCTAGAACCTGTAGTCACTCTGCCCGCTGGCTTCTCAATGCCGATGCAGGTGCTTTATTGGAAGGAGTTGGGTTGGGCTGAGTGCAGGACACTCAGCAAATGTGAATGGGCCCTGTAGACTGGAGCATCCCATGCTCTGGGTGCCCCGGCAGAGCTGCAAGGATGAGGATTGCTCAGAACTTGCACCTCCAGCTGGTTGCCAATGTCTGCTGCCCACATTGAGGCTTCCTCAAATAACAACTGAGGTTCAGCAAGAAGGAGGTTGGGGAACCCTGACCTCAGGGAGGTCCCTACTGTGTCTGCCTTTGTAGCCTTGCCCACATACTCAGGTATGTCTGCCCGTCCTTTCTGTTTCTGACGGATGGCTCAAAGGTACTCCTTCAAAAACTGGGTACACCAATTGCAAGCTCCTGACCAAGTTCAGGCTTTAGTGTCTCTTGTGAGCACCTTTCCAATGACGTCCTCCCTGGTCTTAGAGCCCTGGTCACCCCCTTCTGTTCTATCCGTGATGCCTGCCCCAGCCTGCGTCGACCCCCCAGCCCTCCTCGTTCTCCGCTAGACTGCGTCCAACCTTGGCATTTGCTCTACCAAAGGCCCCTAAGGTCATCTCTGGCCTCACTTCCTGTCACCTCATTTTGGTAAGAATGATTCTTGGGCCAGCTGGCCCTCCTTGGGCTGTCTTACGGCCTTCCCTTCAACAGTCTTCACGGAGGAGGAGGGCCACTTGATCCTTCCCCTGCTTTGGAGGCTCCGACAGAGCTAGAACATTGCAGATAATGAGGCGACGCTACAAGACAGTAGAGTCAGAAGTAGTGAGGACGGCCCGGGCTGAGGAGGGAAGCCCTGCTTGACCGGGAAGCAAACACTGCAGAGACACACCTGGCCTCAGCAGGGAAAACTCCTTCGAGGGGTCTCTGGAGGACCCGGCTCCGCACCACCACCCCATGATGTTCCTTCCAGCAGAAAGTGCTCTGGAGTCCCGTGTCTGACAGCGACCATACACGGGCCCTTTGCCTTTCTCACCTCAGTGTTTCCAAAGCAGAGCAGAACACGGGGTTCTTCTGCTAGCACCTGAGTGGCCCCCAGACAGGCTTTGCAGACGGGATACTAAAGACCTTACCCCCCAGGGGCCTCCCCAGTTGTGTGAGCCTCGGATTCATGCTATCAAGTCATCCAGCAGCCTGGCTCTCCAGGCAGATCCAAGGCTGGGGGGAAGAAGAGGCCACCAGCATGCCATGAGGAGAGTCAGCTGCTCCCACAGTACATTCCAGGCCTGGGCAGGGAACCCAGTATCTCCCTGCTGGGAAGGAGCCAGGCCTGGCTGCTGTTCTGTAGGGCAAAGGGGAATGGGGGCCCGAGCAAGTGGAGGGTGTTTTCCTGACCGCGCCTGCACTGCTGGCCCCCAACCAAGTTGGCTCTGAGGGCCTAGACCTCAGGTCTCGCTCTCCAGAGAACCTGTCCCCTCCTTGGGCATGTCTCGGTTTTCGACTCAGACAGACAAGATGGGCTGAAGGAAGAGCTTGGAGAGCCGAGGTCTGACCACACCCACCCATACAGATTTTAGCTTCTCTGGGCCCATGAACTTCATCTGACTAGTGGGCCTTCTCCAGACTTACTTATTTGGTTTTATGAAGCCCTCAGTAACTGCTTTGAATGTTTCAGGCAAAACCATGAGTAGCCAGATTACCACACTGACTAGACCCGTGGGTGGTGTAGAGATGACAGCTTCACGGCTTGGCCATTAGAACAATTAGATTGGAGTTCTGTGACCACTGGTCAGTCAACCTCTTTCCATCACAAGCCTCTATTTTCTCATCTGTAAACTGTATTTAAATACTACCCTGCTTTTTCCAAAGTGATTTCGAACCTAAAATAGGCTGAACACAGGCTTGGATACCAGGGGCTGGCTACACTGAGCCATCTAATGTCTCCAAGCCTTCCGCTGCCCTTCATGACAGGTGTTGAGAATCAAGAGAGAGAACGTGTGGAAAGCTCCCACTGCAGGGGCCCCACAGCCTGGCAAGCCAGCTCCTCCTGCTCTGAGCTTCCATTGAGCCCTGGCTTCCCCTACAGCAGTGGTTCTCAACCTAGGGGTCTTGACCCCCCACTGGGAGTCCCATATCAGATGTCCTGCATATCAGATATTTACATTACAATTCATAACAGTAGTAAAATTGAAGTTATGAAGTAGCAACGAAATAATTTTATGGTTGGGGGTCACCACGACATGAGGAACTGTATTAAAGGGTCACAGCATTAGGAAGGCTGAGAACCACCACCCCTACAGGGTTCAGGCCTCTGCCTATCCTGGACCATCCTTTTAATTTTTTCAGCTGCCAAAAGCCCTTTTCAGGCCTGGCCTGCATTAATCCTCTTGTGCCCCTTACAAGCAAAAGGACGATCTTCCCTTCTTGACCGCTCCTCCCCGTCTATACTGACCACAGCTCAGCTTACACTACAGTTGTTTGTGGGCACTGTCTAAGCCAGCCCTTAAAGTCTGCTGGAGACGCTCCATAGGCAGCTCACACGTGTGGGTGTTTACTCCCCCGAAGCCAAGCACAGAGCCCTGAGGGTGGGTCTCTCAGTGTGTGCTGGCCTTTACCAGCTGACTCCCTGCTTAACTCCGTGACATGATGTGAGAATTAGACAGATATGAGGGGGATCTTCCAATAATGTCGCCCGCTGTTTTCTCAACAAACACAGTGCTCCTGGATGGGAAGGCCCTGTTCTTGGAGACGGTGTGTCTGAGTAGGAAGTACAACAGTAGACAAGAGGGTACTGGTGCCCTGAGATGGATGAGAGTGATACTGAGCTAGCATTTGAGTTCAGGGAAGGCCCTCAAAAGAGGTGACATCTGAGTAGAAACGTGAAGGAAGTGAAGAGGCAATCTGCAGGTGTCTGAGAGAACTGTATTCCAAACAGATGATGTAATCCCAAAGCGCCCATGTGGCTGAAGCTCAGTGTGTGAGTGGGAAGAAAAGTGGGGAGAGGGGAGCCTCACAAAGAGCCCTGTAGGCCATGACCAAGATGTTAGACTTTGTTCTTGATAAAATGAGGAGCCGGCGGACTGTCTACAACCAGGAGAGTGACAGGCTCTGACTGATAAAAGCTTGGATGTAGGTCTCCAATGGGGAAAACCTCCTGTCTCCACTGTTTAGACCCAACATTCCTGAGTCAGTGTATAATCTGTCTAGAGCTTCGTGGCCCTTAAGATGTAAACAATCAGGGCCAGGGATGTAGCTCAACTGTAGACGCTTGCTTAGCATACAGAAGCCCTAGGTTTGATCCTCAGCACCACATGAACTGGGTACAGTGATGCAGTCCTTTATTCCAGCGCTTGGGAAGTAAGAGACAGGAAGAGCAGAGTTCAAGGTCATCATTTGCTACATAGAGATCTGAAGCCATCCTGGGCTACAAGAGGCCCTACCAAAAGAAAAGCAGCAGGGGGAGAAAAGAAGCATGGAGCTGCGGGGGAGGGCGCACGCCTTTAATCCCAGCACTTGGGAGGCAGAGGCAGATGGATCTCTGTGAGTTCTAGGACCCGCTGGTCTACAAAGTAAGTTCCAGGACAGCCAGGGCTACACAGAGAAACCCCTGTCTCAAAAAACTAAAAAGAGAGAGAGAGAGAGAGGTGAGAGAAGAGAGAGAGGAGAGAGAGAGGTGAGAGAGAGAGAAAGAAAGAAAGAAAGAAAGAAAGGGAACTGATTCTCAGTTTTGCCTCAGTCCTTCCCCGGGGCAGAGTCCAAAAGCCAATCTTCTACACTAGGACCCGGCTTCCAGACTGGAAACCCCGCAGCTGTGAGTTCCAGTTTCAGTTCATATCCGACTTACCCAGCCCCATCTCCTTCACTGCCTGTTCCTTTTCCTGACTGGAACTCAACCCCCATGAAGACAGAGCCAACCAAACCTGTTCCATGTGTAGCTTGCCAGTGCCTGGATGGTGGTCAAGAAATAGCTGACCAGCCAATAGTCACTTCACTTCACACCAGCTCTTCCCAATGACAGGGTTTTCAGGGGAGAGAGTAAGCCTGAGTCCTTGGTTTCTGAATGTGTAGACTGAGGCGGCATCACAGAGGAAACCAGAGTTATATATGGCGGACCTGAGAGAAGACCTGAGAAATCACCTGACCTGGCTCCTACCCTTTGATACCTGAATGTTCACTATTGATGAACTAAGATATATGTGTGGTGTGTGTGTGTGTGTGTTGTGTGTGTGTGTGTGTGTGTGTATGCATGTATACATATATATTCTCATTGGCCCAAGACCAGGTAAATGAACACAGGCCCAGAGCCCAGATTTCCTAACCACTGGCCCTGAATCCTGTTGCCCTGTAGGAACTGTTCACAATTCTGAGTCTGGCCCTGGCTCTAGGTGTGGGTCATTGATGGATGCAGGACTTCAGCACACTAAGAGAGTGTCTGAGTTAGTACATCAGTGACTGCCAAGAGATGGTCTCAACACAGAAGGCCTGATGCCCAGAAATCTAATCACAAGAACATGGGGTCACCCATGATGGTACACCAGTTTCCCTGCGCATCTGAGGCTAAATCAAGCCCTGTCACATCAAAAGATCCCTCGGTAACCAGCAGAAAGACAGGTATACTCATGAGACCACGACTCGTGTGTGTGTGTGTTCATGCACACATGCACACACTAGCGTTGTTTGTGTGTTGCCTTAACCTAAGACTGAGATTCTCCTGAGATTTTGTCTTCATCTGAGAAGGGTTCCTTGGTGCAGGAGAGGGTACAGGATCCAAGCTAGGCAGAATGGTCATAACCACCCCAGACAGCAGAAGTGTTCATGTGTCAGACCACTGCCCTCAGCCACTGGGAAATAGAGAGCTCAGCAACAAGTACCCGAGGCCCAGGTCCACCAACAGACCACCAGTCAGGAAACCCTACAGAGATGGGAGCAACAAGAACTGAGGAGGATTCTGTTTCTTTTTTTTTTTTCTTTTTTCTTTTTTTTTGGTTTTTTCAAGACAGGGTTTCTCTGTGTAGCTTTGCGCCTTTCCTGGAACTCACTGGTAGCCCAGGCTGGCCTCGAACTCACAGAGATCCATCTGGCTCTGCCTCCCGAGTGCTGGGATTAAAGGCGTGCACCACCACCGCCCGGCTCTGTTTCTTTATATATAGAGAGAGGTATATCCAGGTCAAGCATGGCGGTACAGGCATACAATCCCAGCATTCAAGAGCCTGAAGCTGGATGATCTCAGATTGGCCTGGGAAATTTAGTGAACTTTTGTCTCAAATAAATAAATAAATAAATAAATAAATAAATAATAAGTAAATAAATAAATAAATAAATAAAAGGGCTGGAGAGATGGCTCAGAGGTTAAGGGCACTGGCTGCTCTTCAGAGGACCTGAGTTCAGTTTCCCAGCAACCACAGGGTAGCTCACACCCATCTACACTAGGATCTGATGCTCTCTTCTGGCCTGCAGGTATACATGCAGAGCACTCATACATAAAATATAAAAAAAAGTTTAAAAATTTTAAAAATTGAAAAAAGAAAAAGAGAGATCGTGCTAGGGATGTATCTCAGGGTAGAGGGTTTGCCTTACACGAGGCCCTAAGTGCAGTGCCCACTAAAGGGGGCGGGGCTAAGGCATCCTTTCAAGGGGAACTGGCTTAGTCCAGGATGAATGACTATTTCCTTGGGTCACAAGGAATGTTCCCCCGTTTGAGAAAGAGGCATGGGATACCTCAGAGAGCTTGACCAGAGAGGAGACAGCAAGACCCTGGGAGAACAGGGTGGCCGGTGGAGTCAGAACCAGGCCTGCTGCCTGCCAGGACCTCTGTTTCTTCAGCCATTCAGTGAAGGTGCAACAGCCCTGTCAGCTTCCCTCCTCAACCCTCTCTGCAGGTGACAGCGATTAGGTGTGAAAGGCAGGATTTTTATGGGCCAAGTTCAGGCATCTTAAGTGTGGCAGCACCCAGGCTTCTCTTTGTAAAGCCCCTTCAGAATGTTGCCGGGTCCCTGGACACAGGACAGAGCCAGACAGCCTAGGCGCCATGTGTCCCTTGGTCTGTCTCTTGCAGCTGCCTCCAGAAACTGAAGCAAAGGATTGCCAGGCAACCTCCCTCCTTGGACCTCAATAGACACCAAAGGAACCAGGCCCATCCCACCAGGACCATGGTTGGACTTCAGCCATCAGAAGTGCCTCCCACAACAGCTGTGAAGTTCCTGGGGGCCGGTACTGCCGCCTGTTTCGCTGACCTCCTCACCTTCCCCCTGGACACCGCCAAGGTCCGCCTGCAGGTGGGTGCCTTTGGCCAGCGGTTGTGATTCATGAGGAAGAAGGGGCTGCTTCTGCACAGCGTGTGCCGGGGGAAGGCCACTCCCTACACTGTTCTGTCCCCACCACCATCCCTCGGGACCAAAACAACCCAAATGCCTTGATATGATGTGACAGGGCTCTTTACCTCTCACCCTTGCTTTGTAAGCCATAAAGTGGAAATAAAGGTAAGGCAGTAACGGTGTGGGCTTGGGTAAGCCTCTAGCCATCTACTGTAAAATAGGGAAAGCATACTGGCCTCTCAGCTTACGGAGGAGCCACGTAAGTGATCGCTGCTTTGTGAACTTCACCACGATGCACACTCAGCTGTGATAAGCATGCTAGTTCTAAGACTCTGCAGGGGCCCTGCACACACAGACCCCCCTTCCCCAGCTGCCCATCAGCTCCTCGGGCCCTATGCTTGTCCCTCAGATCCAGGGGGAGAACCCAGGGGTGCAGAGCGTGCAGTATCGCGGCGTGCTGGGTACCATCCTGACCATGGTGCGCACCGAGGGTCCCCGCAGCCTCTACAGCGGACTGGTTGCTGGCCTGCATCGCCAGATGAGCTTTGCCTCCATTCGAATCGGCCTCTACGACTCTGTCAAACAGTTCTACACCCCCAAAGGAGCCGAACGTGAGTGCCAACACCAGTGGACACCCAGGGGCACCCATGGACACACAGGGGTGGCAGAAGCCCAGCTGGCAGCTGGCGTGTGGGTCAAGGACATGGCGTGGTCCAACAAGGCTAGTTGGGCATGGGGAAGCTGGTGACAGACACTGGCGAGATTTTGACAGTGTTAAGGACTCACGGTTCTCTCTGCCCTCCCCAGACTCCAGCATCGCCATCAGGATTCTGGCAGGCTGCACCACGGGAGCCATGGCAGTGACCTGTGCTCAGCCCACGGATGTGGTGAAGGTCCGATTTCAAGCCATGATACGCCTGGGAACTGGAGGCGAGAGGAAATACAGAGGAACTATGGATGCCTACCGAACCATCGCCAGGGAGGAAGGAGTCAGGGGCCTGTGGAAAGGTAAACGCGGGTACCCTTGGGCAGAGCTTCCCTCCCCGAGGGCTGAGACGGGGAACCCAGCAAGGAGGAACTCCGAAGCACGGTTCAATACCCTAAGAACGCCCAATACAATACCTCACACACCAGCCACAGGACCTCAAATATTGTTCACCCTCACCAGTCCTCATCTGCGTAGGCCACCCTGAGAGAGACAGAAGGAACACAGGGCCACCCACTCCTCAGGGCTTTACCGCAGAGGAGCTAAGGAGGCCCAGGGTGCAGCTTGTATCACAGGCAGGGGGCCAGGAGGCAGGCCAGAGGTGGGAGAGGCTGAGCTGGCTCCAGAAAAAAGCTGGTCTCCAAGACCAAGGTGTAGAGACGGAAGGGGGAGAGCCTCCCGAGGACACAGTGCAGGCACAGAAGGATGGAGGAACGCAGCCGTGGAGGTCAGTTGCAGTGAGGTGTGTGAGTGACTTCCTTGGGAGTGAAGACTGTAGAGTTCCCTGTGTGCTAAGCCCTTGGCAATCGCCAGAATCCCTCCGGCACTTGGACCACCATTCCTATGAGTCCTTGCAGGAGAAAAATGGCCCTGTGGTGTTTTAAGGGCAGGACGCCCAAGTCACAGCGCTGCCAATGCACTCTTGCTGGTGTCCCACTCACGCCAAGCCTGTCCTCTCCCGGGTGACACCTGTCTCTGAGCGCCCTGCCATACCTCCTGTCACTGTCCTAGGGGCTCTGCCTCCCTCCTCCATGGAAAATTTCCTTTCCTGACTGCTCCTGGGTCTCAGGGAGGCACGTTGAAAATTTTGACAGAGTGCAAAGTATGCTCCAAATGCAGCCAAGCAGTGGGTGTCTGTTTGTGAAGGTGCAGGAGTCTAACAGCTGATAAGAAGTGGGATCTGCTTGGCTGAGGTGTGGTCCCCTGGCTGAGACCACTGCTGGAGGGCTCTGTCCCCAAGCTGGAGCCCTGCATTCATCAGGCCCCACTGCCTTCCTGACAGGACGTGGCCCAACATCACCAGAAACGCCATTGTCAACTGTGCTGAGATGGTGACCTATGACATCATCAAGGAGAAGCTGCTGGACTCTCGCCTGTTCACTGGTGAGAGTGGGCGGGGAGACGGCAGTGGGGCGCCACTCAGAGGGATCCTGAAAGAGAGAGAGAGGAGCAGTGCCCCGTTCAGGACTGTGATGAAGAAAAGAGGCCTAGGCTCCAGGCCAGAGCCTGGGTTCCAGGGCCAGCACCTAACTCAGAGTATCCATAAGAGATGGCCACTTGCCTTCTCTGACTTCAATTGCCTAAAAGAAAAAAAGCTCTGTAGCTTTCTTACTCAGGGATGCTCGGTTCTAGCTTGCTAAGACTAACCAAGAGCTCAGCCGTGGGCACTGTGCTCCGGAGGTCGAGGTCAAGGTGCACTGGAGACAGACAGTGACCACGTCTGCAAAGCGTGCGCACATGCTCCATCCCTGGAATGTTCTTCCCCCCCTTCTACAGACAACTTCCCCTGTCACTTCGTGTCCGCCTTTGGAGCAGGCTTTTGTGCCACAGTGGTGGCCTCTCCGGTGGACGTGGTAAAGACCAGATACATGAATGCTCCCCCAGGCAGGTACCGCAGCCCTCTACACTGTATGCTGAGGATGGTGGCCCAGGAGGGGCCCCACAGCCTTCTACAAAGGGTAAGCTGCCACCTTCTTCTCTTCTTCCCTCCTTCTCCCCCTTTTTCTTTCTCTCTGAGTCTCATGAGTTCCAGGCTGGCCTAGAACTCACTACGTAGCCAAGAATGACCTTGACATTCTGATCCCCCTGGCTACACCTCTGAATGCTGCATTATAGGCTTGTACCACCACACCTGACCTTTGGGGGTTCTCTTATCCCAGGTGCCTACAACAGAAGCCTTTCTAAGAAAAAGTAGGCCAAACCCAGATAAAATGATTGTTTGTCTCCAAATGTTTCGGGGTAGGGGGTTTTTCCACAGCTGCTGCCCTGGCCATTTACCACCACACTCACTGCAGTGTAAGTACCATTCTCCTAACCAACACTCAGGGTCCCTTTGCATTTTTAAAAAGAATTATCATTATTATCATAATCATTAGTGTGTGTGTGTGGTACATGTGTGTATATGTACCACAGCGCATGTGTGGAGGTCAGAGGACAATTGTGTGGAGTTGGTTCCTCCTTCAACCTTTACATGGGTTCCAGGGTTCAAACTCAGTCCAAGGGCACACAAGGGGCATGCATCCTTGCGTGCAGCAGCACAGCCCACAGGGATGGCCTTCCCTCAATGTCTACATAGTCTAAATCTCAGCCACTCTTGCAGACTAGTCCAAATACCACCTCCACCCTCACACTGTCACACGGAAGTTTTCCCTCCTTTCCATGAGCCTCAGCAATACTATTTGATCCGCTGCTACGATAATTCCACCTCCTACAAAATTAAATTCATCTTCACACTAGCACACAAGCTCCTTGGAGCTGAGACTGTTGGCACATCCATTTTTTTTTTTTTTTTTATCATCCGAAGATCCAAACAGAGCAAGCATTCAATAGTGCGGGTTATTCACCATCATCTGAAAGCCAAGCCCCTACATTGAGCCTTGTGCTGGGTACTTTATATAGCGTATTGCAGCAACCTTCTGAACTAGGTAGTATTCCCCACAATGCACTTCAAAATAGTAACTTGTCCAAGATCACAAAATGGCCGAGCCCCAGCCCCAAAGCCATACCCGTGTGGTGCTTCTACCCACTGGTAAGGTCTTGGCTTGGCTCCCCACAGTAATGCCTTTAGCTGATATTTCCTGGTGTGTGGTGTTTAGTTGAACCCAGCAGACAAACAGAAACCACTGCAAGTTCTCATGTCTGGAAATAACACACTCAACCTGTCACCTGTCACTGTTTGCCTGGATGTTTTCAGCTAGTGCCTCAGTTTACTCTTTCACTTGGCAAACCTTTATTGAACAGGCTCTGCCCTATGTCTCCCTCGAGGAATCATAGACAAGTAAGCAGCATTGACTGAGCAGGGCTAGGTGCTGTCCCCGCGGATTCAGTTAACCATGTGACAACCTTGTAAGGGAGGTACTACTACAACCTTCTCTTTTATTTGTATTTTAAGGTCTCTTGTTGCCTATACTGGCCTCAAACCCCCGATCTTCCTGCCTCCACTTCTCAAGGGCCAGGATCACAGGCATATCCACACACCCAGGGGTTTACTGTCCTTACTTCAAGATGAGGAACTGGAGGAGCCAGGATTTTAGCCCAGGTTTGACTCGCCTCCAAAGTTTGGATAATATTGCCACAGTGATATAATCCTTGTGAAGGTTCAAGAACTGCCATGACAAGCTGGGTATGATGGCTGATGCAGGGGTTGCCTTGAGTTCAAGGCCAGCCAGAGCTACATAGTAAGGCCTTATCTCACACTCTCCCCCACAAAGGAAATGCTGTGGCATATGGCTGCCATGCCCAACTGAATCCTACAGCATGAAGAGCAACCCTTCAGACTGGAAAGATAACCCAAGCTGAGGGAAGGGCAATGTGTTTAAAGGGACAGAAGAGGGCCTGGCATCATCAGGGCATGGTGATTTGATCCTCCAGG